GAAGATGAAAAAAGTCGCAATTTTACTCAGTGCTAAATTTAATTAGAAGAAAATATTTGAAAAACTTTTGAAGCAACGTTTTACACTTATCGTGAAAAGTATAGTAATTAACACAGGCATTCGAAACAGTCATGGCATTTCTAGTACCTATGTATTCCACAGCCGGATAACAGTATTACTTTCTTCTTCTAAATGTATAAATTGAATGATCATCACAGCGGAGACACTGACTGCAGAAACAAACTTAAAAAGATTTTTTACAAAAAAAAAATCACATAGTTAACTACCGAAAATATAAATGTTGCGTCAATGACAAATAGTTCTCCAGCTGTCAACGACAATTTTTCCTGGAGCAGTTCCATCATATAAGCATTTAACTAAACAAAACAGAATGATAATTGGGTATGTTTACAAAATTATCATGTACCTACCTGTTTCCTGATCACGTCATTTTTTGTTGTAATTAAAAATTTGGAGATGTGTCTTGACGTTATGTTAGCCTAAAATTATACTATTTTATATACATGTATGGATAATTTGTTAATTGTAAGTATTTTACTTGCTGCATACATCTGATGTGAGTGCCAACTATCACCACGGTCATCTTTAGTGTGGTCATTAATATTCGACAAGTTAATGCATAATTTAAGTTCTGATATTCTTTTGAAACAACGATATATTCAACAATATACATAAAATACAGTGGTAAAGAAAGAAGAAGAAAAGGTGAAAATATTTTGTTTGCAACTTTTGCCAGACCACGTAGTTCTTGGTGTGCCTTCATTAATTGTTTATAATTTTTAGATGTCAACGCCTCGTTAACTATCCAAAAGTACGAGATTGTAGTTAAATATATTTGTAAAAACAAAATTTCTATTACTAATTCCAATAAATGTGTATAATTATTGTTAATATAAACTAATATGTCCATAATGGTCATTTCTCTATTCGTTTTTAGATAAAGCTGAATTTCATAGAATGACGTTACAACAAAATCTAAGCAGGTGATTGCACCGTACGTTATATTTATAAGAGACAAACCGTATTGTTTTAAATTATAATAAGAAAGCATTGCTGATAGTTTCAACAATTTGTTCAATATAGTTACTATTTCAAGTTCATAGTACTTGATATAAATTAACGAAAGGCAGAAATGTACCAATTTTATGTAAAAATAAATGTGTGAGGTCAAATTAATTACAAATATATAATTCAGGTACTCATAGGAACTACGGTACACCACGTATATATTGACTACTATAATAAAAATTAGCCATAATGTTTTCAACTGGTATTTGCTTTTGCAAATGTATAAATTTCCGTCCACATTTACATTTTTTTCAATATTGTGAATTCCTAAAATATTGGAAAGAGTAATTACTTTTTGTAAAAAATATGTCTTTGAAAGTTTTGTTAAACACATAGTTCAGTGTTACAACAAATTTGTCTTGCTATATTTGAATAAAAATCGAAATACATTCAATTATGGTAATACCAACATTCGATTCCATGCGGTTTGATTAAACAAGGGAATGTCAATTCACTTAAAAATAATTAATTATAGGTAAAGTGCATGTTTGAATTAACTGTGTGTTATCCAGATAGACTTATTTAAGCAAGTAATTGAAAAATCACGTTATTAATTTTTTTGTTTATTTTTGTTATTTATAAACATTATTTTCAGTTAAAGCAACTAACGGCTTAGTTTTCGGTTCAGGTTTAAATAAAATGATAACAAAATGGTATGAAAATGGTATTTTAGCAAAACACTAGACAGGAAGGAAGTAAAATTACACACTTCATAATAAATATACAGCCCAAGCTCTTAACATATTACGAGCACACCTTGACCTAATTGTCATAATTGTTAATTTTTAAATTTATGAGTCATACGTTCGAACATATCAAATTAGTAATTAATTGTCTGGAATTATTCTTTGCTTTTTTTTTCGTTTTAGTCAGTTCCAATTAACGAATTGCTTAAACAACAACAAGTACTAAAATAGTTACCATTTATATATTACTCATTTGAACTTTATTAATTAACATTAAATTGTTATAAAAATACGCTAAAACAACAGTTTTCTACAAAGAGCTGCTTAATTTTGACATATTAAAGTTATAATTTTTAAGTGTTTTGATTTTGGTAAGATCCATCAAAACTAAAGCAAAAAGTTACGCTTTCTGAAAAGAACCCAATTAAAATCCTCCACGGGGACTATAAATTAAGAAAAAGTGTGTTTAATTGTAGCATCAATGATTTTATTGTTTCTATAGGTAATAAAAACAAAATTTTTGGCCCTAAATTACCAATCGTGCTATATTTCACAAAATCATACATAATGCTTACAAGAGACTCTGTACGTGCGTCATTTTCTCCTTTGTTTACTTTATTAAAAATTGGTGGATTTGTTTTATTTTCGCATACAACACTTCAATCAAATCAGTGTATTTTTGTAAAAATTACCATTTATTTATCACATTTTGCCTACGCAGCATATGCGTGTTACAATGGATTGACTAGATATGAAAATGCTGCAGATACAACGCAAAGAATATATTGTCTTATATTTGCGATAAATAGTTTAGCACTAGTTGTTGTTAACACAACCTGGGACAAATTATTACAAAATTATAAGCTTTTACAATTACTTAAAGCTTTTTACAGCATGGATGAACAGTTAAAACAAAACCATATTTTTCTGAATTACCGTAACATTAAAAGATATATCACTACAGTATGTACGGTGGAAAGTGTTTGTTATATATACTTCAACTGTCACCTGTCAGTTGGGTATTGGTCTTCTGGCATGAATGTAACAACTATAGTTGCTATTTTTATTTATTATAGTGGTTTACATATCATGCAAGTTGTCATGACTACAAAATGCATTACGTTTTTTATTTTGATTGAAAATATATACGAACAACTAAATCAGAGACTGCTCAGTACTGAAATTTCGCCACACTTAATAAAAAAATTAGCTCAACTTTTTAGCGACGCATACAATCTGGTAGTAATTACAAATGATGTAGTTGCCTGCCAGATAGTTGTTCCCTTTTCTTTAACTTTTCTGATGGCCGTTTTTCATATTTATTACCGTCTAACAAGCAGTGTTTTTTATAAAACATCATCAATTTTGTTATGGTTGCTAGTTATTTTAACTAAAATAATTTTTGTTATATTACAAATTCGAAAAGTAACTCGTGCAGTGAGTCTCTGAATGTTTTATCTTTTTTTACAGTAATTTGTTATGTTTTAGGTGAAAAAAATCAAACAAACTTTATGTCAGTTATTATCAAATAGAGATTACGGCATTAAGAAAGAAGTATCAGAACGATATTCTAGTTGTATCTTGTAATAATTCATACATTTTAGATAAATGCATTTTTCTTACAGTTACTTCATCAAAAAGTTAAAATTACAGGGGCTAAGCTTTTCGAAGTAAACACTCCATTGATTGCCCAGGTAAGTATATAGTTTATTTCAAGTTAGAAAAAACTCAGTAATCGTTAAATTTCAGTTTTTTTCAAGAGCCCTCCAATATCTGTTAATATTGCATCAAAACTATAAATAATACGTATCGGCTGGATTTAATAAAAAAACATACTTTGTTTTCACAAACAAAAATAAAACAATTCTCAGTTAATCAAATAAATTGAATCGAAACATGTTTACTACCTTCCAAATAATTCTCCACCGGCAATTTGCTTAAAGACCTACCTACATTTCGGTACGGACACTCATTGTTTGTATGAATTACAAAATGTCTATATCAGACAAAAATGTTATTCTGGCACTTTTGCCACAAATATATTTTCTCAAATTAAACGCAATGCTGTTGTTTGAAGCAGCCACACTTAAAACTAATGAAACGATCAAGTATTTAAAAAAATCTAATTTGATCATTTACTTGTATCAAATAGCCTACATTATATACGGAATTGACAATGCGGTAGAACTTTTTCAAATAGAGCCTAACAATTTTCTTTTTAAAATATATAATTTAGTTTTTTTTATGAACACAGCATCACTAGTATGTGTTAATTTCATGTGGGATGTATTCCGTAATCACAAATTTTTAACTTTATTTCAAAAATTTTACCGCATTGACTTAGTGTTACACCAAAACAACATTTTTTTGGACTATGTGTTTTTAAGAAATTATTCGGCTACTATGATACTTATAGAAGGTCTATGTTATGCAGCCTTCAATGTCCATTGCGTAATGCGATTTTGGTCTTTTGGACGAACTAATTTTCAAATATTTATACTTTTTATTTATTTCAACGGATTACACATGTTGCAAGTTGGTACGACAGTCAAGTCTTCTAATCCGTTTCTCATACTGGAAAATATTTACTACCACATCAATAAAAAACTGCAAGATTGTGATACCACCGTCGAATTAATTTCAAAAATGAGAAATCTGTACGACGATGTGTTTAGCTTGGTTCTAGAGCTAAATCGGGTGATCGCATTTCACCTACTAATTCCATTTTGTGTGACTTTTGTTATGGCTGTTTTTCATATCTACTACGAAATTGCACTGAAGATATGGGCGGTTCTATCATGATGGTATGGGTGGCTGCTTTACTTATCAAAATTTGTGTTGTCATTCTACAAATTCAGAAAGCCATGCTTGCGGTATGCATCTTTTTTCCATCTTGTCACATTAATAAAACTTTATTTTTTATATGTTGCTGTAGGCTGAAGAAATAAAACGAACGATTATTCGATTGTCAGTAATTAAGAACAAATTTGTCCGACGTGAAGTAAGAGTATTCTGCGAAAGCCAAAAAATAGCACTGATCATTAATTGCAGGTTAATATGTTTCTCTTGCAACTGTTACACCAGAAAGTTAGTGTTTCGGGAGCAAAACTCTTTGATGTGAATATAAGTTTGCTCGCGCAGGTATTACTAAAGTAAGTACCTAACACTGTCTCAATATTCGTTTGATTCTAGTTTTTTGGGAAAGGTCTTCAATATCTCATGCTCTTACTAGAAAATTATGACTTTACTCTTTAATTAAACAAGTGACAAAAATCACAACATTTGATCAACCGAAAAAGTTCCAGCTGGCCACACGATATCTTCAATCCATTTTCTATAATTGGCTACCTTTGTATACACAGCCACACTGTTCGCAACACCACAACCTAGTCCAAAAGAAGTGACTCCAACGATTCGATAGTGAGGAATGTCGTAGAGTTTGTACTGCAGAGGGCCTCCAGAATCACCCTAAAACACCACATTTAAAACGAATCACAATATAATTAGAATTCATTACAGGGCACGTATCTTGGCCTTCGGGGTGTCCAGCACATACTTGACTGTCGCTTGAAATCCCTCTAGCTAACCGTCTCTTGGCATGAGGGCTTGAATATCTCATAGCACAAGTAGTATGATTAACGTAAAAAAGATTAGCTTTGAGCAAATGACTACTAAGGCTGCCATAAAGATCGACTTTTCCATATCCAGTGATTATCATTTCGTGAGGAACTATTACCTCCGTATGCAGGCATGCAGGCTTCACGTAGATATCAAATCTTGCAGTTCGGTCTAGTTTCACCAAAGCTATGTCATGATAATTAGACGAAGGTTTATATTCTGGGTGGACAAACGTTTCTGCAACTGTGAAGAACTGTGGCTGAGAGTCGAACTCTTTGTCATCTTTAGTACTGTCGATATCGGTATCACCAAGGCGTACATATTTAACAGAACCACTGAAAAATAAATTAATATTTCATTGGGGTTTGAAAAAGTGTAAAATAAAAGTATGTTTGTTGTTACATAAACTTACTACTTAGCTGGATTGATACAATGAGCCGCTGTCAGAATAAATTGTTCACTGATCAAACTCCCACCACAAAACCAGTCGATATTGGGTTTTTTTCCGTATCCCAAAGCAGCCTAAAATTATTTTTCCAAACAAATATGTTATTATTATTAAAGAGTCTATACCATATGAGGGAATTCTTTAATTGTAGTCTTTTCTCCACCATAGATCTCGGTTTGGACACACGCTTCTTCAGGAGGATGATATATCTGACATACTACAATGTGTTAGGTTTGCAATCATATCCCAAGCAAGCAAGTTTTAAATTACCAACTTCACTTCTAGGAGCAGGACAACAGACTACTGGAAAAATACCGATGTAGGTTGAGCAATGCTGAGGTCTTTTCCAGTCTGTCATTTTGAGGAGGTTTTTGGCATATTCACAGTGATCGACGTTTGTGCATATCCCTAGTTGACCAGTTTTCTTAAGAATACATTTTTGGCCTAGTATTAAAAACACAGTGTTAGAAAGACGAATGCAATGCGTTTCACCTGTTAAGTGAATAATTTTAACTTGTAATACACATTAGGTGGTGTAATTTGGAACATCTACTAAAAATTTTAAATTCTCAAAATTAAAACCACAGCTGGTTCAAAAGTAACTTTTTGAACTAATTGCGGTTTCAATTTTGGAAAAGTTTATTAAAATTTCATCGTGTGAAATAGATTAAAGTTTAATTTTGTTTAGGTTAGTTTCTCTTACAAATAAGTAAATAAATAAAAAATTGATAAAAATAATTAGGCATTGAAGGTTTCTAGACAATTCATTCGGTTAGTTTCTAGGCAATTAAAACAAATAAAAAAAGTTTAGAGACGAAACCGAAGGTCGAGTATTAAATTTTTCTTAAATGTGTTACAATATAAATAAAACACGCACTCAGAGCAAGATTTCTACAAAACTAATTATGACGACAATTATTAGAATTCTCTTTCTCTAAATAGCTTGAACACTTTCGTGATTCCTCGAAGAAACTGCAAAAATAACACATTTTCCAAAACCGTTCATGGAATGGTTCTGTACCACGTTGCTTCTTCATTATGTATCACACTATGAGATTTGTAAAAAATTAATTCTAAAAATTGAAAGAAAGATTTCAGAAATGTGGTAAGCTGACCGCTTATATGAAAACATAATTTTCACATCTGTAAACGGTATTATGATCATATCTTTATAATTTGTTTGGTTGTGAATAAAATATTTTATTCATGTTGGTTTTACCATATTACATGCAGAACAGAGTTTATTGGCGCTTGTTTTTTAGTTGTTTGACCAAAACAAATAACTGACTCGTCGTGTGAGTTAAATGATGAAGTCATAACAACAAAACGACGATTTTTTTATTTACCACTTCAACTTCAGTTCATTCCTTAGCTTTTCGAGATATTGTTGGATGAACTACATTCACTAACATCGATTTGTTTACTTCCCGAGCGTGAGCTAGTCTGCCTGTCGTCTATCATCTGGCTATCTGTCGTCTGTTCATGATTTTGGTAGACACTTCGACAGGTAATTTTCGAAACTATGGACTGATTGTTGTTAAATTTAACGTTAATACATATAATTTGCACGATTATCCTCCCAAAAGTCATTTCAAAGGTTTGGTAAATAAATCCTTTGTAATATAATCAAAATAATGTGCTTGTATACCTGTTATTTTAGTCTTACTCTAACTTTGCACATACAGGGTTTTGGGAAAAATTTAAATTATACAATATATGTATTTCAGTTTGTCTTAGAAATTGCTGCGAACGTTTGCACATGTTTTAAGATTATCATAAACATGATAAATATTTAATCAACACTTATCTACTGTATTATGAAATCTCACAATTTTTTTGATAAGACTTACAAGATACTCCTATTTTTTATAAAATCAATCTTTAAAATTACATCTATAATATACTTATGTGTTGCTTCTAAATAAATCTTCACTTTTTCGGTAAACAAGTACTTACATAATTGCATATTTACAAAAGATGGAATGATTTGTCAATATTTCTAAACTTTATGAAATTGAAGTTACGCAAGAATATAAAATCCATTGAAGTGAAATATAATTTTATTATTGTTATTATTATGAATAATCTATTTAGTAAGTAAGATTTATATGTAGGTACCTAACAATTATTAAAATTAAAAATGCTCTGTTTACGTTTATAGCATTACTATTATCACAAATGCTCACTGTATACCTTCATTCACACAACATTGAACACTGTAAGTCAAAGTGCTTCCAGTGAACCATGTGATTATTTGTGATCAAATAACCGCTACGAAAAACATCGTTCCATTTGAATGTAACTTACTTCAACAGAACTTCCTTCGCCCTTGAAGTACAGTCTGATAAATCCCGCTTTTTTGAAAAATTATAAAATTTGATTGTGCCATTTTTCGGCCCGATGGTTTCGAAGATCATCGATCTAGTAAAAATGGAAGCAGACAAGAGACAGACAGACAGACAGACGCAAAACTATTTTTTCGTACTCTAAGCATCATGAAACGTGGAAAAAACTTTAAAGTAGCTAGTCACACGATGAACTCGATTACAAAAGGTAGCTTACGCTGGGGAAGTAATTATATGGTAAGTAGTTTCTGATAATGAACATTTTTAATAACAGTAATTTCATAGTAAACATCGATCTTACTCATTTTTATAGTGATTATGAAATTCATTCAAAACTGAACTTTAGCAAAATAAGCATTTCATCATAAAAAAAATGTAATATTATATCGCGGCGTTTAAACAGAGTAGAGGATCTTAACATCTGGGAACTTTGTGCATTTGTAGATGAATTTGTTATAAGTATCAAAAATTTGAACTCAATGTAGAAGGAATATTACGCATAAATTTGAGACAACTAAAATTATTTACGTCAGTTTAGATTCTATAACAAAAATCATACAAACACGTTGATTTTAGAGCAGACATTTAAATGGTTAGCATTCTCTTTCATCTGTGTAAATTATTTTTTATTATTGACTTTCGTGTGTATGTTTAAGTTTACGATAAAATTTCTTACTTTATTATTTATGATTTATATTTTACATTCTCAGTTAATAAAGAATGCATTTTCATAGGCAAAATTTTTACCTGTTTTTATTAACGAACTACAAATGTATATGTTTAGTTTGAGACGTGAGACTACAAAGCCATTAATTGTTAATAATAATTTAATTTAATAACTGTTAAATTTCAGAGAAATATGGATATTATTCGACGAATATTAGAAAAATTTAGTGATCAGAGGCATCGTTACAACAGTACTGACAATGATTTACTCAAATCGTTTTTATGAAGTAATGACGAAACGGAAATACTTATATTGAAAAAGTATTACTTTTTACTTACCTTCAAGTTTTGGTTTTTTTACAGATTCATCTTTTGTATCTGGTTTATCTGAAAATACATCATTCACTAATACCACCAATAACCCAAATAATAAGAAACGAATTGCAGACGTTTTTTTCATTATTGAAAACTTTTTAGAATGATGGAAAAATAAGCCTCATGAGAATTTAATACATGCCCATTATGAAAACTGATTAAATAGTAGAAATACTGGTTTCAAATTGTTACATTAATGTTGTAAAAATTCCATTTCCGTACTTTAGGTAAACGTTTAGTGAACTCATTAAGATTAAGGTAAATCGTTTCTTCAAAAGCTGCAGTTTTTTTTGAAGATACACAACCATCTCTCTGAACTATTTTGTTACGGAATTTCCCCGTACCTTGGACTCTCTTCCAAAGTTAATTTGGCAAACATAAACTGCGAAGAATTCCCCCAGAGATGAAACCAGTCGCGTTTCTACTTTATTTAATCCCAGTTTGTCAATTAGCAGTCGACCTGCCAAAGCATAGTTTTGTTCCGATAACGAAGGATGACTAACATTCATCACGCTATATTTTGCTTATTTGTTCTTGCTCCGGTCGTTGCTCAGTTTGAAGGTAATTCAAAACCGCAAATTAACACAAATTTTAATAAATCTGCAAAGGTGATAGATGTAGGATGAAAAACACAAACGATAAAGGCAAATGTGTCCTATTAGACAACTGCGACTATGCAAAAAATTTGCTTCAATCGAGACAAACACCGCAACATTGTGGTTTCAAAGGTATGATTCCGGTAGTGTGCTGTCCATTGACCACTAAACTTGCTCCTGGCGAAAAAAGTGAAAAACGTGAGTATCGATTGTACTACGTGACCTCTTAACCCATTAATATATTAATACATTTATTATAATCTTTTTTTATTTGCAGAATGCAATTTCTACTACCCAAAACCCACACTTAAATTTCGCAAATTTATTGTCGGTGGTAAAAAATCATTAGCAGCAGAGTTCCCTCATATGGTAATCTGTCCAATCACTTTTTATTTTTCTTGCTATAATCTATTTAACAGGCCATCCTTGGTTACGGTGACAAGGAAGACATTCAATGGCTATGTGGAGGCAGTTTAATTAGTGAGCAATTTGTGCTTACGGCAGCACATTGTATTATTTCTCAGCAATAGTGAGTGTGATTTGTACAACTAAACGATTAGTAAACTATTGACATTCTGGGTTTTTCCAGCGGTGTAATCAGATGGGTTCGCTTGGGTGACTTAGACATTAAGAGTACTACGGATGACGCAAAACCTCAAGATTTTCACGTTATAACAATGTTTACACATCCCGAGTATCGATCATCTTCACATTATCATGATATAGCATTGCTCAAATTACACAGGTCAGCCGTGTTCAACGTTTTCGTAGGACCTGCTTGTCTTTACATTAACTGGACTGTTTCTGAAAAATTAATAGCAACTGGATGGGGAAAAGTGGATTTTTTTGGAGAGTCTAGTAGTCATCTAATGAAAGTAGACTTAAATTATGTGGATTTTGAACAATGTGCACGAAGTTATGAAGATGTTTCAAAGACAAAGTTAAGAAATGGTATTGTTGACGAATTACAAGTCTGTGCTGGTCGTCCGGATGGAGGTGATACTTGTCCGGTAGTTTTTCTCTTTTTTTTTGCATGCATTTTGATATAACTTAGCAGTTACTTATAGGGTGATTCTGGAGGACCATTACAATTTAAAGTTACTGATAATCCTCCACATTATTATGTAGTGGGGATAACATCTTTCGGCAAGGCTTGTGGTATAGATAATAGTATGGGTGTTTACACAAGAGTTGCACAATATGTGGACTGGATTGAAGACATTGTGTGGCCTGTGGATTAAGTTTTCTATTTTCGCGTGCTAAAGTGGTACCTACTTTGCTATTATGAAAATAACACGGATGTGCGACAACATCAAAATATTTCAAGGCTATTACTGGCTTACAAAACTCAAATTACGTAAATTATTTACTATTGTAATCATTACTGTTGAATGTGAATGAAACTTTTTCTGATAAAATTGGCCTTGAATTTGAATGTTTATTTATTGTTGAATTCGTTGCTGCATTTAGCCAAATTATCTCAACTCCTGATTATTCACTTTGATGAACATATACAGATATTTTAAGCTTTTATTCATTACTAGCTGACCCTGTGAACTTCGTTTCACCTACAATTTAATTTTGAATCTGCAAAACCGAATGCGTTGAAATCTTGCAGATGTTTTAAACATATGATAAGCATAATAAATTTTTATTCAAAATATATTTACTTATTCCCTCCAAAAAATTGATGGCGTCAGCCCAAAATTTTGCCAAATGAATCCTATCTAAAATGTCCAATATTTTATTGATTGAATCAAGAATTGCTAAACTGAATTTTGAAATATTGCAGACGTTTTGAAGTTACTGTTTGACATGGTAGGTTTTTAATCAAAATATATCTGTTTATCAAGCCCAAAAACTTGATGACGTCATCTCAAGATTTTGCCGAATAAATCCTATCTAAAATGTGCAAAATATCATCAGTATATTTTCGTAATTTATCATTGCATTCATATTTTTTAGATTTGCTTTTACAGTGACTCAAAAAAATGTATGGATCAGTCAATTTATTCTTGAGAATAATTCAAGTTGCAGAAATGAATACTTTGAGATCTTGCAGACGTTTTAAAATTATTGTAAGCGTGGTAAATTGTTAAGAATAGTTATTTACTCCCCCCAAAAATTGATGGAACGGCTTACTCGATTTTCGCAGATAATTTTGGGAATACAATACAGTTATTTTTAGTATTACACTGCAGAAAAACTCAACTTGAAAATGCTGAATATGTTTCATTATACTTTTGGTGCGAAGGAAGTTCTGTCGAAACAACGGTCGATCAATTTTTTGACAATGGTTGATATAAATAAAACTCAGTAGATGCTCATACTCGAAATACGAAGTATCTACTCGAATATCAAATCAAAATATTTCTAGTTTTTCTATATAATGCTAATACTTCAGTACGTAACAAATGATGCTCAAGTAGCATCTCGATATAACAAAAAAGGTAAACAGTGGCAGTATCCATCAAGGCAAAACTCGAGTCACCAAAATATAAGTTAGTATGGGGTAGACACCTTGAGATGGGAATCTCTCTGTTAGAAAAAACGCACTGCACAATTTATGCATAAATAAAAGTCAATTACCTGAAAAATTTTCGATATTCCCGCTCCTAATGTGTTTTTCAAACTGAATGCACCTTTTGACGACGTTCCACGTTCATGAAAGTATCCATGTTTAGTCAAAATTCACTCTTACAACGATCCTACTCGTTTTCTAAGCTGCTTTACAGACAGCTCAGTCATTTGCCACGCCGATGCTCATTTTTAGATTAAATGCTCACAAAACGCATAGGTAGATGTTCAATTTGTGTCCGGGGAGATGCAATGTTTTCAAGTAGGTACTCAGTACATAGAGTAGATGCTCAGGTATATAAGAGTAATAATGAAGTAGGTACTTCGTACTTCGAATATGAGTATCTATTCAGTTTTATTCATACCACCCAATGTCTCGCTTCAATGTTTGATTATGTTAATTATGAGCACAACGCTGATCAACTTCCATATCCGAATTACCCATGAAATAATTCATTGCGGATTGACTTCGTGGACCTATGTCAACTTGTCGTCTTCTCGGCATTGTAATGAACTTCATAAAACGACACAGAATTATTTTCACAGTCAATCAAATCTGTAAATTTTGTCTTGAGAATTTTAAAATATTGAAAACTTAAATTAAATCCTCGAATGACGGTAAAGTTTGAGGTTTTGTCGAAACCAACAAAGTGACTATAGGTAAATAGAATGGCAGATCAAAATTAATAAGACACTTTCGCAATGTGTAACTAAATTCACTTTAACCAAGACTTTTCTTAAAATAAACGACGTTTTTTTTACGAAAACACAAAGAACGACTTGAAATGCAATATACTTTTCACAATCGCACGGAAGAATTAGTTTTGTATGACACGTCAGTTAGACGACAGGTCCGTCAGGAACGCCAACTATTCAAATTAATTCGAAGTGGTGATTCCCATGCAAAATTTTTAGAATTTTTTTATCTTTTAGCTGAGAGTTTGGTCTTGAAATATTTATGGAAATTCAGAGAAGGTTTAAACGGTGAGAAACAAAAATACTAAAAACAGAAATTCTATTTTCCAATACAACATGTTCTGAGCTGTGAAACATTTAATGTCTTTTGTCTTTTTAGAAATAAAAGATTGTCACTTGGTTGTCAAGAAGAAAAGTGCTGTTTTTAGCGTTTTACCGGCAATTATTCGAATTTTTCTCACCTTTTAAACCTTCCCTAGACCTCCACGGACATTTCAAAACCAGGATAAGATAAATCTGTTCAGCCGTTCTCGAGTTTTAGCGAGACTAACGAACAGCAATTGATTTTTATACAGAGTTAGTCACGAGAAAATTATTTCTGAAAATTATTTTTACGCAACCCAGAATACTAATACCGTGTACCACTTGATACTAACTGAATTTAAAATGAAATGCTTAATCCATGATTGCTTCGGCTTTGGCACTTTTGGAAGTGTCACTTTGACTATTCCGGAAAGGAGGTTACGCGAGTGTCCATGGTCGTACCCACCCACTCCACCCAGACTACGCTGGCGCCGCTAATAAATTTGTTAGGGCTTGCTTCGAGTACCTCGTGATCTTTTGTAATGATATAGATTAGTTATGAGAGAATTATTTCTAAAAATTACTTTTACGATATTTTATTCAAAGGATTCAACGTAAACTTGAAAAAGTAATTAAATAATTTAACTACTGCAACAACTGTTGAAAATGTTGGCATGTTGGAGGGATGCTACGGCGTTTTTGTAAATGTGTGCTCGAAGACGCCCAGAGGCTACAGATTTGTACTTCGAAGAGGCTCTAGTTGACGCAGAGATGGCGAACTAACACATGCCCATTAGCGGGGAAAAATATTGCTAGAGCACTTACGGCTTCAGAAGAGCGCAGATTGAGAGACGTACGTTGATCCAATGGGGTTGCAGAGCGGAGTAAACGATGAAGAAAAATGTTAAAAATGAACTAACGTCAAACGGACACTGCCAAAGTCAAAGCAATCATGGATTAAGCATTTCATTTTAAATTCAGATAGTATCAAGTGGTACGGGGTATTAGTATTTTGGGTTGCGTAAAAATAATTTTCAGAAATAATTTTCTGGTGACTAACCCTGTATATATAGATAGATTATTGCTGAAACAACGGGTAAAGAGCGAGATTTGTTACGTCCATGGATGATTAGATATAACAAACGATTACGGTTCAATAGTGTTTCCACATACCCATGACGCCTTTTAAATTCTTTTACATCTGAAGATTCGTTAACCTCCTTCAACGGGGAATTCTAGCTAATAAGGACACGATTTGACAAGCAATGTCCTTTAATCACAAATATAGGGTTATTCAAGAGAAGTTCCGTGCCTAAAAAAATCAAGATGCCGCGCCGCCGAAAATACAGACTGTTGGAAGCTCCCCAAAATCCTTCCTATTCATAATGGTAAATTTTATCGACCCGTTTCCAGTGTTAACAATTTTGCAAAAACCTTGGACTAGTTAATTTTTAAACAATTACAGTTTCAAATAGTAGTTCAAAGCATGAACTTGGGGAAGGTACAATGGGTCCAAAGGCGAGGCCCAAGTGCCGGCTGGCTACGATCAGCCCCCATAAATTAAGAATCCATAATCCAGTAGTTCAAAGCGGCGACAAGGCCGTTCTACAGTTATTAATCTTGTTTTTGTTACACAGTTTAACGCAAATTCTATCGAATGTGGACTACAAACGGATGTAAAATATACCTGGATTTCTCAGGTTTTATCCCTATCGCTATAAAGAGCTCATGGAGAGCCTTCTTGACGGGTCTAGAGGCGGGTGTGAAGTGGCACGGACTCTGACAACTGATCGCTGGACCAATGGAGCTTGAAGGGTCCGGTTCTTCGAACTGAATAGGTTTAGGTTTTTAAGGTTGCGAGTTAGTGTCTCCCATATGGGAGATGGGAGGCGAGGGGACAGTGCAGTCAGCAGTGGCGTTGGCCTCCCACCCAGGCGCGGATCCAGGGGGGGGGGGGCAATGGGTGCAATTGCCCCCCCCCCCCCGACACACAACCGAGGTACTTTATTTTGACAAATTTCAAAATTTTGAAATCGCATTTCATTTTGTAAATACAGTACCTACAACCTCTATAATCCGAATTCACGATTATCCGAACATCCAGTAATCCGAACACAGGCTATTTGAAGTCGATGCTTCTTTAATCCGAACAAAAACTCTACAATCTGAACTGAACTTGGAAACACGCACCTACTTGCAAAAATGACGCAAGATCTTTCTATATATGTTGTATGGAGGGAGTATTTTGAAATTTTTAAACATTGCCATATTTCAATGCACTGAATTAATTAATTTAATTCTGGAAAAAAGTTGAAGTTATCGCAGAAATGAGGCTCGAAATCTACAAGAAAAGGTATTTAGGTAGTTAAATTTCGAAAGTCGTCGAAAATGGGTCGAAATTTGCATGAGGAACATTTCATTTTTGAAAAAATTTCCTAAAAATTCTGAAAAAATTCAGGGATATGTATATTCCGACGATTCCAAAAACATAGCATGTTAATGGTAACCGAGCAATATTTTCGAAAATTCGGTATGAAATTTGAATTTTTCGAAATTTTTAAAAATTGCCATAAGTATTTCAACTGGACGAATCTGGAAAAAAGGTTTAAGTTATTGAAGAAATGAAGCCAGAAGTTACTTCTCAGGTCCAAAATCTACAAGAAAATGTATTTAGTTAAATTTCGAAAATTGTCGAGAATGGGTCGAAATTTGCATAACGGAGGTAATACATAATGGAAAATTTCATTTTTGAAAAATTCATCTAAAAATTCTGAAAAAATTCAGGGTATAGATCCCGGCGTGTTGATTCCAAAAAGATAGCGTGTTTATGGTCACGGAGTAATATTTTTTTAGAATGTATCTATTATCCATTGTTGCTTAAGAATTCTTTAATTTTGTTTAATAAAATTAAGGTTTATTTCTTGAAATTTGTTTTCAACTGTGTATGAAGTTGTTATTCAATTTCCTTTCAGATTTTTGGGAAAATCGCTGATCCGAACAAATCGTTAATCCGAACACACCTTTTTCCCAATTAATTCGGATTATCGAGGTTCTACTGTACACTGTACGTGTAACGAAAACATGTTATGTCAAAAAGAGTATACTAGTTAAAATTTTATAAATTTTTTTGTTTAGAACGCATTTCTGGGAGATAGGTAAAATACCACAAAAATTGCCCCCCCCTAAACGAAATCCTGTATCCGCGCCTGCTCCCACCGAGTTATTCCCTCTTCTCACATACTCCAAAAGGTCAAAATTTGTTTCACATCTATCAAACCAACCAACTTTATCTCCTAAGGTACAGACTAGACAGCGGACGAGAAAGTCACCCTCAGACTCCGTGGGTTCAGGCGCTTTGCGAGGAATTAAATAAGATCCTTAGGACAGGGACAACCTTAGGCGCAAGTGTCTTGCTAGCTCACTAGGCAAAGAGCCTTTGACGAAAGTTTACCAATACTCTTATTTATTCGAGGTGATTTCTCAGTAGACAAAGCCTGGAACCTGGTGGTGGACGCCAGATCCCACTGGACGGGTGCTGTCCTCCGGTGTGAACCCGCATTGGTATTGGACTCGAGGGATAGTAAATTTTTTGAGGGTGGTCTTCCCTTCAGGGACACTTTAGAGCCAAAAGGCGGGCTCTGACTCCCAGTTATTTCACCATGTCTTTTGAACTCATTTATTTTTCAACGCGCATTCTAGAAGTTTGATATTTTGTCAACCCAAAATTTTCTATATACCAGGACATTTCTTTAACTCTAAACATACGCCATAAAGTCCTTATATTCAGTTTTAAAAAACAGACATCAGTGCATTGGCAATATGCAACTAATGTTACGTCCAGCCTCATTCATAAAAAATACTAAATGTCAATTTGTTTTAATTATTATTATTGTCGTAAAATATTTTACAAAAATGTAAACACCACTAAAAAAATAGAACAAATTAATGATGTTTAAAATGAAGAAAAGAAGTTAAATATCTTGTACTATACACAAGAAAACCCAATGTCTACATTAATTTCATTGCAAACACTGTGAAATTTCTTGTTCTACAAAATCAAGTGCGTATTTTGGCATAACATTAGTTACGTACTTCTATTGCGTTAATGTGTATTTTTTAAAACTGAACATAGCAATTAATATGTTCAGAGAAAAAAAAAATGTCCTGGTATACAGAGTTATTCACAAAAAGCTCCACGCTTAAAAAAATCAAGACGCATCCAGAAATACATTTTCAAAGCCATCTTTGATATTTCACACCATTTAAAACAAAAAGTAAAATAACAATTATCGGATTTGTGTAGCAACACGACGTAGTGGCAGATACTAGACAATTAGCGAAACCACGTTCCGTAGAACGTACAACATGTAAACCGTAGTAAAAACTGTTATATCTATGGAAACATAGAAAATACAGTGTCCCTATTGGTGATTGTGTACGTTAACGGACAATACGTTTTACGCTAATTGTCTATTACCATGTTAAAACTGATATTTCGTCAAAATTGGTGCAGAGTGTATTCACGATTGATACGGTTTGGATACATGGTGAGTCCTTCACAGTTATCCGTACAGAAGATACCCTAACGAGTTCTTGTTTTGAATTTGTTTTTTTTTTTATTTTAACCTAACAATTGACATTTTTATTCCAAATTAGCAAAGACTGATATGTAATTGTATTACTCGTCGCGTTTTGAATTTTTTAGGCAAGGAGTTTCTCATGTAAACTTTTCCTAGAACCGATATCACTAAATTCTCTCTTGCATCTACCACATGGCCTGGCTCCTTCGGGACTGGAAAACCGGAACTGGTACCATCTGCCTCCGTATGGAGGGCGTGAGAGGAGCAGTATGATTCTACCAGTACTATTACCGGAACAAAGAAGCGAAAACATAGTCTTTCTTGCTTTATGTCAACACCCAACTTCGCGTGGTGTGGGCTGTTTTCACAAACGAGAACTCTGACGGAGCTCAACCAAAGACTTCAGTTCCTTGTACTGGGGGATGCTTGTATCTCGACCGTCATAAAAAGCGTTTGACGACCATGAGCAAGGCCAGTACCCAGGCCCTGAAGATCTTTTTTAACGGACCTAGGTCAGGTGTAAAGCAACACGGAACTCCTACTACTGGCGGGCCCATGGAGTATTTAAGGCCTGGTCATTTGAACTGGATAAGCTTAGACTTTGAAGATTATGAGTTAGCCTTACCCGTATGGGAGACGAGGAGAGAGTTAAACCTGTATGGTGCACTCATGTGGAATAGATCAAGAAATCCACCTGCTTAGTAAATCTCAAAGTGATGTACTGACCAGGTCAATCAGTGCCCGTAGAACTCAGGAACGCGATGCAGTATATCGTACATGGTACTTGCGCTCGGGTAAAGCTCTACCTGTTGGTCAGGAAGCTATTCAAGTAGTAGGATGATTAAAGCGCGTTAACTCACCAGTTATGAGGTTGGAATCCTCCACCGAGTTACTCGCTCTTTACATTGAAATTTATTTCGCTTCAAAGATGCTAGCCAACCTCACCTACTACGGTACAAACTAGGTAATCAGCTTTAGCAAGTCCGGAAGCCCTGAAGGTTTGGAGAGCCTGAGTGACCCACAGCGCGGAAAGCAAAGGGGCTCTGGCGAAGGTTTACCAGTGCTTAGTTCTTACTTACAAATCTTGGGACCTCGGGGCTGGATTTCAAGCTCCACCGGAGTAGTGCCTTTCCCATTGGTGTTGGATTCGAGGGGGTAGTTAAAAGCTTCTTGATGATAAGAAAAAAACCTTAAAGCAACGGAGTGCGGCCTTCCTAGATTTTCATGTATCCATCATGTGTCAAATCGAAATTCAAACACATAATAAGGTCGATCTTTTTTGTACCTCACTATGAGCCTTTAGAGTGTAGAGTCTTTAATTATTCTTAAATTTAGTGGCATTTAACTGGGAGATTGCTCGAGGTACATTTGTTGCCGCTCTTTAATCATTACGGATACTAAGACCAAGTAATGGATATGCATTAATTAGATTAATAAAAACTTTTGAGATCCTAGAATTACAGCATATCAATTCGTTTGGTATTATTCTTTAATCTCACCCCATCCCCAAGAGCCTAGCGTAACTATCGATCATTTATCCGTGCATCACTTGAAAAGTGATCTACAGTACTCTGACCTAGTGATGCTAACCTATTCTGACTGACATGATCAGGCTGTTCAAGAAACTTACGAACAATATGACATGTTCCTAACAAAACAGCTTTTTGAATTTTGAAAATTATTGAATCATTGTAGATATTTCAAATTCTCAACTAAACTATATATTTGATACTAAGCTAACTAAAGGTAGAATTGACATTTTCTCAAGATTTAACATTGCTATCATTTCTGTTGATAACTGTAGATACTATATTTTGAAATTTTGGTGTGGTATGGTTGTATTTTGTTGTGTATGTTAGGAACAGCAATGTTCATGAGAATGGCTTCATTGGTGTGTTTCTTTATAAGTATGATATCTGCTCTGTTGGTTGCAATGTTTCTATCTGCAAGTATTGTGCGATCCTAATGTAGCTCGTATTCAGTGTTTTCAAGGAACGAAGATGAAATGTAAGTGTAATAGAGTGTAGTATCTTGGACTAAGTTTATATCTGTTGCTAAGTCTTTCTGAATGATTTTGGCTGCACTGTCGTGTCTAGCTTTGTACTCAGTTTGTGCCAGGATGCTACAGGATGCAGCTATGTGCTGAATCCTTTCGAGTTTTTCTTTACAAAGTCGACAACAATCGTTTCTTATATTTGGGTCTTTGATTATATATTTTCTATAATTCTTGGTATTAATTACATGGTCTTGAATTGCAAACAAAAACCCTTCTGTTTCGATATATAAACTTGATTTTTGAGCCAAATCAATGACATTTTCTTATTAATGTGAGCTAGCTCTTTGAGGAATTTTCCATAGAGTTGTTTTTCTCTCAGTCCACTTATTATGTTGTCTAGATTGTGAGATGTGGGATTTCTTCGGTATCGGATAAATGTAAAGGTGTGTGTTCAAATCTGCCCTTACTATGGCGCGAAACTGTTTCTTTCTTTCTACGGGTCACAGGAAACATTGCTTCGAAACTAGTTTTTTGTATAAACTTTCTAAGTTGTGGAATTCCACTTCCTCTGTTGTGTCTTGGGAATGAAAATCTCTCAATTGATAACTTCGGATGATGTCTTCTATATTATGTGAATGATTTTCCGTTTAACTATGTCCTCAAAATTAATTTTAATCTTGCCAAATCCAAATATTGTTCTTTGAGTTTTGTTAGGATTAATATGGGACTGATGAAAGCCCAGTTACTTGTATATTTCGATCCGTTTTTGGACTTATTATTAATAATATTATTGTTTAACTGATAAATGCATTATCATCTGTTCAATAAGTTACGAATAATAATAATATATCTTGTGGATCCATCTCGTACGGTCAGCAAGGTTGGTTGCCTATACCGAAAGCATTGTTCTCATATTGCGCTTCGTTGGTAATCGTCGCAACGCAGGTGCAAAGATTAGATAAAACTATCCTACCGTCGCGTCGCAAAAAAATAATAATAATGCCAAAACTTAGATTTAATACACATCAAACCGCAGTAGTTGTTAAAACAACTATGACGTCAAGGCAGGCCACTAAAAAAAACAAAAATCAACAAAAATTGGTGTGTGTAAGTGTCACCACTGACAACTCTCGTTTTCGCCGGTTCCACTAGGAGTTCCACTGCGTCTGCTCGCTGTGCCAACAAGATAAGACCTACAACACAAGTGCGATAAATTTCGCGCAGTCGCGTCTTGTGTGCGAGAGGCCGACAACAATCAGCTGTGAGCCAGTCGCGGGGTTCTAAAAATGTTCGCTCTCATTCCCCGGTGCCTACTGTGAGTAGCGAAATTTTTTTCTATTTCCATTAAATTCTCCAAAACCACTCATTTTCCAATCCATTTCTGTCACCAAACTGCCTCCCAAATCCAAAAACCCGCTTTTCGCGTGAACTCCGTGCACGCGCCTGCCGGATCAATATTACGGCAACTTGCGCTGGAAATTTCACTCCTTTAACCCAACTTTTACGATCTCTGTTTGTTTTTATTGGTGGGAAGAACAAATATCTGATAACTCGAACGGGAGACGCCTCGTATTCTTCATTAACACGCGGATGGCCTTCGTCGGAGCGCTGGCGGTACAATCTAAATTTAAATTTTATTATTGCATCGCCGAATGTGTAGCATCTTTAATTTCAAATTTTAACGTTATGAAGTGAACTGATGTCGGTTGGTCTGTTGATAGTAATAATGGGTGGATTCTCTACCCCATAAAACCGGTTCTGTATAAAGGTCCGCAACGAGGAAATGCCAAAACCCGCCTCCGACATTTAGCCTTGAATTAGTGCAACCCGTATAATGAGAACTGTGTTCATTTATTCACTATTATATCATCATTGCGGCTAGGTTGTTTTTGTTCAGAACATCATCTTGCTTTTTGTTTTTTGTTGACGATTTCTATTTGCACAGTGGACAAAATTTGCGGTTGTACGGCATAAGATGGTTTTTCCGCTTGATTCCCTCTTATGTAAAAGGTTGTTGGTTTTGTGGAATTTTACCGCCAAAAATGTGCCAAGTTGTGATTTAAAATGCTGTCGAATGTTTTATTTTTAATATATGCGGGTCCGGTAGTTTCGAGTGAAGAATTGTTTACCATCTGCCTTCAAGCTAAAACTCAATTATACCAAAGGGTATAATACCAAAATATATTCAAAAATATAAAACGAATTCTCTTAACTTTGGCATCAGCTTAGAATGTAGCGACTCTAAGGTGATGCTGAAGTTGAGGGAATGAACTACTAGTTGTAGTAGTTTGTGGATTTCCGTCGAAGTCTCTACTTTTTCAACACACAAATTTCGTATTTTCGGGATTCTTGTTGTATTTAAACAAAAACCTGTAACCGCATGTCGCGGTTGCGCACACGAGTCATTTTCACAGTAAAGCACTATTTTTTTATAAAAAAAAAATTCTAGCTTCTTGTTATTCAAAAATTTTTATGTTTGCAGAATGCGCCATCGCGTTAAATCGATAGATAATATCTGAATATTTTGTGAAAATGGAGTTCGACGGAAGCTTTAGTGCGGTTGTTATTGCTACCCAACTTGCGGCGATTTTTACGTGAGGTGCAGTAAATCCGTTTACCTGAGAAGACTTCTCCTGTTGTAGGAAGATTAAAAATTGTCTGCATACTTTACATTGGTTTATTTGTTTTAAATCTGGAGCATTATTATATGCATAAAAAAATATAAGGAAAAAAATAAAAACAACTGGGCATGTCAAATGATTTTCCTTTATGTTTAGAACAAAAATGGAAATTTCTATTGGGCGCTATCGAACGTGTAGTACTAACGTCATCGATGTTTTTTTAATTGCTAAGTGCTAACATTTTTTTTTCAAGCTCATTGAAAATATTCAACAATTGACTGTAGTCCTTTTGTATTTTAGAAAATGTTTATAATATTCTTGCCGTTTAAGAGGTATTAATAGCAAACAATGTACAGGGATTACACAATCACGGAAATTTGTCAGATGCTTTGTGACGTCAGATAGAGAGTGATTTTATGCTAACCACAGTGGCAATTGTTGAATTAGTGAAACGCGAATTAAATGCTGCTTGTAATCCGCCAAAATAGTACCAAGTTGAGAGCTAATACCTATTGTGGGAAATTTGTTGCGTTGTAGCATGTTCTGTTTTTTCGTATGCTCGGATGTGTAATATCATAGAACTACACCTAGACTTTGGGAAAGTGTTTAAATGTAAATGTTTTTTTCAATGTATGTAGTTTGTCCTGCAGATTCTGCATTTTTACCATTTCTGTTATTTCATTATTCAAAATTATAACGATAAGTCCAATAAAAAGTAACTGTAGCGTGTCGATAACACATTTGTATGTATGTTGTATAGGTACATGTGTTAAGCTGGCAGTCATTTGCGCAGTTGTCACTTAAATGTCATTTGACGTTAAGGTTAGACAAAAAACGATTATTCTAAACGATTTATTGGCGTATTTTTTTGCAGACAGCATTCTTAGCTTCCACTGGAGAAGTAGTAACAATTTGGTTCAGAGATTTAGAAAAAATGACGGTTTTAAAAGTTCGTACCTTATTTATATTCATAAACAAAAAAATTACAGTGCGGTGAGTCTAAAATGAAATGCTCTGTATATTAGACGCACTCAGTATAAATAAAAAATAAAACATGATGTGGAAAATCAAATTTCAAGTTAGTGATTTTTTAATAGTAATAATGTAAAAACAAGCCGGGCTTCTTAATAAGAAAGCAATAAGCAAAATTCATAGACTGCCTAATTACATTCTCTAACACGTTTGTCGTAAAAGTCATCATCCGTGATTTGACTGTATGTTATATTTTTCCACTGAGAATTCGACATAAATATTACTAAAGTTGCCGCCCAGTTTTTTCCATTTTGTTCTAAAACAGATACAGACAAAAATAAATCATTTTGTAGCTAGAAACACTTAGATAAGATAGATAATAATTGATTATAAATACATATTTTCAATTGTAGACACTCATGCTTTGATTACAGTAATCCCCGTTCTTAAAGTGAAAAATCGTACCACTTAAATACAAAAAAAATTGTAAGGAACTTAAAATAGACGGATCAAATGAGCTGGAGCCGCAGCAGTTTCCACATTTAATTTCGTTCACAATGAGAACAAAACAAACTAAATTATTTCAAGAATTGTGTGTTCTTAAGGGAAAATCAAAGAAATCCTAACAGTTTGTACGACTAAGATTATTGTTGTTGTTGAATGTAGTCAAACAAAGTAAACTGCGAAAAAAATATCTCATTTGCAGCGCGTGATCCTCTAATTTTTATTGGCGGATGATTTATAAATTTCTGCTCGAGTTGGCCATGACGCTTACGTCATCCGTTTCAGTTTCACTGAAGACGTACGCATCATGGCCAACTAGAGCAGAAATTTAAAAAATATTTGTTTGAAAATAAGTTTTAGAACTGTCACTTTACAAACGTATAGGTATTTGAATTCAATTTCGAAATCCATAGTTTACGATTAGGATTTACGATAAGGAAAAATATTAGAAATGATTAATAAAATTGTATTTTTTTTACAACAACGATCACTATTTTATGATTCCCACAGTAACAAAACTCGAATTACACAACATATGCTGTTTTGCTAGCATGTACACGAATATTTTTAATCATAACATGATATTACTTCTAAGTGATAATTAACGTACATGTGTTTGTTGTCGATTGTATTGTTCATAATGAATGTAACTTTATGAGATAATTTACCTTTATAATGTTTGCGATAATAGGGATTTAAAGTAAGCATATAAAATAATAGAATTAGTGTAACTTGCATTACATGGTCAAACACTTGGCTCAAGTACGAACGGAACGCCACATAAACGCAAGCAGAATTTTTAATGTATTGCAAAATTTATTGGGAGGTTAAAATATTAGTAATTGCCTTACTTATAAACGAAAGATTAAAAAAGGTAATAAAAAAGTTGAAATCAAACTAACTGTTGAAATTTGTTGTAACCACTGGTCACAATGAAACCTATTTTGTGCTTAATTTAACGGTTAAGATTTTTCTTGTCGTTAAAATAGGGTAACGATCGGCTCTTATTTAGTTCGGCAGGAAATCTGTGTGTTGTATTAAAAAATCAATAAAATTCTCTGCAAAATTAATATAATATTTTCTAACAAACGATTGCAGCATGGTTGTATGTAAATTTCTTTCTTTCTTTTTACTTCCCGAACATCAGCTAAGGAAGTATTGTAATCGAGTCCATCCAACGGTTTCATATTTTTTTGTCATGACCGCCAGAGTACGAAAATTTAGGTCTTCCAGTTTCATTCGTCTGTCTGACCTTCCGCAAAACCGAATGCTTTGAAATTTTGCAGACGTTTTAAAATTATTGTGAGCATGGTAAATTTTTAAACAAAATATATCTATTTTTATTTTTGCATCACCCTGTATAAGCAAATCGAAGAAATATGAATGCAAACGTTGTAATTTAAAAAGTGTACGGTACTTTATTGGCCGATAAAAAAAAGCAAAATAAGAATGAGAAACGATGCTGCAAACAAAGCTTAGGGGGCAGTTCTTTGTGCAGGTGGCTGCCTGGCTGCTGCAAGTCATAAATTATTGGAACGCCCGGCAGTGGCCAATTTTGCATTTTGCACAATCTGGAGATCATATATGTCAACAGACGGTCAATCGAAGGCGAAATCGTATTTTTGTAATAACCAAATTTGATTGATCTTTAAATATGGCATATCCATCTACCAATAAAAATCTTCAGTGCTAGACTCTTAAGAATATTCAAAGAACTTTCAACGGCACTGCAAATTTTTATTCGGCTATTGATATATTTAATTATACTTAGTGGATTCCAAATAGTCTGTCCAGTGTTGTATTATTAAAAGTTGAAGATGTTTCTTCTTCATCCAGGTTGGTAATTTTCTGAAAATGAGCTTTCGTTATCGCTACCTTCAAAATTATTACAAAATCCCATCATTAAACTCAGTCAAAAGGTTGTCGTCATCGCTAGACAAATTTTCTTGAGAAAAACTTGCTTTGGTTCCTGCTTATGAAGCTACAGCACAGCGATATTATCATCGATATCTTCATCTCCTTTATTTTCGAAATTTATTTACTCATTTATTTCTTGTAAAAATTTTAAACTCTTTTAGATCGTTTATACTAAAGGGTTTCTTTTCCATTTGATGTAAAAATTTATTTAGTCAAATTTTACCCAAACGAAAATATAAGATTTAGATAAATTAAACTAAAAACATATTATTAGGTAAAATGTAAGAGTAGTGACGCTTATTGAGATTACAGATTTTGATCAAGTTACTAAAAACAACATTAGCTTATTTGTAAAAGTCTTATTAAAAGTAATTTGGAAATTTCTCATAAAATGTTTCAAGTGCATGGATAATACATTATAGGCTATTATTATTCTTACAGATTTTCTTATACATTTAAGTCTCAAATTCCAAACTAATTGCGAGATAACATACATTACATTTTAGAAATGGAAGGAAGGTCTATAATAACTTCTGTATATTGCTCTACAATTACAGTAGTTATTACAGAAATTTTCTGTTAAAAATGGCCTGGATAACATTATCACTAAATTACCTTTAGATAAAATCTAATATGACAACAGAATGTTATGACATCGTATTACACTATTTTGACTGTTGTGTATATATTTATAAGAGAAACGTTTTCTTTAAAACTGATTCAAATTATAATTTATTGTATATGTCGATCATGTGAAATTTTTTTATTCATCTGAGATAAAAATTTAACGTGCAGTCGAACTAGAACAAATTACAAAATCCACTGTAAATATTTGTGGTAGAAAGTAATAATTACTACTTCTCTTTATTATTGTCGTTAGACTTATACTCCTTTTTTTTAATTTTTATTTTTGTATATAACAGCGGTAAGAATTTTGAAATCGTGAAACTATTAACGGACTCAGCCGGAGAAGGGTGCTTCATCCATACTCTTGGTTGTATTGTGAATAAAAAAGTTTTGTTTTTGATGGCTAAATTAGATGAATGAAAAATTTTGTTGGTTCCATGTACACCTATCGATAACCATTTGTGGGTGAAATGAATGAAATAATAATGGAACCTACAAGTTAAAAGGTGACGTAATATGGGGAATCGATATTTAGTTTCACTTATACAACGGTATTTTGTTTTTAGCTTCTTGCAGATTATTTACTTTTTTTATTATTTAAAAAATAAAACTAAAAAATTGCGTGATGTTTTGTGTACGTATAAGTGTATTTTGTCTACGTGTTGTAATTTCCCTGTAATCCTTATCTTTGCATTCATGTTCTGATGACATAAATAAGTACAGGAAAACGTGATCACACTAATTACTGCCTTGACAGATAACTACTACAATTACATACATATTAAAGATCAGCCTTTTCAAAAACAATTCCAAGTGTCTTGATAGACTTAAGTTTAGATATTGCAAGCTCTTGTTTGTTGTAAGGTCAAAATTTACATACGTATCTGCTGATTCAGTTCATTTATTATTAATTTAACATAAAATTATTAACCCGTTTCAGCTGTCGAGAAAAATACAGTGACTTTCAGAAATTTAAAATAACTCCAGTCTTTCGATCATTCAAGAATAAATACATGACGCCACATATTAATAAATTAATAATACATCAACGTACATAATTATATCAAATGTTTTAGCAAAGTTATGAATATGATACAGGATATCCACCTACATTGGAGTATATTTAGGACATATATTTTTTATACAAAAAAAAAAAGAAATAACAGCGTAGCAACCACATTGACCGAACGACGAAAGACCAATAACGAATCAAAGACACTACTGTGTGTTTACAATTTTAGACGCTGTCAACATAAACCGTACAGTTTTAAGATTACAACAAACTAGACAAATGGGTTAACGCAAGTACACTTTAAACACAAAATTGGATATGCATGATTCTCATACGGAATACCATTTACTTAATTTATCGAAATTAAATAGACCCATAAATGTTACCAATCTTTAAATCATATCCACCTTAACCGCACTCTTAGTAATCGATTTCACGTATACCTAAAAATAAAACTGCACTTTGCTTTAGAGAGCAGTTGGCTGTTAGCCACATTTCAGTCGCTAAGACGAAAATGAGCAAATTATCTTTATGTTGGTAAATATGAATATTTAGAAAAATCACTTAACTATTAAATTGCTTAAAATAGACATTTTTTATATCTGTGATTAGCATATTTTTCCTGGACCACACTGAATTTAAAACAATTCAGTTGGCATTATTAATATTTATGTTTAATTTTTAAGCAAATAACTGTATTTTTAGCCGTGTAATCGTATAAGAATATACTATTCTGTAATAGGCCAAATAAATGTTTATTATTGTCATAAAAATTGATCTAATGTTATTTGACAAAATTTCCTTCGCCTCTAATGTCCAGTCGTTAAAAAAAAGTCGGAAATACCAATCTCTAAAAGGGGGATCTCGAACCGGCGACCTGCGCATTAGTAGCCCGCGCTTTAATCAACTATGCTGTAAATAGCTGACGACAGACGAATAGAAACGGGAGACCTACTTTTTTCATAGTCTAGGGGTTAATAAACGTCATTCGCCTAATGGACCCTATTACAATACTTTTTTAGCTTACGCTCGAGAAGAAAAAAGGTGGAAAATGACTTCAGTTTTAATAGACGTGCATCTAATCTAAGAACTTATAAATTAAAAATGTTGCAAACAACCCAGGATTCTTAAAAACGCAGGTACGAGTACGAAACATTGTCTATTCGTTTCAATATACGAGTATACACTTATTAATACCTAAAAAATTGGAACGTAAATACACCGTTGGTTATAATTTTCAAAAATACACGTGGTTCTGATTTTGCAATTAGTTTTTATCACTCTCTTTTTAACTTATATATGTAGAATAAAATTTTCTCATAATTCACACGTTATATAAATGGTCCAATTTCATTTCTCGCAATAAATATATTATTAGCTGAGAACCTACCGTTTTGTGTCATAAATAGCTTTAACGATTTTCGGTCTTTAAAAAATAAAGTCTTATCGTATTTTCAATAAAGAATTTATTTTACCTTGTGATTTAGTAATTGTATTAGCACTTGACCTCTACATTACAATAACAATATCCATTCAAAATCTAATAAGGATCACTTTGTAATATTTGCAAAGTGAATAACATTTTTGAAACGAGTACCTGTTCATTCAAATAGCACTGATTTATTGAAACGATAATTTCATATTTGGAGAATTTCTCATCACGCTAAATCAGAAATTAGAATTATTGCAAAATGTAATCACTCTTAAAGTGTCAGTTATCGGTACTTAAATAAAGTGGATAATAGAATTTGCGGAGGAAAATATCGCGAAGGTCAATGCATTTACCGATAATGTCGTCAGTTCCTGGTGTCAACACGAAAATTAACAATTTCCTGCTTTCCTTCATTCCATAGTCCACATTCGCTTTACTCCACCCCATTGACGTTAAATACCACTTGCAGATCGACACGAGCCGTCAGTCTACCAGGCCAAAAAGCGACGTTACAGGAAGCCACAAAATGGTTAAAAAATAGCGAGTCCACCAGAAAAGAATACCACTGTGTGGCGGGCGATACACTCAACTATGGATCCACCATGGGCATCGATCATCTGCGTGATCCTCGGTTAAATAAGGTCGATATAAGAAACTGCTTTGATAGTGACAATCGATTAATATGTTTAGGGCTTGGCCTTCACGCTGGAAGAACGTCAAGCTCTTGGCATTCATGGCCTTCAACCCGCTCGAATTAAGACCCAGGAAGAACAGTTAGAGTTATGCAGGATATCAGTGATGCGGTATCAAGAAAATCTAAACAAATATCTGTACATGACCGAACTGCACGATCGCAACGAAAAATTATTTTTCCGGTTGTTATCTGAAAATATCGAGATGTTGATGCCGATTGTTTATACGCCTACCGTAGGCTTGGCTTGTCAACGGTTTGGGCTCATCTATCGACGACCCAGGGGGCTATTTATCACGATTAATGACAGGGGACATATTTACGACGTAATGAAAAACTGGTAAGGGTTGAAGGACACTAATTTAGAAATAGCCTTACCACCGCAGCACGACTATATCTTTGCGATCAGCTTTTTGATGATAATTTTTTCGTCAACGAAAGCTTGAAGTTTATTTTATTTATAAGATGTGAGAGGCGGCATATTTTCGGTGCGATCAAAGGTCGCAATTGTTGACGGAACATCTGTCTATTTAAAGAAAAAAAGCGAAAACGTTGTCATTAGCATGGGAACAACCTTTTATTTATTCGACCTTACAAGGATAAAAATAATATAATTGATCAAACAGTGGTTGTCAAGCTCCATTCAGGCGTAAGCAAAACTGTCAGCTTTCCTGCATCCTCAGCCTTTAGGTTTTAAGATTACCTTTACATGTTTTTCATAAATTCATGTTTAACATTGATATAGATAGACAACAAGTTTTGTACCAGCAAAAAGTTCTGACGTCTGTTACCTAAGATACGAAGATATAAATCTCGGAAAACGCATAAATTTAGTTATGGAACCACCATTCGACTGACTTGAATTTTGCGTAATACATTACAGGATAAAATCAATATTTGCCTTCAATTTTTCTACACCTTGCAATGATTGAAGATATTAAGTGCTAAAAATAATTTTGGAATAATGTTTTAGGCCAGAACCCGACGTACGTGCCATCTGTGTTACCGATGGAGAGCGCATTCTCGGTCTGGGTGACTTGGGAGCAGCGGGTATGGGCATCCCTGTGGGAAAACTCGCTCTATACACAGCTCTAGCCGGTATCAAACCCCACCAGTGTCTTCCCATCACTTTAGATGTTGGAACTAACAATCAAGTATAAAACATGTAAACTATTTAGCGAAAACACGATCAATAATCACGATCGTATAATTGTAGAGCTTTTTGGAAGACCCTCTCTATGTAGGTTTGAGGCAGAAACGACTTGCCGGTGCCGAGTACGATTCTTTCGTGGACGAATTCATGGAAGCGTCGGTGAGACGCTACGGACAAAATGTTCTCATTCAATTTGAAGACTTTGGTAACCACAATGCCTTCCGATATTTGGATAAATATCGCGGAAAGTACTGCACATTTAACGACGACATACAGGGAACCGCTGGCGTTGTAGTATCGGGATTGTTGGCCGCTAAGAGGGTTACTGGGAAGAAAATTTCCGAAAATAAGTTTCTCTTTCTGGGAGCGGGCGAAGCGTCTATCGGTATCGCAGATTTGTGCGTAAAGGCAATGGAACTGGAAGGGTTATCACAGGAAGAAGCGAGAAACAAGATTTGGATGGTGGACATCGATGGTCTCTTGGCTAAAGGGCGACCAGAAGGGAAACTAGAAGGTCACAAGGCGTACTACGCCAAGGATCATAAACCAGTGAAAGATTTTCCGTCGGTGGTCAAGGAGGTGAAGCCGTCGGTTTTAATTGGTGCGTCCGCGGTGGCTGGTGCTTTCACTCCAGGCATTTTGAAGGACATGGCATCGTTCAATGACAAGCCAATCATTTTCGCACTCAGTAATCCAACTGATAAGGCTGAATGTACAGCAGAACAAGCTTATACTAATACTGATGTATGTATTGGAAGGTCTGTGGGCTCTGATAAGTCGCATTTTTCAGGGTCGGTGTATTTTTGCCAGTGGTTCTCCATTTGGACCTGTCAACTACAAAGGGCACACGTTCTACCCAGGACAAGGAAATAATGCCTACATTTTCCCTGGAATTGCATTGGGAGTTATAGTAGCTAGAATTCATCACATCTCAGAAGAATTGTTCCTGTTAGGAGCTCAAGCGGTAGCTGACCTTGTTGAAGATGCAGATATTCAGAAGGGTAGCTTATATCCACCACTCAGTAAAATAAGAGAGTGTTCAATAGAAATTGCTACCAAAATCTTGACTTATTCTTATGAAAAGAGTAAGTAAATTTCATGTATTTCAGTGAGTCTCTTTACATTCTTTTATAGGAATTGCAACTGTGTATCCTGAGCCAAAAGATAAGAAAAAGTTTGTTTTGCAGCATCAGTATAACTATCATTATGAACAAGCACTACCACCTCAGTGGTCATGGCCTAAAGCACCAGAAATAAAAACAAGACCTATGGAACCAACAAAATTGGCAGTTTAAGAGGGACTTCAGTAATTAAACTGCAGTGATAAGTATGCTAAAATAACTTTTTTTCCAGTGGTATTTTTTAAATTTGGACGTATTTTAATCTCATAGATTGTAATAATTTATTATGTGTTCTTTGGTTTTTGAAAAGGCAATTCTATTCAGAAAAGTGTATTGAGAAAATTCACCGTAACATCCATTCTCAGGTTTGCAAAAAGTTCTATGTATAAACCGTGCCATATATTAAATTTTACAAATTATTTTGTACTTAATTTTCTTTAGTATTTTATTTAATGTATAATTTTAATACCAATTACAACGTTTTGTGTTTCGGTAGCCATCGGTATGTATAATTCGAAAGTTTGAAGTACATCGCTTGAAACATTAAGCAATATGTTCTTGATTTTTAAACAACAGTATTGTTTTCTGGTCATTATAAAGTAGAAGTGTTAGGTTAAGACCACACTGTAATAAAATTGAATAAATGTTATTGTACTGTTTAAGATGCCTATATTTCCATGTTTCTACAAAAAAACGAAGCAATGAAAACATTTTGTCCACGGAAAAGTATTTTATCTTGTGACTAACCTACTGTGATATTAAGGATTCCAACACCATGTAGAATTTTAAGGATGTTTTAATTCAACAAAATTTGCTCCTCCAGCTTTTGCGAAGCGGTTGTATTTAAATCCCAATTTCTGCAATCCCAAGTTTGTCCAAGCAAAAACTAAATTCAGACTCTCTTTATCTTGAAAATGTTTACAACATTTGGCTTTCAATATACTATAAATCATACCCTACATCAACTAGGCACATAACATACACAAAGTGGTCATTCGCCGTGTTTGATTCAAAAACAATGTATTTAGGTAAATCATGGACAACATTTGTTCAGAGCAACCAGTTGTACGAAAACTCTGATCGTTTTCTCAAAAAGTATGTTATATTGTGCATATATATCAGTATATCACTAATGAGGGCCTTTAATATGAAGGCCACTATCTTTTCTACATAACAATAAAAAAGACGAACAATTAAGCAAATGGTAAATGGTACGACGCTTTTACTACCTGTGAATCCATATTAAACTAAACGGTTCCGCCTGTGATACTTACTCCGTTATTGATCAGCCACTCTCGATGTAACACGGAAAGGACCATTAATGGCTCTTCCGTTGAGCTTTTTGGGTGGCAATGCTAGGGGTATTCAATGTTGGTACTGCAGCCATGATAGGGTTATTGGAAGATTGTATGAAAAAATGTACAACTATTAACTTTTTGCCAAGGAAACATCAGTCGATGGATGTGCCGCGCTGATATTGGAGAAGTTGTGCCGGTTTTTCCACCGAACTTCAGTGCCCGAATGTATTTAGAAATTCCGGAAGACATATTATTACCATCTGTGAGAATATTATATTAATTATCCAGACGACAACATGGTGCTAGGTAATTGCTTCATCCACACCTAATATCGTCGGCGGATCTGAGCCCCATCGAGAACCTATGGTCTCAAATGATTAGAAATTGAAACCAACCCTTAGAAAGTTTTCTGTTAAAACCGATTTTAATTAAAAGACCTTTTAGAATTGTACTTATAAATAATTTTTTTTTAAATACAACAGCAAACAACGTAAGCCTGCGTTTTGCATATACTCAATCATTTATGGTAGACAGAGACCAGACACTTGCTAGTAAAGTGGCAAACCACCAGTGCTATAATCACCTGCACCACACGTCGGAACTTTAAACTTAGGTGGCAAACTGTACAGTGCAAAAAGGGTTAGTTTTCCTTCAAATTCACGCATATCCAACGGCGTTCAATAAACTTCAGATATAAAATGCAAACATCGCATTATAAACTCAGTCTTATGGAGCAAAATTTTGAAAGAACAATAATTGTTAAGATACACAACGTTAATTCAGCCGTAGTTACTTAAACTCTAGCCTAATCCGTAATGGATAGAAAACATGAGCGCAGGATACCCTCACGAATCTGGTATCTGATAGTAAGTACGACTATTGAACTTCCAAGCTACTAAACTGCAATTTTTTATAATAAAGACTGCAATATTTTAAACATGTAACAAAAATTCATAGGTTATTCCTTGGATTATTTGAAGATTTTTTGTTTAAAGAATGATTTTAGGAAAAACGCTTTGTTTTGAAGAAACGAGGAGATAAAAATAAAGTAAAACGAGTGTACCGCACATATGAAGATCGCTAAAGTGGTCGACGTCGACCTCACTATGACCTGCTGGATTCCCAGACTTAAATAAAATGAAAACATTAGTGCACACTACGTACTGCAGTGGAAAATTAAAAAGATTTGAGAAATAGTATAATTGAGGGGTGTAATTCAATAAGAAACAACCCTGGTATTTTAGCAGTCAATAGGAGAAGATTGGATGTATTATGCATTTTCACTTTTCAGCAATATTTGTAAATGTAAAAATCACCCAAGGATTAAAAAATCTTACAATGACACAAGGAATAACCTCCTGAATTTTTACTGCATGTTTAGTAAACACTATGTACCTATACATATATGTATAGGTACTAAGTGACAAAAATAAAAGAACACCATGAAGGAATAACAACTTTATATATAGCCTAAGGGTTGTTACAATAAGAATTTATTAGAATTTGAATGGTATCGGTTCGGCAGTTTTAAGAAAAACATTTTTTTCTTGTGTGCTGAAGACAAACTTATCATGGTATGTATGGCTCCTTTGATCATTTCCGGCACTTTATTGTGTGTTTGACATGTTTGTCACAAGCCTAGAGTAAGTCGCATAGTGGGTCTTCGGGAAGAGAAATTATCATTTCGCTAAATTGTAGCCCGATTAAACAGGACCTTATCATCTGTGGCAAATGGTTATCAGGTTTGGTTCCAAGAAAGAACAGCACAACGACACAACGAGCCAGACATCCAGGGCGTCCACCATAAGCAATAGCACGTCAGGAGCGTCATCTAAGACTGTTAATTGTAGGGGACCATTTTTCGACCACATGTTCGATTGCACAAGAAGGAAGACTCGTAAAAACCAAGAATACCAACAGCCATATAAAGTCTTTCGGCCTCATGTCGTACCGGCTACGGTTTGCTTTTATTACCACTTACCACTGCTCACGAACGCCAACACTTAGAGTGGTGTCGAGAAAGGTTAGGCTGTAACGAAGACTGGCATCAGGTCGTCTTTACTGACGAATCCTGATTTGGTTTGGGCATGAGCGATGGTCGGATAAGGGTAAGGCGAACGACAACATCCACAGTTTTTCGTGGAGCGGCATGTGCAACGAACTGCTAGGATTATGGTGTCGGGGACGATTGGATACTTCAGTGGATCATCCGAACTATTGATCCACGGCAATACATCATGGATAGTGTAGCGACCCTTCTTCTTCCATATCTTTACGTCCTGCAAAACGCTGTTTTTCACCAAGACATATGCCGAATCACGCATTACTAGAGTCACTGTAGACCGTGTTGAAGAAGTTGAAGTCAATCTTGACACTTGCCATCCAAAATCTTCTAACATATCCCTAGTCGAAAATGTTTGGGATGTGTTAGGCAGGAAGCTATCCAATTTACCTCGCCCTTCAGAGTCTTTGGAAGGATTTCGATCTCAAGTACAGGTGGCATAGGATGAAATACCCCAGAATGGCGTTGATAACTTCAGTAGGTCATTGTCTTGACGTGTCAGGAAATGTAATTGTACTTCTTCAGTACACAAGAAAAAAATTGTTTTTCTTAAAATTACTGGGGCGATAACACTGAAATTCTAATCAATTCTTATTCTGAAACACCCTGTGTATAAAATTTCATTACAAGATCAAAATTCCGTCTTAGTGTTCTTTTACTTTTGTCACTGAGTATACAGGGTGTCCCAGAATTCGCGCCATTCCCGTGAATGACATGTTCCCTGTCCCGAACTGTGCCGTAATTCGCAAAAAGAATTGTCCAGGCTTTAACCGTGTGAGAACTGGAAGGCGATTAAGTTGACCAATAGAGAGGCTGCTTTTATATCCGAACGTTTCTATGTTCAAAGTTACCTATGCCAAGAACAAAAAATCGGGTAATACTAAAGTTGAATGAATTTTTTCCGAATCCCCCTCCGTCAACAAAAGGAAACATAAGTGTGGTTATAAATTTAATCATTTTGACAATTGTTTGTCATAAACTGCCACGAAATTCATCACTGACCTGAAGAGACGCTTCTGCGCCAAAGATGACTGATTAATGTACACAGAGACATCAAGGTTTACTTTAAGGCAAGTAGCATGGCACAGAAGTTATTTCTGCTGCCATTCTAGTTAAATTGTGTTTAACTGGGCTGTACATGTCATAAGAGAAGCTGTTTCATTTCATCGTAGGCAAATAATACATTTATTACTATTCTACATAGAGTAGCTACCGAAGAGCAGGTATTAGAAGTCATTTTCTTAGAGCCCCGTGAATAATCGTCGGCACCCAGACCAACATGTGTTTCACCGATTGTTACATCGAGCAAGAGAAGATGGATCCTTTCAACCTAGTCGGAAAGGCCGTGCTGGGGCTCCACGGAATGTACGTGTAGGTGCTGAAGAGCAAGTGTTAGAAAACATGGAAGCGGATCCTAGGAGAAGTGTCCTCTACGTAGCGCAAATGAGTGGATGCTCAAGATCGACCACTCATCGTATCCTTCAAGAGAGAAGACTGCATCCTTACCATTACACGAGAGTGCAGCATCTGCGACCAACCGACTACCCATTTCCAAATATTCTTTATACTAGTATGAATAAGACATCAATAACTTAGTGGTATTGGTACTGATTTGTTTATAGTTTGTATTGTTCTTAAAAAAAAATGCAACTACGATTTTTGTTATAATTTTTATTCGTATCTTTTCAATCTCTAGAAAGTACTCACAACTTTAAAGAAACTGTTTTAAATCATCATGTGCAACAAAAATATTATTCTTGAATAAGTCTCAGTTTTCAGTATCTCCCCCACATGACTGACACCACAGCAGATACCTATGATCTTAATACACCAGAGAAGTGGAGTCTCGTCTCTTTTTTCGTTGCTTAGATTAGGTATCAGCAACAAAGCTGTTCAGTAAAAATTGATACTGTTTATTGAAAATCATAACCACCGATTAATCGAAAGCGATACTTATGTTTTAGTACACCTAATAACGTTCTTTGAATGGACATGTGGTACTCTTTTTCAGAAATAACGATAAACATAATATCAGGCATATCATGCATAGTGAATTCTGAAAATGTACTAATTTTCGTTAAAAAGAACAACACATTATTCACGGGGCTCTAAGAAAATGACTTCTAATACCTGCTCTTCGGTATCTACACTATGTAGAATAGTAATAAATGTATTATTTGCCTACGATGAAATGAAACAGCTTCTCTTATGACATGTACAGCCCAGTTAAACACAATTTAACTAGAATGGCAGCAGAAATAACTTCTGTGCCATGTTACTTGCCTTAAAGTAAACCTTGATGTCTCTGTGTACATTAATCAGTCATCTTTGGCGCAGAAGCGTCTCTTCAGCTCGTCAGTGATGAATTTCGTGACAGTTTATGACAAACAATTGTCAAAATGATTAAATTTATAACCACACTTATGTTTCCTTTTGTTGACGGAGGGGGATTCGGAAAAAATTCATTCAAAATTAGTATTACCCGATTTTTTGTTCTTGGCATAGGTAACTTTGAACATAGAAACGTTCGGATATAAAAGCAGCCTCTCTATTGGTCAACTTAATCGCCTTCCAGTTCTCACACGGTTAAAGCCTGGACAATTCTTTTTGCGAATTACGGCACAGTTCGGGACAGGGAACATGTCATTCACGGGAATGGCGCGAATTCTGGGACACCCTGTATATGTATTAAAAAATCATACAATTAGATATGTTTACCTACTGTTAAATAAATGGTATAACAAACTTTGTTGTTCCTTTAAAAACAAAGAAACTCCTGTGGAACTAATTTTTAAAATCGTTATTTCTTGTTTTTTTTTAAATGTTGATATGTTTTGGAATTTTTATTTTATGGTTACTTGAAAATTTTATATACCTACATACAAAATTTTAATAAAAAAAATATGCAGCGGTCCCTACCCACGACGGTGATTCTATCTAGATCGCAAGCACTGCCGCACAGCACCTTTCCATTACGAAAATGCCATACGAGCAGGCCGTTACGGTCGCAAACTCGTGGTTGGGTCCCGGCTATGGAAAGAAGCCAACAGCGTCAGATCATGCCAACCGCCCCTGACTTCTATATTAGGCCTACATACTTTGTGCAGATGGCGCGACCACCGGCTCAACAAGGAACCGCGCACTCCGCTTCCACCACCTGTTTATTTGTTAAGTGTTAAAGTTTCAAAAAGAGCAATAAACAACATTTAAATTCGCCATACATTCTCGTGAAATTTGAAGAATTCTTATCGGAGGTTAAGATTGGACATCAGACAATTTTTATGTTGGAAACATGAATCTACAAAATGTTTACATGGTCAAAAAACTATCAAAAATTTATAGAAACAAAATAAAGATCTGATGTGAAGTACTCGTAAAACTTGTGCAGATAAAAACATTACGTGAGGTTAGGGACTGCAGAGCATGAAAATTTACGTTCAATTTAAATTATACAACAAAGATTGGGGGATAGAAAAAAAAATTATATGACGTGAAAAATTGCAAAGCTAACAAAATTATATGAATTTAATATTTTATGCCCATTCGAGTTATTGGTTAATTTTTAAAAGTGAAGTTATTCAGCTGAATTGCGGGCCATCGGTTTACGTTCCCCCAAACAAACACAAAAAAAAAACATAACAGGCAATCTAGAGGTTCAAAATGGCGTCGGACGAATGTGTGGTTCCAAAAAAGATGCGTCAAAAAATATGTCTCCCAGAAATGTGATTAATCCTGTGGCGCTGTGCAAATAATGGTCTAAATCGAAGGAATAAAATGCACGTCCCAAATGACCCACAATGTTGTTAATTTGTTCAATAAGACTTTGCAGTTCAAACATGTGCTTGCTTTGAAAATACTCTTTCAACATGGCCGCTGCCAGAATAAAGAATTTACCTGATGTTAAATTATGCCACACTTTATCAACGATTCAAACAAAGAGTTTACATTATGTTAAATTATGCCATTATCCAAGTGATTAGTTACTTAAAACCATTAGCTTTGAGAGTTTAAATCGTGGACTGTCCCCAGCTTATCCCAAACAAAACACATGATAAATTGATAAATAAACACAAAATGCATCCGACGTTGCCAGAAAAGTTTCTCAGTGATGTGATGATGATAACGATGATAATAACTGCCTAAGAGGAGAAATTTTTAATTCCCCCGCATCTGAGTCCACGATATTATGAATTCTACCGTGGCTTCATGATCTTATCCCAAACTCGGGCAAGGTTAGATTGATTTAGCTGCCATAAATGAACTATTAGCAATCTTGTGTGAGGGATTAAGAAGTGTTATAATGTAACGCTTGAGTATAAGCATCCAGAAACCTTATTCATAATTTGGTAAACTAAATGAATTTCATGAAGTCTCCTAGCAAGTGTGTTCTCTGAACAATCTCTGACGGTTAAACTTGTGTTAGAACCAGTTAACGATTAAAAGCCTAACATGAACTGTGAATTTACAAACAAAACAAATTTACATCACGTTTACATTAGCGTCGATCGAAAATTCGCATATTTCGGATTAGAAAAACAGCAATAATTAGCTACGCTTGTTGGGGAAACTGTGGCATCGCAATCGGTACGATTAATTTTCGTTAAACAAAGCCTTCTTCCCCTTTTTCTAACTAGAGCAGCTTTCAAGACAAAAGGGTACAGGTGGTGGGAGTGCGCAGAACATTGTTTTGGTTTGGCCTTACAAATATCGTGCAAGCAGTGGCAGCGGCGATGAATATTTCGATTTTAAATATTAAAATATTATTGGGGTTAATAAAAATATCACTTTTCTATTTTATTAGCGTTGACATTATAGAAAAAGAATTTAAACAATTATTAGTGCTATATTTGATGTATGAGTTGAATAAAAAAGTAAGTAAAAGAAGTAAAAAGGTAATTTTTAGTGAGCAATAAGAACTGTTAAATTAGGGTACAGTCGAAGCTCTAGTTATAAACGACAATTATGCTAGAATATGAACTGTGATTATTACTTCGATGTTAAAGACAGAAAACGTTAAGCCTTATTATCAACGGGCGGAATTGTATCTCATACGCTAGAACCAGTGCTGTCGCGGCGATAGTTTGATTACAAATATATTTTTCTTTTGGGCTATTTTAACATAATATAACATTTCAAGATCACAAATCTGTGGTCCTGTGGTTGAAAAATTAAAAAGGGCATCAAGTATTATTATTTGAAGTAATATAGTAATATAGAAGTAGTTTTTTACTAGTTGTAAACACTCCAAGCGACGCACTGGCTACGACCTTGTGGACCAGATCAAGGCGTCCCCGCTACTCGCCGTAAAATACGCCTTACTTCAACTGGGGGATTGCAGCGGTTAAAACAAATTCCCGCGTACTGCTTATTATAATCCGACTTTACGGTATCGATAAATTGTGCCAGAAAATAAAAAAACATATAATTATAGTCATAGGTTGCTTATTCTCAGAGTTTTAAGCCAACTTTTATCTAAAGATTTAACTGTTGATTTAAGACTAGTCGACTATAAAATAGTATATGATACTGGTTTATAATGAAGGGTTCGTGAAATTTTTTACTCATGCTATAATCCCTCACATTATAAACTCGTTTAATAATTAAAAATACCAAATTTTGTGTGATAGATTATCATAATTTATTGTTACGTAAGTCTATTTTTTTAACAAACAAATTAATTTATTTTTATTAAATGGTTGTCTGTATTCTTTTGTAGAAATTGCTCTTTTTTTAATTGTTTTTGAAAGAAGTACAACTCAGCCGAGCCTCCCTTCTCAATGCATCGATGTTACGCCACTGATGGCCCGGCTACAAGTCGCGCAACTTAAGCCCCGCCCCTGTACCCTTTCGTGCTGAAAGCCGCTCTACCAAACCAATTAAACTTAACCTAGCTAGCTTATCGCATACTTCACTCACTAACAGACAAAACACTAGTGACGTGTCACGTCCCTCTAGCCACCAAAATCAACTTCTACCAACCCTCTCAACAAAAAATTTCCTAGGAGAGCTACCGACTACCCAAAAAGAACTAAACGTGCACGTGATTGCCTATGTTTAAGGATTTTCTTGATTGAATTTTTTTCAAATTCAAATTATTCAAATGCGATTTCGCCACGCTGTTAATTTTTTTCGGAGCGAAATTTTAATTCAAATCTGGTCACCAGAACATATTAAGATAATAATGATAATAATTAAATGCCAATTGTTCTATTCATTCGTAGCCATCATTATCTTTCTAAAAAATAACAGATATAAATACCTATGGCTGTGAACAAAATTGCGAAATGCAAAACAAAAATACTGTAGTGCCGAAAGGGCAATAAAAAAGACGATCAAAGGCCATACATTTTTTAAAGATTTATCTTTAATAGAATTTTCGTCTTGTCAGATTACCGTCAATTTAACAGTTTCACTTCAAAATACAACAATCAAAGACAAAACTTCAAAAATCCAGGGCCGTCTTTGATCGTGTTTCTTGCTCTCTCGATCTAATGTACAAGTAAAAAAAGGCTATTCTCAAGTTTACGTTAAACGGTCTTGTCATGAAAATGAAACACTGCTAACATTCAATCTTCAAATTTGAAAGGTTTCGTTATTTTAATCAGTCCTATGTTTCCAAGATTTATTTGTTTATTATTTGTTTGGGACGCATTCGTATTTTTGGAAAAAAAACAAAGATGTACCTATACCAACATTTCATAGTTTAACTTCACTCTGCAAAACCGAATACCCTGATTGCAGAAATCATTATAGCATTACGATAACCTTAAAACGTTTACACTTTTTACTGCAAACATTTTAAAGTTATCGTCAGCATATGTAACCCCCCCCCCCCAGATCTTGATGACGTCATTTCAAAATTTTGCTAAATAAATCCTACCTAAAATGAGAAAAATTTGCCAGCCTATACTCGTTGTGGTTATTAATGATATTTTTTAGACTTGCTTTATACAGGGTGCCGCAAAAAATAAATTAATTACTGTTATTATTAGCATTACACTGGAGGTATTCAAATTACTGACCTTGTTAAATGTTGATTCGTTGATAACGTCATCATAAAATTGTGTTGTGGAAAAACTCACTTGCACACTTGCTACATACACAACAAGTTTTTTATCTATATTTTAACAATCCACACATACATATTTTTATCTTAAATTGTAAAGGCTATCATAAAAAATAAAAAACAATTAAAAAAAAATCGCAAAATCAAGTTTTATAATTTTTCGAAGAATCTATAGTTGGACTGTATTTTAGAGGCCAGGGAGGTTCTGTCTTTAAATCATTTTTTTTTAATTTGAATTAATATTTCATTTTTTTATAACTAGGTTGCAAGATTCCAAGTTAAAACTAATTTGGAGAATGAACTTTGCGAACACGTAAATAATTTCGTTGTAGTTTGGACCTACCTGCAAATTATGCCTTTGAAGGATTAGACCCTTATCCACTGCGACAGCCGACGAAGTCTGTACTCCCACAGGGACAAAATATGTGCCAGAATACCTACCTCTAGACTAGATATACTTATCTACTTTCGCAACAAATTAAAAGTTTCAGTAGTGAACAATCAGTCATCTAATTGTTTACAACTGAAACTTTTTTAACACTTACAACCATAAGGTATGAGAGTATTTTGAATTAAAATTCCGCCCACAAATCAGCGATGCAGAGAAATTTGCCATACATTTAAGATCGGTGGTTGTCACTGAAAAGGTCATACATTAAAAATGCATTTTGCTTCTGATGTATATCAAGGTAATTCGCTCGATTAAGTAAGCCGGGTAGTTTAATAAAAACCATGTATCTTTTTATATCCAATTGCTTATTAATGTTCCAACAAAAACAGTTTCACTCAAACCATCCTTGCGCGTACACAATAAATCCTCAACAATTCTAAGTGAAAACTACAATTCTATTATTCGGCAATTATTGTTGTTTTCTTCACTTTTCACTGTACTAATCAGATTTGCTCTGTTAATTGCTTTATACTTGACTTAATTGTAGCGGCGGTGGTGAACAATACGACTTGTTACCCGTGTGCGACCATGTCAATGAAATCTGAGTGTATACACTGAAGGAGTTAAAGGTACAAAGTATTCAGTTTCAATATTTGTGCAACGCTTGAAAGATGGGGAACGCGGCTTGTGTAGCTGCACTTTGTGGCGACAATGAAATTGCCAATAAAAAGAGGTAAGTAAGTGATATTTTATTTTGTTCACATAAACTCTGGGATAACATGTTATGCGACACACTTTCATAAAAATCAAGTGGGAATCATTTTTCCAAGGCCCAGCAATCAATAAAGCGACTTCGGTTTTACTCAATCAAAAGTTTAATAATTTAGACGATTCAGGAAATCGATGTTTGTCTATAATATGTTCTGAAAATAAAAGTAGGTGTTGCTATAGTGACTTTGTCGTGTCGCGGACAACAATAACATTATAACTTAAATTTAGGTTCATTTGGAATATCAGATCAGATTTAAACTGTGTTTTTTTGTAATGAAAAAATATGTAGACATATACAGGGTGATTCGGCCTAAATGGCGACTGTAATTTGTGGTTAGTGGCAACCAGAAATACATTATTCATTTATTACTTGATTCACATTAGTATTTACAAAATATCACAAATCCACGAGATCTGTGGTTATAAAAAAGAGTTTCACGGATCCATCGCGGATTTTCTTGTGCATAATAATGTAAGTTGTGTTTGTTTACATTGCCATTGTTGGGAAAACTCGGATTTCGTTGACCAAATATATATTGTATCTGTTGGATGTTTGGGACATCTTTGGGGGCACAAATGTGCCGCCACTCAAGCATTTTTTGATACTCTCAATAAATTAAGATTATGTTCTTCCCGGTGTTACTAAATAAATATCTTGGCATTTTTGGAAATAATTTTCAACTGCTCAAAATTGACAGTGACATAAAAATACAAACTAGGATTCATGATATTTTTTTAAATTCTACTATGAATCAAGAAACAAAAGAAAAATGTATTTTGGGGTACATATCCGGATAGATCAATTTCGTCATTTACCCTGAATCATCTTGTATATGATATTAAAGAAATTACGTAAACACTTAAATATATAAATTATTAAGATTAGTCAAATCGCTGTTTTGATATTTTCCTGCAGCTCTTTAAATTTGACCCAATTATTTTGTAACAGTAAATTTTATTTTGTGTCTTAACTTTAAAAACTTAGTTGTTTTCGTCTATTTTCATTGTATATTAACATAAAACTATTTTTGTCACTTTTTAGTTAAATTCCCTAGCATCACTTATTTTATTTTACGTGATTTAACTGAAATACTCTTAACTTAACAGATATCACCGAATTTTGCAGTGACTATTCGATTGAATAATGAATTTTAATGATCCATCAACATAGAATAACTCTTCAAAAATGTTGACGTGCGTAGACAGCAGTACTATAAATAATCCAGAAGAAAATCTATAAAATAGATTGATTCATTTATGTTTCGCCTTAGACTTGCTTCTCTCTGATTTCTTTATCCATGAAAATAAATCAATTGCTGAATTGATACATTATTTAATAAAGACTTTTACAGTATTATTAAAAATATCGGAAATCAAGTAGAATTTGTTGCTGTCATATTTCCTTGAATCAAATACGTATAAACCTTTTGAATTTTTTGAAAAATATTCAAAAGTTTGAAGAAGCTGTATTTTCTAAAAAATACTTACTCAGTGTTTGGATTTTGTGCACTCCTACTATCACACTGACAATAATGTTTTAAATGAAATTGAAAGACTACTTAGTTAATCGCGTATTAGCTACACTGCTGACACATACATCAATATGAAATAAGCGTTTTAAATCTATTAAATGTCACCGGCAGATTCAAAACTGGACACTGTTTTTGAATTCTGAAGACATATTGTTTCCCAAGGATATATGTGTATATAAATATGTAATAATACAAGCCGATTATTTTGTTTACACTTTTTTTTGGAAAGCTTATTATCTAGCTAAATGTTTACCTTATACCCACGCGAAATTTTCTATAGTTACTATGACTTAAATTAAAGACATTTTCGTGAAAAAACCCCTACAGTACGAAAAAAGTAGTCTCCCGTTTCCGTCTGTCTGCCTGGTGTTCGTATTCTTGTATCCATTTTTATTACACACGTAATCTCCGAAACTACTGGACCAATTATTGTCAAATTTTGTATGTATATTAGAAATGTCATATAGATGGTTAAATGCTAACCAAAATTTTGCTAATCATCCCCACCAACAATTTGTTGACGTCGTTTCAAAGAATTCTGTGTTTATTTGATATAATTGTTATAAAAGGATATACTCATATATGTGTAGTGTACGAACCTGCTTTAAATTTTTTCCCTAACCGTCCAAATTTTTGCAAAAACATAATGCACGGTATAATAACAGTTTACTATTAGCGTGAAACATCCGGATTTTCTCAAAAATGTGAGAACAAGCACATTTTTATATAAAAATAATAAATTAAGAATTATAATATTCATAACATTTTGTTTGATTGTTGTTTAATTAATAATTTTAGTCATCTGTTTTGAGAAGACAAACTTGATTCAAATCAAACTAATTTCTACGTGACATTCTTTCGATGTATAAACATATCTCAACACTTGAGTTTCATATTGCTATTACCTAGTGCTGAAGGACATTTTATCCCGTTAGTTAAGTGCTTTAAATATATTAATTCACATTGTCCGTACGGCGTAGGGGCTGCGGGGTTGTTATTTACGCCGCTGGTTTTTACTTTACAAAGGTTATTTCAAAATGAAAATCGTAAAATCAAATTTTAGAATTTTTTTGAAGATCTGCATTTGTCGGATTATATTGTAAGGGAGAGAGAAGTTCTGTCGAAATAGCTTTAGACCAATTTTTTTCTTTAATTTCTGTTTTTTCGCGCATTTTGCATTTTCTATTGGTAAAAGCATCTTGTCGTGTTCTTCTCCCGTTGTCTTTCAAAGCTATTTCTAGTGCAACTTTTTTTTTAGTTGCTACACGTTCTTTATTGTTTCCTTTCCTATTTCTTCAGAATTTTTCTAAGAAACTCTTAATCAAACAATAACGTACCTACTCGTTTTGTAACTACTTTCATGAATGAAAAGTGACGTGGACATGGAAGCATTGGTGTTTTTTTATTTTTTTCGGTTGTGTTTACATCTTTTACATCCATCTTCATTTTATGTAACTACAAAATTTCAGTTTTTAACCAATTTTTAACCAATTTCTGTACAATGACTGAAAAGAACAAAAATAACTAATTATACTCAGTATATTTGTTAAAGTAATTCTTATAATTAAATCAATTTTCTTTTATCCCAACATGATTGAACGGTTTCATTTGTTACAAACAAGCCAAAGTTGTATGGGTCTTCGAGTAGCCTGCATTAAAATTATTTTTGACTATACAGAGTGTTTTATTGTCGAGGCATAACACACAACTTAGCTTTTTTAAATAGAATACCCTACTTTTACGTATTCTGTTAGCTTGTTCCTAGACATTATATCCACAGTTTCTTTTGAACTTCCGATACGACGTTGCCAATGCAAGGGTTCTCAAAAAAATCGCAATGACGGTATTTTTGTGATCTGTGTTGCAATATGTTATGGATAAGCAGTTTTTTTTTGTTCATTTTCTTTCAATATGTTAGTATGGACCTTAAGAAAGTAAAAAAAATTCAACCACTATCAAGAAAATATGTCCTACTTGACAAAAAAAGAAAACAAAAAGTAATACCGGTGTTCTATTTGAAAAAACAGAAATATTGTTATTTGAAAATTGTTATAATTTATTTTTTTATAAACACTCGGAACGTTAAACCCCAGTTTTATTTATACCTCAGATTTTAAAAACATGCCTATTGCAATTTTTTGTAAACCCTTCCACTGGTAAAAAGTTTCAAGAAAATTTCAGTAACTTGGCAACGTCGCATCAGAATTCAGAAAATAAGGTATGTCTATAAAGCCTGAGAAGAGGTCAATCAGAATACATTTATAAAAATATATAGGGTACTCTTTTTCAAAAAACTAAATGATAAAAAATCTAAAATATGATGATCTCATTTGTGTTCCAGATATAATATTTTAATACTGATGTTACTGATTTTAATCATGTGTGCATCTCGTAAGCAAAGTATTTTTGTCGTGCGAGAAAATTATTTCATCCGCAATATAGAAAAAGAGATAGCCACTTCGAGGTTGCTATGGCAAATCTTAAATTATTCAGGTCGAATCAAGCCCAAAGTCTAGCACATAAAAACCCGTCAGAAAGAGTCTGTTTCAGTGGCACAAATAGTTAAAGATCAAGAAATATGAATCATTTTCATTTACCGCCCTCTCATGACAAGATTTATGACAACATTTGATTGTTAACTTTTGTGTCCTTCTCACTACTGAAATTACAATGTCAGAAAACACGAAACGTTTAAAAACAAATATTGAAAAATCAACTAAATCGGATGACTACTCTTCCTTTTCCTTGGGTCATTTACATTTAATAACATTAATGTGCTGGAGACTTCACGCTAAAGACGAATGATCATTTTATTATCAAAAATTTCCTACCTTCATCTGAATCATGTATCACGTTTTGTCCTTGATTTCTAATCGTGTCTCAAAAATCCATGCATTATTATTTGCAAAAATACGTACTAATTTAAAAAATAGGAAGGATAATGTAAGGCCAACTACAAGTAACTAACTCGTAAAAAAAAAAATAGAAAAATCTGTCATCACGACTAGATTAAAGCTAATGCTAACATTGCATTCGAACTTTCACAAGAATGCATCAGAAGACAATAAATTATATAACCTTCTCCAAGGAGAACATCAAAGTGACCCATATAATTTGTGCATAATTGTTACATTTATAATTATATTCCATGGTAACAGTAACCAGAAACGTTGAAAAATGACACATTCGTTCGACTTTCTACATCCTAAACGTTTCTGTTAAAATTTTTTGTGTAAATTTTTTTCGTTGTACCTTTTGAAATCCCGATCTGGCTGGGCCATAGAACATATCACGCAGCGAAATTAAACGAGTGGCAAAGTACAAGCAAATCATGATGCATATAAAGCGAACCGTAAGTGGAAGCTCGGTACATTTGAGTTGTGTCGGGCGAACGAGCGTAGTCGCTGTGAGAAAGATGACTAAAATGTTTGATTTTTACGTCAATAATACCGCTGGGAAAACCTCCCAGGAAAAGTAAGTAAAATTTTCTTTTTTCGTTACGTGGTGGTGGTTGCTGCAAGAAGAGATGGCAGTGATGCGCAAGTGCATTTGTTGAATCATGGATCGATGCAAGTCTTAATCAATTAACGTGTTTATGTTTATTTTAAACTTATTGATTGAAATTAAACTTTTCTCAGTTTTTTTTACGAACTTATTTGTCAACATGTATATTAGGAGAGGTAAATTTAAAGAAAGTGTAATTTTATTAATTAAAAAAGTATTTCCAGGCAGAATTTTAATTTTGGAATGATTTATGTTAATAGCTTTGTTAAAATGATAATAATGCACAGCTGGTGATTTACTATTTTTACAAAAAAAAAGAAAGTTTATAAATTTGCGAAAATTACACATGAAACTGATTTCTTTTAATGTTAATATTGATTAGTTGAAAAATGTATCCCAGAACGGCTTCATTTTGGATTTAACTGGTTGGAGTTACAGTAATAAAAGGAGAAATATTACCCACACGTGGGCACATAGCTGATGGTTCATTTGAAGGAAAATCCTTTGTCAATAAAATTTAGAATATATAATATGTAAACCGAAAAGACAATAAACAATATTAAATGAACCCATTTTGGGTTAAATTGAATTAAAAAAATATGTAATGTAGAGTATAATTATAATACAGCATACGCGTTGCATTACCGACAATATTAATAAATTAGATTATGTGATTCTCCTACTTGAACTGATCAGCCCTATGAAATGGGCGAAGCGGTATTAAATCACATGAGGTGATAATGTGCTGATTTCGTGCCGACCAATAAAATGTAACGCTGTAAGCGCCGAAATTTGTCCCTAAGCAGTTTACATTATCCTCTGTAAATAGCAATAATCGTAAAAAAGGAAGTAACAATTTTTGTATCGTGTGAACAGTAGGTATAATTTGTGGTCACAGAAAGCAATTGAACTAAATCGTTGATGAGATCGCACTACTTTACCAAAAATTCGGACAAGAAAATACTTATATTTTTAAGTATGTATGATTTTTGAAAGTGTGAATTTTGAGACGAGGACCTAAACTGTCCGAATATTATGAATGTTTCATGCATTATCGGCAATAAAAATGCTTAGAACATGGTTTGTATTACATATAAATTCCATTCATGATCTCTCTGGATAAGGCTTGGCTGTGTAAATTTGGCAGCTTTTTTAGTTTAAAAATGAGTTTATGAATTCAGTTATTCAAGTCAGATTTTCTTTAGACATATTTATAGGAATGGTACGACAAACTTAGCTGTTAATTAATTTTTATCCTTTACTAATTTATTTGATGTTCTATTACTCTGTTCATCTCTGTTTAAAATGATACTAATATACGTAGGTACAACATATTCCAAGTAAAGTAACCTCATTTGACATACACCTGTTAAAACTTTTATGACTTAAGCGGCTTAAGCCAAACCACCCTTATAAGTCAAACTGGCTATTGTATTACTTAATTCAGTTCACAGCTACATTATGCCAACAATGGACAGTAATAATCTTGCGGTTCGGGTCCACAAAGCTTACAATAGCCAGTTGACTTCTAAGGGTGATTTGGCTTAAGCCATAAAAGTTTTAACGGGTGTATGTCAAATGAGGTTTGTGTAAGCAAATATTTTTAGAATTTTTAGAATTAGTGATTTGAAAACTTGCTTCTTGTAATTTTGCCTAATAATTTCACCATAAATCTGGAGACTTAAACTTATCCATTATGAATTTGATTGCGTCATGTGTAACTTTCAATTATGTTCTTCTTTTTATCATATCTTTACTTCCAGACCGTAAGCGAAGGAAATATTGTAATCGAATCCGTCGACCGACTCTCTACTTTTACGTTTTCTCGACCTTGCATGACCCCTAGAGTACGAAGAAATAGGTTTCCTGTTTCCGTCTGTCTATTTGTTCGTCTGTCTGTCCGTCTTTCTGTCTGTCTGGTTTATATTTTTGGATTTGCTTATACAGAGTGACTCAAAAAATTATTGAATACGTGAATTTATTTTATTGATTTAATCAGAAACTGCAAAAGTGAATGCTTTGAAATCTTGGAGTTGTTTTAAATTTATCATAAGCATGGTAAATTTTTGATAAAAATGTATTTGCTCATCCCCCTTAAACAATTGATGACGTCACCTCAAAATATTGCTGAATAAATCCTATCTTAAATGTGCGAAATATAATGAGTCTGTACTTGTGATTTATCACTGCATTAATATTTTTTAGATTTGCTTATCCAGGTGTCTGAAAAAAAATTAATGAATGAGTCAATTGATTTATTGATTAAATTAGGAACGGCTTACTCCATTTTCCCAGAAAATTTTTGGAATACAATACTTTTATGTTTAGTATTGCACTGCACCCATCCAAGTTGATTGTTTCAGTGTACTTCAGGAGCTAGGGAAGTTCTGTCGAAACAACTTTCGACCAATTTTTTTGAACTTCATCTTTGCGGCACGACTAATAATAGGTTAAAATGTGAAAGCAAAAAACAGTAAACTTACTGAATGAGCCTTATCTTTCAGTGCAATCAAGTATTTAACTTCAAATCTAGCATAACCCTGACAAGCCTAGTTTACTATTTTCCAACCCAATTAACTATTTCACTAGAAAGAATCTAATTCATTATCTAGGTCATAATCACCAACTGATTCTGATTCAGATTCTCCTAATGAAATAATTAAAGAGAAATATTTTCGAAGAATAAATTTCCCATGTGTTTTTTCCAGTCGGCAAAAATAAGTCTTCACTACGTCTACATTTTTTTTCCATTTGTACATCTAGAGGTGTTTTCGAGCCATAAGTTTGCTACCTTTTCTGGAGATTTAATTATATTTACGAATTTATATGCGTATTGTAGAAATTTTTGCAAAACCCCCACGCCATTTCAATAGGATTGTATTGACAATGGTATGGAGATAATCTAAGAACTTCATGACCATACTCACTCAATAATGTTTCATCAGTCACATAACGTCAGGTTGTGTTCGTCCGAGGTGTAATAAAATTCCAAAGTTGTTTCAAAATTTTTTCATTGAAATTGACACCATGATTAATCATAATCAGTCATTCCTGCACTGACTTTTTATACACGATGATGTAGACATCGCTGTTGTAGTTTATTCAAACCAGGATTATTCACCTAATTTCAAAAAAGTACTCCGTCTATTGTCTTGTGGTAGTCCCTGTCATTATTTTAGAATTTACCAAAAAATCACACCCCTCTAAAAAGCCAAAAAGGCCCCAAAATGGTAAATCTTGAAACTTTAGACAATTTTGATTGGGTTGTTTTTCAAATCGCTTTTATGTAACCAACGACGAATGGAAGATCCTTTCTGGTAAATCCACGTTTCGTCTAGATATACAAAGAATACATTTTCACCGGAATTTTGAAATTGTAAAAAATTAATTTTTGCTGCATCGACAAGTTTTTCTTTCACCTAAAATTTTTGGTCGTTTAACTTCTTCATGTTTATATCCCATTGACTTTAAAATTTTAAACGAAGTGGTTCTACCGCCTTTAATTTCCAAATATTCGCGTGAATCGACCAACAGTTTGTCAGTTGTAAAATATTCATTATTGTCGTTATACAGAGCCAGAGCATGTTGGTTTTAAATTTGGAATGGATTGGCCTAAAAGTTTTTCGATCGTTGATCTGCAGACCTGTAAAGTTTTGTATAAATAGTTAACATTTCGTATGAAATGAACTTACGAAAAGTCTTGAAATTGCTCAAAACCCTTTTAGACTACAAGTTTTTGCTCTATAGCAATAATTCGTGACAGTTTTCAGTATTTTGACAGATCATTAATTTTCATATATTTATCACTCTACGTACTATAGCAGTATTTGGCCCAAAACACTGAGGACAGCGACAGCAGCAAAGACTCGGCATTATGTTCTTAAAACAGATTATCCAACAAAATAATAAAACTTTAACTACAGTCATCTCTTATCCACAAAGATCGTGAATGGAATAAATTTGATAATATTGTTACCATAAACAAAAATGCTGCATTTTGACCGTCTTGACGCACTTGCGATATGCAGAATGTTGGAGGAACTGGAACAGATGGTATAGGTACATACACTGAATTAGCTTTACAATTTATAGAAATCCGCTCAAAATTGATATTGTGTATCATAAAATCCCTAACGTATGCTGTGGTGGGGTGATGTTTGGAGAACTTTTGAAAACAAATTTTGGATACAGTATGTTATCACTTATCAGATTTTTTATAACAATTGAACAAAACAAGGTCATAATCATGCTTCCGTGTTTCACCTATGATATATTATGTACATTCTGTTACAATACAATTTCGTTATCCGGTTCTGTCTATTAGGGGAATAATCACACGAAGGGTCTTGGGCGTGAATACACTTCACCTTTCGGTGTAAAACACATTCACTGCAAAATAGGTTTTTGCAAGACGCATATAAAAATCTAGAGAAGATAAGTATATCAGTATTTTTTTTTCTTTGTAATAATAAATAAATGGTGAAAAAGGAAAATAGCCACCTTATACGAGCACATTATGGTGCTCGTTGGATAAGAGCAAGGAATCATAACGCCCTAGAAAATAATCGATTATACAAGCAGTCGGCACTTTGGCAAGCAAACACTGCTCAACCTTAATCTTTTCGTTATTGGGTTGAGCGTTTATCTCTCTGATAATAATTGAATACCATCGTGAAATTGAATTAAATGATTAGGTGTCGTTTGGATCGTAAACTTTAGTTAACAGTGAACTGTGACAAGGTACGTACATAAAAATCGTTATATTTTATTTTTAACAACTGACCCCTCTTTTTGGCAGCTACGCTATTATTATAATAGTGTATTAGTTTTCTTAATTAGTTATTAACCAATAGTTTAGTGATAAAAGACGACAGCGTATTTTTTGGTTAAAATCGGAACACTTGTATGTTATTTAATGAATAACATTATCGCATTATTAAATAATTACTTACTTATATCGTCCTTATATCAAACTATTTTTGTGTCGGTTTTTTTTAGGTTTTGAATTAAGTTGATTAAAATTTAGCAGTGAAAATTCACAAAAATCCTTAAGCTAATCCTTTATTCTCTTAATCTTGAGATGAGTTTTTTGGTAATTGTGGGGTGTTCAATATATTTTCAGAATGTAAGATCTCCATTACTTACAGACTTATAGTTATGGAATTTTTAAATATAACGCCAGGACACTTATCATTATCTTTTACTTTCCGACTGAAAGCTAAGGAAGTAAAAGGGTCCGACGAATGAGTACTTCCAGATTTTCTTGACGTTTCATGATCTCTACAGTACGAAAACGTAGGTCTTGCGTTCCGTCTGGCGTCTGTCTGTGTAAATTTTTGTTAGACAAATAATCTTCGAAATTACCGGACCGATTGTTGTCAAATATTATACATAAGTATGTTAGGAATATCGTGTAGATGGTAAAACGCTAATCACAATCTTTTACTGTCATGCTTTATTTAAAATAATTTCCACTAGCTACAAGTTTCTCTTTATTCCTAGTCCTTTTTGATAATTTCTGGTTTAATTTGGTCATGCTTGTCTTGCTTTGATATCAATTTACAATTCCTTTATTGTTATTTCTTCTATTTGGTCTGTAGTGCAAACTCTCTTGGGGCCTTTCCGATTCCTTTTTCTTTCATTTAAAATTTTTAGCATGGTAATTTACCCACGTTTGTTTTTGTTTTTAGCTGGTTTTATCATTTCTTATCCCTCTTGGTTTTTCTCGTTTATTTCCTTTTAATTTGTTCCCTATATTCCAGAATTTCTTGTTGTTTTTTTTACCCAGGACTTCTTTTTCTGTTTGTCTGTCTGTCTGCCCGGATTTTTATTAGACAGATAACCTCTGAAACTACTGGATCGATTGTTCTTATATATGTTGTTGTTATATGTGTATTAGGAATATCGTGTTGATGGTAAAACCCTAACCACAATTTTGGATAATCATCCCACCAACAGTAGGATGACGTCATGTCCAAAATTTACATTGGTAAAAGTTATTTAAATTTAACGAAACATGGATTCATGTTGAGTTTTTACCCTAAACATCCAGATTTTTGAAAAAAAAAACAAAAACCGAATGCTCTGAAATCTTGCAAACGTTTTGAGGTTATTATACGATAAGCATATATAGATGTCGTAAGCATGGTAAATCGTTAATCAAAAGTAATTTTTTTACGCTTCCCCAAAAATTAATGACGTCGTTTTATCATATTGCCGAATTTTACATTTTCGAAAATTACATAGCCCTGCCTGTGTGATTTAAGAATCCGCGTTGAGTTTTTACCCTAGTCATCCAGATTTTTAGGAAAAAATTCAAATTTGTATTTTACAATTTAACTTTGAAATTGCAAAACCGACTGCTCTGAAACTTCACCAACATTTTAAGGTAATAGGAAGCATGATAAATCGTTAAACAAAATTTGTTTGTTCATGGCCTCCCAAAAAATGATGACGTCATCGTACAATTCTGCCGAATAAATGTTCTTTAAATTTTATGATATAACATAATTCATAAATCATACATCATAAATCCGTGTTGAGTTTTCACCCTTGGTATCTAGATTTTTGGGAAAAAAATAAAAATTTTATAACAGTATTTTGTAATTTAACTTTGGAATTGCAAAAACCGAATGCTGTGAAATCCTACAGATATCTTAAGATTATTGGAAGCATGGTAAATCGTTAATTAAAATTGGTCCCTAATCTTTCAATTTTGCCGAAGATTTATTCTTCAAATTTATAAATAAAAACTGAGTGGGGTTAATTAATTAATCAGTTCTCTGAATGAATCACATTTCTTTTTCTTTTAACGGCTGATGCTTGTAATCTGAACGTGCTAATAGCCAAATTCTTTCGAAGTATGAGCATGAACAGTCGAAGTTAAGCATGTACTGAGAAATTGAGAATATTTTTTATAAATGAATTTTAACACTAAAAAATGCTGAATGACAAAGATTTTACCATAAATTGTAAATAAGATTAACGTATCAACTTCTTCAGAAATCGATATGTTTTTAATCACTGTCGCTAATTTTCTCATGTAGAATCAATTGCTTATGGGTTTCAACCTTGCTGCTAACCCATAGTAGAACACAGTGTAGCCATTACAATTACCTAAGGGTCATTTTTGGAACGATTTTTTTTTTTTTTTTTTTGGTTTATGAATCTATTCCCTATTAAAGTTTGTAACAAATTTAACTATTGTGTAATCTAAATCTAGTTCAATAAAATTATGAATTAGCCGATAAAATTTATACAAGTTAGATTTTTTGCACAGAATTGTGTTCTTTTACATTTTTGTGGAGACCCATAGTATACCTACAAAACTTGATAGCAGTTTTTTCGTAGAAATTTCAAGCTTTACGATTTTACTTCGATATTGTCAAAAAACTAAAATGAGCTCCATTCCCTCTTTTGAGATAATCTGAGGGATGAGGCTCAATTAAAATGTTACAATGCCTATAATTTTTGTAATTGACCAATGGTTTTTGAGGTCTGTCAATCACATCGCAGGTGTAATAGTTTCTGTATATTTTCTCGAAGACTAATACTGCGTCATATTTTTTTTTACTTTTTTTTGTCTAGGCTTCTGTCATTTTTGGTATTACGATGATGTGGAAACCAGTTGTAGAACATCAAAAAGCGCTGATAGTGGGTTTTTTAATGTTGCTTTTTTGATATTCTTTATTTATGTATATGTATAAAGTCATTAACTTTTTGGGGAGGTGTATCCTCGGCTTCGCTTCGATCATGAATCATCATTCGCGGCAACAGATGCATTTGTTGTCCTGTTAAACAAATAACTCTGGTTTGTTTACTCATGGAAAGTTTCAAGTTCACTTTGAGTTAGATCTGTCAGCTACTTAATTTTGTAAACTAACTGAATCGCTTTTCTAACAACATTGAACACTAAACAAAAATGTTAGATATGTTGTCAAAACACGTCAGCAACATTTTGATTGAAAATCTTATCCAAAAACCGAGAAAAGCCTTAGTAAAGTAAAAGTGCAGCCAAAAATACACCATGATTTCCTTGCCATCTGCCTACCAGCACGCACGTGTGTGAACGACGCCGCCGTCGGCGTCAACAGCTGATGCACCCAACCAACGTCGTCGACGCGCTTGCGTCCACTATTCTCCTCTCACGCTGTTTCGTATTTCAGCGGACATCGCCTAGACCTCGCCAACAAGTCAAAAGTGCAGACGTCCACTATGTCCACATACGAAAGGGATCGCTTGGGCCAAAGAAACATCGGGGACAATGAGGCCTGCTGCAACAGCATCGTCAGCGGTGTCAACAGGCTGACGAATCCCGGTTGGAACAAGGTACGAAATGACTTGCGTTACTTAATGGAATTTTTTGCGGTTTCTTAACAACGCCGGGACGCCGCTGTTATCGACAAAACACGGCCTACTTTATGGTCGATGGTTTTTGTGGGCATTCGTGGTAGTAGTGGCGTAGATTAAGGGTGCCATGGGTTCGGACACGGACTGGTGGGGTCTCACACCTTCCCCGAAGACGTTGTGTTTTCCTACGAATTTGGCTGATATTGACGGAAGGGTAAATTTGAGGGTTTTGGGGTGCAAGGGATTTGCGCGAAGGAAACGCTAATGAAGTTTGAGTAATTGATTTGTTGTGACCCAATTAGGGTGCGATTTTAGTGGGGTAGTTTTCGGTTATTATTTAATAGTGATGGTTGTTTTGTTAAGTCGGGTGGGGCTTATCAGTGTTGCAATCCTAAGTTTTACTTTAATCGTTACGGGAATGGAAAACACATTGTGTAGGTACTGGGAAAATAAAAAAAAAATGTTTATTATGTGGAAAACAAACGAATGTGGTTTGTTAAAGAACAATGGGGTTGTTTTATTATTGCTTCACTCTATAATTGCTGTATAATTCCACTTATACTTAGAATTTAACGAAATGAAATATGTATATTATTTGATCGCAATTAAAGGAAGCGAATCATAAAGAACTGTCGGAAATAAATATGCGCGTAATGCAACAAGTAAATTGTTATAACCTTCGTTTTAAATTTGGTGTGGTGTTAGACTGTACCGCACAATACTCGTACCGTATAAAATTTAATAAATTATATATTCCTCAGTTGTAGCACTACAACATTTTTGAACCGTTAATTGTCAAATAAACTCTCAAATAGGTAACTGCAAAAACCAACAGCACTATTTTAAAAATAAATTTCATCACTTAATAGAGGACTTTTTTTCGATCATATGGTATAATATATGTAAAACAATACGTACTACCTCAGTTTTATTTACAAATTATTATTTATTGACTCTTGTCCAGTTCAGGCCATACTATTTGTTACAACCCAACCCAAGACTTTCTGTTCATGTTTTACAATGCAATAAATTCACGGGCGAAAATTTTTCCCTTTTACATAACTAATCTACTATTAGTATTTGACCTTTTTTTAATGTCCCTAATTTTTTAATTGCTGAACAAATCATTTACGTAGGTGTCCCCTGACATTTTAAAAACCATTACCTGCCAATATATTTCGTCTTACCAAATTTTAATGTTTTTGTGACAATTTAACAGGACCTTAATTGCATTCATTCTCCAATGACAACACACAAATCGACACGATTTAAATTGAACGAGTTTTATTACATTACATTTTAGGATCGGTTTCAAATGGTTTCATGCGGTTTTGCCTTCGGTGTCAATACTGCCTTTCTATTTGAAAAGGAATTGATGGCCTTTTTATAGTGACATTTGCTGGACCCGTAAATGTTACACAATAATTGCATTGTTTCGGAGAAAATAAATAAATAAAATTTACATTATCAATAAAAGAATGAAGGTCATTAACTGTGATTAATGTCTAATGTCCCGTGTAGCCGCAGTGACCTCGCTGTTTAATAACATTATCTTTGATTCCGCCAATTTCTTCAATTTCCTGCTTGATCTTCTGCTGACCTTCTAAATTTTCCATCGAGAAAAATGTAGATAACGCACCTTTTAAATACGTAATAAAGTACATAAATGTGTTTTACACACAAGTGAAAGTTAAGCGCACCTATATTGACAATAAAGTCACAACGTTTGAGTTAAAATGGAAGAAATGTAATTAATCCTGTGCCCAATATTTCTTATAAATTGTTTCAATTATTTGCTTACTCAGCATAGCGACGAATCTGACATTATTTAACAAAATATTAAAGTATTAAAAATGATTGTATACCTCTTCAGGTTCGTTTGTACACAGATAAAACAGTGCTTGTCATGTTGTTATTTATATAATTTTACTTATCTCCGGTACTTAACTTACCTACCTAATAACAACCGATACGGTGCATATCGTGCTGTGATCAGAAAATAATTGATATCAGTTTAAAGATCTCGTTCATAATAAATATTTTCGTATGGCGGTTTTGCAATACCTCCATAGATACCAGGTACTTGGAGTATCATCAGTATTTGGACATGACCTGAATTTAAGTATAATTCACTTAAGTATGTTTTTCCCAAACAAAACAAACATAATTAGACAAAACAAACTTATCTGTGATTTTTGCATCGAATGTTTACAGAATTAAACGTAATTGTATAATAACATTAATTTTTATGTGCAATTTACATGAAGGACAAGATCAAATGTTCTATTTTATTGGAGATCCAGTAATAGGTATATTAGTGTCCTAGTTATTTTCACGCCTTTCACTTGAAGCTGTGGAATTGATGTAACATTGATCTTGATTGCGTTTAAAGCTCGTTACACCCGTGAAAGTTCTGAGCAATAATTTGCAATTGCTAATAATATGATTGTAATATACCTAATGGTACGAAAATTTGACGCTTTTGGCTGTTGTGCGTTAAGAAGAATCGGAAGCATATCAAATCTAAAAAAAAAATGGCTTTTTTGCTTTGATTGACCTAGGCATTGCTGACTCATGCAACTTGCCGTAGCTATTTGGTATTGCGCAGACATTGGTATTTATTTAATTTTTTATAACCAGCAGATAATATACGATTCTAGGGTGAACGAATGACCATTGTTCGTCAAAACAAGAATTGTAAAATTGGGTTTCAAAGTCCTTTGATTTGCAACTGGTGGATTCCAACTGACTGGTCAAGGTCCAAGGCCTTTTTAGCAGTATTGTATGGTTGCTATATTGCAGTGTCATATTCCAAAGTCCACGTTTTTGGGTGTAAAGTAGAATAATAAATTTTATTAATTCACGTCATTTTAAACCAATATAAAAGGAGCCACCAAATAGCAACAAACTTGTTAAAACTTTTTCGCATTTAATTAAAATGCCAGATTACGTGATGCTGCTAGTTGTTTCCTCGTTGCGCAAGAACGCAGGTGTGGAGATTTCCTGATTGCAACATCAAACGCAAATTTCTTAAGAAAAGTATACGAAATTTGCAAAAAACTGATACCCTATTGTCTGCTTTACGTCTGACTTCTGAGGCCAGTAATGCATTGACCGTCCTTGATCAAAAGAGGTTATCCGACTCATTTGTTGACAATTTTTATCCTTTCATTACATAACATGTTATAACGATTGTGTGTGCGAAAAATGGAAACACCCAATCTGAGTGATTTTGTTTCTCCTCATAACCAAAAATTATCTAGTCACACCCATTTACAAAATCAGTTAAATATATTTGGGCGAGACCGTTTACACAATACATACAATCAAATATTTATTAAATAAGTAGTTTCTAACCAGTAGTACTTAGCGTTTTGGAGAAGTCTAAAATTTTAAATACTTCACAAATTAAATTAACACAACATAAAATGATAATTTTTAACCAGACAGTGTTTAGTGTTTCACGAGGAAGTTGCACTTCCACAACTCGATAACACAATCACACCATAACGAGAATCACGTCAGTGGTAAATGTTTCGCATTTTTGTAAAACGTCCTCAAATTAACCTTTCATGTTGTTATTGGCTAATGCTTATCGTACCTGAGGGTGATTCAATGTTATTTGGAGGGTATCCTATCTAATGTCGCTCGTGTTTGTCATTTTTTTTGAGGTTTTCCGAAGTGTTTGATAAAATTTTTATGATTATATCATACTATGCTTGTATTCTTGAATGTCAGGTGTCATTTCCCGGAAACTCGGTACTTAGAAAAACGTTCAAGTGTCGTTGAACGGAAAGTTGCTTATAATGGTGCGTTAGGCCTTGGATACAGTTAATTTATTGCCCAATTGTTACAGTTTATATAACCAAAGTCATTATATTGTAAGAAAATGATTATTGTGATTAGTGGTATGTGCCTTGGGAAATTCCCCATGTGTATTTAATAAATAATTATATAAGGCACTGAAATACCTTCTCTAATTGGTCAAAAAATGGGAGTGTGCGAAAAACCGGAATATATGTGGGAAAGATAAAGACTCGAAATGATGTGAAACAAGTAAAAACCATGGTTACAAATTGTAATTCTTTATTAACAAAGTAGAATCCGCCAAATAGTGAACATTGGTTTTCTGTTTCCAAAAGAGTTTATTGGAAGCCACTAGTCAGAATCGAACGTAAATCACAATTATAACCTAAACTGTGTTCATGTACATTTGATTCATAGAACCTTTGTTCCTTAGACACATTTTGGTTTTACCATCTACACGATACCCCTAAAATATATATAAAGTTTGACACCAATCAGCCCGGTAGTTTCGGAAATTATCTGTCTAATAAAAGTCGACACAGACGGCGACAGACAAACAAACGGAAACGGTTGACCCATCTTTAACACCTATTTTTTCGTACTCTTGGGGTCCTGAAACGTGAAAGTATTGCCGTAGGTTCAATTTTACGAATGCCTACTGTCATGTTTTCTCAACGTTTCAGTACCCCAAGTGTACGAAAAAGTAGGTCCCCGTTTCCATCTGTCTATCTATTGCCGTCTGTGCCAATTTTTATTAGACAGATAATTTCCGAAACTATCGGCTGATTCTACCAAATTTTATATGTACTTATTTTAGGAATACCGTGTAGATGGTAAAACGTTAACCAAAATGTGTCTAGTCATCCCACCAACAATGTAATGGCATTCCCTTGAAATGTTTCATATTAAATTTTATGTGATGACATACCTACTCCTGTACTTGTGATTTATGAATTGGCTTTGAGTTTTCCTGAGACCTCCAAATTTTCGCAGAAAATCTAAATTGTATAACAATCTTTTATACTAATTAAGCAGAACTTGGGCACGGACATTCGCTGGATAACTGCTTTCGAGTCGGCGATTTAAAACGTGAAGGTCGCGCGTTCCATGCCCTCATAGACTTTTGTCTTTTTCTTACACTGTTACTACCTTTTTTTATCCAACTCTCTTGAACTACTATGATAACCCAGATATCCGCCAAAATTAGACCTGTACTTAGAAAATTTTAAAACCCGCGAAAATTAAAAAATTTGGGCTTCAGTTGTACTCGTCAACATGGAATCCTATATTATGTGTGTGTGTTTTTTTTTTGTTTGGCGGAATGCATTCAAATGGAAAGAGGTAAACCTCAAGTTGGAAAAACGTCCCTAAATCAAAATGCCAAATATCGAGGACAAATTGTTTATTCCTCCATTACTGAGAGGGTAAAACTGTGAAATAACCGGACTTAATTCTGAGCTGTAAAAACCTCTCCAGCTTCCAACAATAAAATCGAAAGTTACAAAACAAAACAAACATTTGAATATCATAAATTTTAACAAGCAGAGAAGAAAGAAATCGTCATCAAAGTTACTGAAGAACTCAAGTTATTGCGATGGTGGGGCGACAAATTTAAATTATAGCAGTCAGCGGCGCGAAGGGCGTCTCCTCGTGAAGGTCTATTTGCCCTAACCACAAGCACAATACGCGCTATGGATTTTAAACACTCGCACCCTGATTCACTAGAATCGAAAATCTGGTATTGCAGGTGAACATTCACATTATGCTACAGTCTATCAACAGTTTTATTAACCAACGAGAATTTACATGAGGTTAAACTATGCAATAATTAAATCATAATTAAGTTTATAAAGATTACATCATGGTCTCAACAAATCCACATAACACATGAAACAAGCACATATGAAATAAACACAACGAGGCACATATTAGATATACTCAAAATCAAAATATTAATTCGAGAATAAATGTTCAAATTCAAGACGTGAGAAAAGAATTCGGATGTAATAAAATTACACATTAATATGACTAAATGAATTTCTTGCCACTTGTTTTGCAGGAACATTTTTATTGTTGTTAAATTATGTTAGAATCAGAAGCAGTTAAAAATCCTAACACGAACTGTGAATTTACAAACAATAAAACAAAAATAACACGTGTTGATGAATAGTCGAAGTTTCGCACATTTCAGATTAGAAAATCATCAACAAACTGATATTATACTCATTACTCTTATTAGATGCAGACTGTGGCGTCGAATACGAATCATTTTGTGTTTAAACAATTGCTTTTTTATAAAATTAAAAATTAAATTTAAGCTATCCTTTTTGTTTACGATCACTTGTTTATAAATAACAAAAACAAGTTGTGAGACCTTTTTGAAATCTACCTGCGCTCCATTTCTCATTCTAAGCCGAAATTTAAAACATCCATGGTTGCCTGTTATGAGTATTATTATTACTTATTTTTATTTTATCAAATGCGGTTTCACGGCATTGGTTTTTTCTTCAGGGCGAAATTTAAATTTCAAATTCAGGTACATCACACTGCATCTAATTTATGATTTCTTATTTTCTTCTAGGTTTATATATTTTTTTAAATTCACAATATTTTTGCGCTGATTTGCATTTAATGAAAATATTGCTCACTATTAAATTATCAGGGATTGTTATGTATCACCAAATGAGTCACGTGCTTTTTTTATGTTTTAGGGCATGGCTTTTTCTTGGGAGGAACGTCAAACATTGGGTATCCACGGTTTTCTTCCTCCAAGGGTAAAAACTCAAGAAGAACAAGTAGAGCACTGTTGCGTCTGCCTTGCTCGTCTTGACAACGATCTTGACAAATACATGTACCTACAAAATCTCCTTGTAAGCTTTAATCATCGCGCGAAACATCTTTTTAATCTTCTTGAATAATTATTTAGGATCGCAACGAAAAGCTCTTCTATCGCCTCATAGGCGATAACGTGCAACAACTAATGCCTCTAGTTTATACACCAACTGTAGGTTTAGCGTGTCAGAAGTTCGGGTTAGTCTACAGTCGGCCAAGAGGCTTGTTTATCACTATATATGATAAGGGCCATATATATGATATTTTAAGGAACTGGTAAGTGAGTTGAATACATAGTTTCGCAGTTGTTGATTCGTTTTTAGGCCTCAGTCGGATGTCCGAGTAATCGTGGTGACCGACGGAGAGCGTATTTTAGGTCTTGGTGATTTGGGAGCCTGTGGTATGGGTATACCGATAGGCAAACTGTCGTTGTATACTGCTCTAGCTGGAATTAAACCACACCAAACATTACCCATAACTTTAGATGTAGGAACTAATACAGAAAAAATGCTAAACGATCCTTTATACATCGGCCTAAGACAAAAGCGTGTAAGAGGACAAGAATACGACGATTTTATTGATGAGTTCGTCCACGCTGTGGTTAGAAGATGGGGACAGAGTACCCTCATCCAATGGGAAGATTTCGGAAACGCTAATGCTTTCCGTTTATTAGGTAATATTCCACTTTTCCTCATTTTCATCTACTAATTTCCAAATTTAGCCAAGTACAGGGATGACTTCTGCACTTTCAACGACGATATTCAAGGTACTGCGAGTGTAGCCGTTGCCGGCCTTTTGTCATCCCTAAGGATTACTAAAACTCGCCTATCCGATCACGTCATCTTATTCCAAGGAGCCGGTGAAGCTAACCTTGGAATAGCAAACCTCTGCGTCATGGCGATGAAAGCCGAGGGTACTTCAGACGAAGACGCCCACAAGAAGATCTTCATGATCGACACAAAAGGGTTGATTGTCAAGGACAGGCCAGAGGGTGGCATTAGTGCACATAAAGCGCCTTTCGCTCAGGCAGTTCCGCACATTAAAACTTTAACCGAAGCTGTAAAAACCCTCAAACCGTCCATGCTGGTCGGTGCTGCCGCAATTCCCGGTGCTTTCACTGAGGAGATTTTGAAGGAAATGGCCAAGAACAATGAACGCCCAGTTATTTTCGCCTTGAGTAATCCAACATCGAAGGCTGAATGCACTGCTGAACAAGCTTATAAACTCACTGATGTATGTGAGACTAGATATGGATTGAAAGCTTATTAATGAGATTTTTTTCAGGGCAAAGCGATTTTTGCCAGTGGCAGTCCTTTCGACCCTGTGGAGTTGAATGGAAAGACTCACGTTCCAGGCCAAGGAAACAATTCGTACATTTTCCCGGGCGTTGGTTTGGCAGCTATGTGTGCTGGAATCCGTACTATCGGCGAAGACATATTTTTGATTGCTGCTGAGGTGTGCATACCTATTATCACGTAATTGAATCAGCCAATCACTGATTGTTGCCTATTAACAATAGCACGTTATTGTTTCAAGTTCAACCAGTTGTAGTTTAAAATATCGTAAAACATTTTGGTGACTCATGCTTTCAGTTTGGTAATAATTACCAACTGTTTCAAAATGATTTGTGAAAGGATGAGCAGGTTACAAGGAAACAAAACATTGCTTTTAATTATAGCCATTAAGTATAAGAAAAACAATTACTACCGCAAGAGCCATCTAATTTTAGAGAATCCAAGATTAGAAATGGAAAGTTTGGTTTTAAAATCTTATATGAGCGGATTCGCATGGTTTATTGTGCAAACATTTTATGAATTAGTAATCACACAAAAATTTAACTTTATGTTGTTCATGTCGAGATGGGCTCATGTGTTCCAGTTCAGGTTGAACTGTTAACCCCAGTGATTGGAATAATTACTTTTTGCACTTTGAAAAATTTAATGAAGACACAATTTTACATATTTGTTGTATGGGTCCAAAGGGTCAAGAAAAAACGTGTTAGAATGAAAAACGCAGTGAGCGATTTATTTTACTAACGCATTTGTTACATATTCACATCAGTAAATAAAATAAAACAAAACAAAACAAATAAATACTTCACGCAAGAGGACTATATTCATAATTTAAATTCAATAATAACTGATATTTAAAATTTTCGTCAGCTAAGGCATGACGTTTTGTCTTAAAAACATCGGCGCCAATACTAAACATCCTTTCCACTGCGGCGCTAGATGGAATTCTTGTGGGGCAACATGTTACATAATTTACCAAAAATTGAAGAGCTGATTCTTTTGTGCCTAATTTCATTCCACTCTAGCCACAAATAAAGGTTCGATGACAATTGCAACAACTTTTAAACAAAAATTTGCATTGGTGGAAGTTTTCAAAATATCTTATTGGCTACGTGTAAATGTATCGTAAATGTTAGTCTTTTAATTTATAATAAAAAGAATGTTCCTAAATATTTAAAAGGGGGCTACAAGATAATGTAAACTTAAAAGTCTATCTTTAATTGCCTTAAGGGGTTTAAAAAGACGGACTGTATCGGTTACCTGTTATAGATTTGAGTGGACCAGAAAAATGGCTAAAGTTTGTTTGGCCACAAATTTTAAATATTCTGCCCCTGTTTATTCAATTATTTATTAAGATATTTTACTTCTGTAAAGCCCAATGGATTTTTCAATACAATTTCTACTAATTTACCTTTTTGAAAATTTAAAATTGATCCATAAATAGCGAAGACCAGATAATCTCATACTAATCACAATTTTAACGCGTCGTAGTCTTTTTTTTGACAACAAAATTTAAAAAACGGAAAAGCAGTTTGGGTAGGGTTTTTTTACGCCCATTTCAACGGTGTGAAGTTTATTACAATCGGACGTATACTTTTGGCAAAAACTTGGGTAGAAGTTTATATGTATTTCCCTATGTTGGAATATGCTTTAGCTCACCCTTAAAATGATGAAGAGCTTATGTATATTATGGTTACCTGGTTTGGTAACAAATTCTGTGCTAAACTCGTTTTGGATTTTAACTCCGTACTGGGTTAATCTTCTCTTTGTGGGGACGAACCAGATATAATAATCCCAGCAGGTCAGGTAAACAATTTGTAGAGAAAAAACAATATTTTTAAGCATTTGGGTTAAAAGTAATTGCAAAAAGTAATTGTAAAAGTGACTGCATTACTCAAAAAAAAAATAATAATTCGTTGCAATTGCTTATTACATTTTTTGAAAAGTAATGCATTACAATTATTCATTACTTGGAAAGGAATTGAAATACAGTAATAAATTACTTGTACCTAATTGAATTACTTCCAACCACTGATTAGCACCATTTTAACTTTACAAGGTCTACAACAATTCCGTTACAAACTATATTTAGGTACCGAATAACTTGGAACTGGAATCTATATATAAACAATATTTGCGATTTGGGCTTAAGTTTAAGTTCAAGTAAGACATAAAAAACATCTCGTGACCATAAGTTATACACAGACCTAATAATTTCGATCTAGCAATCTTTGGCATGATACTAGCGAAGAGCGATACAATTTTTGTATTAGAAATTTACCAATTAGAAATCTCAACCCAGGTAAATGAGGTCTGTAATCACTGAACTGTGTTTTTTAATCACAATCAGCGAACTGTGTCCTCATTTTAAGGATTTCATTTCTGTTAGGAAAGCGAAAATACATAAATATAAACAATAATATAATAATAATGCAAATACATATGAAAAATTCTAAACAAATTCTGCGTTTTTATTATTTGGTGTAGTTCTATATTTTTGCAAATAATTCATGTTTGTATAGGTATTCGTATAAAATTTTTGTAGAGTGATTATGAGATCTGATTATTCCATTTTCACGTAGTATACTTAACTTATTGTTAAATACTTATCTCACTAACTGACGACATTATATGATTGTGCTAGAATCGCTGAACAGATATAGTAATACAAGCGCGTGAATAAGAAGCCAGCGTTGCCATTGGTTAAACAGCGCATGACATTAAGCTTCTGTTGATTCAATTGGGCCTCACACACGCGTCGTCTTTCACGTGACTGCTTGATCTATCCGGTGATTCTAGATAACAGCTTAATTACATAGATGGTATTATTTTCAGGCTTTGGATGAATTGGTAACTGAAGAAGATTTAGAAAAGGGAAGTCTGTATCCTCCTTTATCAACGATTCAAGACGTCTCAGTGAAAATTGCCTCAAGGATTGTAGAATATTCATACAAACAAGGTGATTACCATGAATTTATATTGTTTCTACAATTTAATGGTTGTACTTTTTCAGGAACGGCGAGTGTTTGCCCGCAACCAGATGACATAGAAGCTTTCATCAGGGCCCAAATGTATAATACGGATTACACCTCTGTTGTTCCCGATACTTACGCGTTCCCTGGCAGTGGAAAATAAATAATTTATTTGTATTGATAGGTACTATACATGTTGATATTTTACTCTTCGGTTGGTGGTGCAAAGTGAACTGTCGACGAGTTTATTTTGTAAATTTATTTTTAAATTAAATATAAATTATTATTTTATATTGTTGTTTTATTTGTTCAGTAAAACTCCGGCGTAATAATTATATACTTTAATCAGGTTTTTTCTCTCGTAGCAACTACAATAATATTTTTATCAGTGCTAAAATAAAGTACGTTTTACAAAAAAGGACAAACAACCTCTATAAAAATTAGTTGAACATTCCAAGACTAGATACATTTCTACATAATTACTATAGTACAGCAATAGATGAATCAAGTTTGTATCACAAAATGTATGAAAACATTTGAGTACTATTTTTAAAGTGTTATTTTTGATAATTTGGGTGGCATTTCAAAAATATCACTTTGAAAATAAGCTCCCCCTTGGCAAAAACAATATTGTTTTGGGGCGGCATTCCAAAATTTTCACTTTGATTTAAATCACAAATGACCAACTAAGTGTAGGAAAACTATTCATTGGTGTTTTTAACTTTCTGCCTCTCACCAGTCCATTTTTACGAGAAAGTAAACTTTCTGAAATGATTTAACCAAGTACGATCCAACTCTGATCTGATAACTATGACTCACAAGTATTGATTAAATTAAGTATAACAGAATTAGTCAATAATTGACATCAAAACGCACCTAACAAAGTGTATGAAGACTTGTCTAATACTATGCTATTTTAATTATAATTAATAGCACAGCACACGAAATTAGTAACTGCTTGTAACAATAAATTTCTGTTCCAATAATCAGTGATGTACTGTAACGTGTTCACCATTAATTTCGGCTGAATAAATATTCCTGTACAAAAGTGAAATCCACAGTTTAGGTCATTAATTTTAGTGTCTAATTATACATAATGTATGTACATATTTTAATAATAAAATAGTCGTAATTATTTTTAACAGCAAGATGACTTAGCAGGTTCTGCTTCAATTAAATTGAAATCCAACCCATTGGGGCGTGCAAACCCTGTTTTAATTCCATCCCAACCATCTTCAACTTTATACTCCCCAGTTTGTATCCGATTATACACTTCTTGGGTGACAGATCTGAACGCCTCCTCGACATTCATACCATTTTTTGCTGAGGTTTCTACGTTGAAAATGCCATGCTGGTCAGCAAAAGCTTTTGCTTCCTCTTTAGAAACTTCTCTTTGACCTCCATTATTAACAAGATCTAGTTTACAACCAACAAGTGCAAAAACGGGCCTATGAGGTTCAATATGCCTTCTAGCTTCTGACATCCAGACAGGAATGTGTTCGAAACTAGCCCTATTGCAAATATCATAAACTAACAAAGCACCAACTGAATTTCGGTAGTAGGATTTGGTGATTGAGCGAAACCTTTCCTGTCCAGCTGTGTCCCATAGTTGTAATTTTATTCTAGTGCCGTCTTTAACTTCTATGAGTCTCGCAAAAAAGTCCACTCCAACGGTGGGGTCTGAGAGCTACAATTATAACCTTTGATTTCAACGCAGTTAAGTAACAATGGTCTTACCTCTGCGAATTTGCCATCAGTAAAATACTTTAATAGTGAACTTTTTCCGACTGTACTGTCACCTATTAGGATAAGACGGAATTGGTAATCGAATATTGGTTCTACCATTTTTTATAACATTCCACAAATTTATTTGCACTATTTACTTTTATTTATTGACACTCGCGATTGCATTTGACAAGTGACGGATGATGTCGGTAAAATAGACACCTGTGGCATACAAAATGCACTCAGCGCAGTCTATTAACCACTGCCGGCTGTATTATATCCTGCCTGTTCATTTCCACAAAAATGCATTGAAAAAATTTTGCCGTCAGGGCGTGAGGGCAGCACTGGAGGGGCGCTTTTGACCTTGACAATTGTCAAACAAACTTCAAATTTGAAGTTTTATAAATAGGTTAAATCGGGTTAGGTTAAATGTTTTGAACAATTTATTAAACGGTTAAACGTTGAATCATACATCGTATCCTCTCTATGGTTGAAAATTACAACAAAAAGGACTAGCAAAGGTGAAATTTTGCAAAAGGCACTTCTCGCTGTTACTGTAACTGTTTCCCCAAAGCAATTCTACATCACCCCCTGTTCACGTTCCGCACATTCAAAAGTTGTACAACTGTTTTCTTGTGTCCCCGACATTACTCCTCGCGTGTTGGTGACTATAAAAAGTTAGGTTATATTGGAAACGCTTTTCCCGTTAAAGAGTGTATGAATTGGGAAATTTAACATTTTTTTTGTAGCAAAAGGAAACATTTGAAGGTGAGGAACGTGATTAGGGGGTGGTGTAGAAGAATTGTAACCAAACAGTTTGTGCGAAATCGAGAAGTGCCTTTTGTAAAATTTCACCCTAATTAGCGCTGGAAGAATATAAAAAAACAGACAGGTATGTTTATAATTTTAATACTTTTCTTGAATGGGGTTTATGGGTCAAATTACTAAACAATGTAACATTTTCAGTTCTTGTATAACCAAAATTTGCAAAAATTGGTTTCAACACTTTAGACAATATTAAGTTTGCAACCATTACTTTGTGGTTTTTATCTTCACAAGGCAAAAAAGCTGAACTGGCAATTGGCTCTAATAACAAAGACTCCACCACAGTTCTTGGATGATGATTTACTGGTATGTGTTCCAAAATATCAAATGTAATTTTTATAATTTTATTTATAAAATTTGTGAATGATCTTGTGGGATATTTTAATTTTCCTCTGTCTTGCAGATATATCAAGTCAAGCAACGGGGTAGATTTTGCGGTGGTTAGTAATGAATCTAAACAATTTTTGCACTCTAACCTTTCTTCAATTGTTCTACAAATATATCCAGATAAAAACGCAACTGATGCAGAGTTGATATCTGTGAAAATGGTATTAACGAATGTTAATTTATGAAGGTCACTAATTTCAATTATACTGTCAGGTATATGTATATTTGTTTCTGTTGTAGATCTTTCAGAAGACTGAATTTGACCAATTTTACTCAAGTGATTACAGTCAGAATATACATTTGCTGATTCTGAAGTTGTTACTAAACCTGATTTAATTATTCGTTTAATAGCATAGTGTGCAGCCCTGGCATCAGTAGCGTCCTGAGAACCACCGCATAATCGGACATTGCTAAACATCGATTCAACTGCATCTGAGCTAAATGCTCGCGTTAAGACATAGAAAAAGCCACTCTCTTCCAGTAAATACTTGATACATTCTGCAGTGCTTTTGGCAGTGAATTTTACTGCTTCTGCAGTCTCTTTAGTCAATCCCGTCATTTTATTTGCCTTTGAAGATAGTTGAATGGAATCTATATAAGCAGGTAAAGTTTTTAACATCCAGAGAAGGCGTTCATCATTAATATCTGTATATGGAGCACTATTTTCATTTAGTTGCTGGATGTGCTGAGTTTTGTCATTGACATCATGAATTTTAAAAAATGTGTGCATCATTTCCATAAACTTTAGAGTCTCTTCAACATCAACAAAACCTGGATTGTTATATTTTCCCAAATACTCTATTGCTGCTCTTACTTCTATGGAAAATACTTGCACAGCACGACGGACGTTCATCTTTTCTAAATTGGTTGGGCAAATATGCTTCCTGGTCAAAAACTTTACCGGTTTAACAATTAATTTGTGTTGCATATCATATATTTTCTTTAAAAATCGTGCAGAAATAATACCGTTACCAGAATGCATGTCATGGTCCAAAAATATGTTCCTCAAATTTTTAATAATATGACAGTAATCAAAGCTCATAAATAATGGTATTGTTGGTTCTATTGGATGTTGAATATGAGTCATTAAATTATTACTTGATGACAGAGATTTGAAAAGGGCCACATTTGACTTATGGTTATCTGTCACAATTCTTAAAACTGTAAATCCGCAATTATGTAAAAGTTTCATTACTTTTAACGTCAAATTCACAAAATCTATGTTTTTTAGAGTTCGATGGAAGAAATATCCGGCGGGTATCGTGTACTTAGTAGTCATGCCGTGAACAACGTAACATAACATTTTGTTGGCCAACGTTGGTTTTTTTCCAATTGTTTGACTACTCTCATTGGTAGTCTCTAACCCATAGAATTTGTCTTCTGTGCGGCTGTAACACAGTTTTTCCTTGATGGACATGTCGTCAACAATTAAACTACAAATCCTTTCAACGGGTTGTAGCACTTCGGCTTCTGCTTTCAAGCGTGCCTCTATAAGTCCTGTAACATCTTGTCCATTTCCTATATACCGTTCTAAAGTACTTCGACTAGGTAATTTCAATATAGAAGCTTTACCATAGTTGTATCCCTTTGGGGATGAAATCCTCCAGGCAATACATGATCTTACAGTTACTTCTGACCATCTAGATTTTTGTTTGTTGTAATTTAATATTTGGTCTAATAGAAATGTGGCTTTTGGGTCGTTATTCTTGGCATCAGCTTCAATTTTTTCGAATATACGGGCTTGATTCGTTTGATTGTCAATTTTTAATTGCAGTTTTTGTAGCTGTTGATTTTTCAGTTTGTTCTGTTTGTCCAAACGGTTTACTTTCATTTTCAGTTTTTTGATTTCAAGTTTAAGTTTTGATATATCATCAAGATGAAGATCAGTATTGGAACTTAATGTTTGGGATTCATTATATAAGGACTCAGGTTCAGAAGGAATTGTTGAGTGACTTAAATCAGGATTCTACAATTTAAAAAAATATGATTAAAATTTATTAACTGCCAATAAAATATTACTGGAGGTTCTTCTGTCGATGTTGGACACGTGGATGTTGATTGGGAGGGAGGAGATAATCTTGGAGTAACAGTACTCTAAAATAAATAATTATTAGAGGAAAGTTCTAAAAAAGTGTGAAAATAGGTAGGAACAGAAAAATAATTTTACTCCTAACTTTAAATTACGTTATTAATGTACTGTTCGCTTATATTTTCACAGTTGTAAGGATTGTAATTACAGGAATAATGGATGATGAGGGCTTGATATTTAAAGGAGTAGAAGACTGGGCAAGGGCAACGAAGGATTCGTGTATGGATGCGTAATGAGCATCATCACCCTATAAAAACTATAATTTTATTTCTGTTAAGTTTAAAATGTAAATAAATATACATGAAAAACTGTTGGAACTGCATTTTTTTGCAAGCGTTTACTACCATTTGCTGCAAACTTAAAATCTGTGGGTTTAAAGTGCAAATTGCAAATGGTTGAGTACTGACTGACGATCTGCTGCGTTGGAGCTATAATAATTAATATTTAGTATTAAAAAAAATAAGTGTTCAATAAGCTTTTCTTACAACAAAACTTCTCTACTTTATGTAGCCATTTTTCTCTTAAGAGGGGCTCAGAGGGAAACTGATGGAAAGACTTTGAGTACTTGGCAGGGCACTGGGACACAATGCATTTTTTGTGGAACCGCATTTTCGTCCCAGTAAAATTAACGTAACAACTTAAACTATGTAATAATAACGAACCACTAACTGAAGTTAAACGACCAAATAGGAACAAAACAACAAAAAACAAACACTAATTAAACTATGAAATAATAACGAAACACTAAACGAGTTGAAACGACAAAATGGGAACGAAACACCACAAAACAAATAAAAAAGGAACGAAAACTGCAAATCAAAAAGAAAAACAACGAACAATAACAAATGGACTTCACAAATAACTACTTTCAGCGCGCTTAAAGATTCTCAAGAGAATTTTAATTTGAATGTCAGATTTGACACCAAAAAACAGTGAGTACCATCCAACCAACATAAAATAATAAAAATTCCTAAAATGCGCCCATCCGCTAGCGCCCTCACTAAAATCGGAGGATACAGTGGAACTACAGTTATGAACAGGCCGTATTAACTAATGCAGCAGGTCGTGCTATTACATGGAGGAAGGAATATAATGGAGGGAGTGCGCCGTATCTCGGCAATGTAAATTCTTGGCACCAGTGCAAGCACCTTTTATTACTCTTTTCAATTAGCGCGCCCTTCACCGCGCATGCTTACTTTAATAATTTCATCAGCCAGCACTGACCAGTGTCGTACGATTCTGTTTTTGTCATTTTCGCTTTTAACCTCGTGTTTAGTGTGAACGTTTTGTTTTGAATTTGCGATAAGCGTTTCATGTTTATTTAAAAACTTAAAATGGTTAGTTGCAAATTGTGTAAAGTTACGAGTGGCTCCAGGTCAACAATTGGTAGAGAAAAAAATAACGTTTCACAGGTGTGTCGTATTTTTTCGTTTAATATTTGCTTAAGAGGGACTAATGAATATTTTTGAATTGCTTTTAGGTGTCCCCAGAAACCTGAATTAAAGAAACTGTGGACAGACTTCCTTTATCTTCACCTAGAAAATTCTGTGTCTGTGAACAACTTTTTCCTGTGTTCATTTCATTTTGAAGAAAAGTGTTTTGATAGAACATCAGCCCAGAAAGTAGTTTTAAGACCACATTCAGTACCAACTATTTCTTATACTTATGAAGAAAGGGTATTAAATAAACTCACATGCTGCATGATATAACAATTAATACATATATTTATTTTAGATTACCAATGTAGTGACCTTTAGAGGCAATGAAACGCATCACACAGAAGTTTGTGACGCACCTTCGGTAGAGCCTCAACAGAATATAGAAGATGAATTGTCTAATAAAGTTTTTGAAATTACAAAGAAACTTGAAAATTTAACAACAAAAACATGTGCAAACGTTTTACTGAAACAACAAATTAACAACCTGAAGACATTAGTGTCACAACAACAATGCACTATTAAAACGTTAAAACGCAGAACCTCAAAACAGCAACGCAAAATTTGTAATCTGAAAGATGTTGTTTCAAGTTTAAGGAAGAAAATCAACTATTATGAAAACAACAGTGTGGATGTTAATAAATTTCAGGAAAATACAGAACTGTTGAGCAGAATGTGGGCTAAAATTAACAACAAACCATTGCCAAATCAATATGGGCCAGAAATAAGAAAATTTGCCGTTACAACACATTTCTACTCCCCAAAGGCTTTTTCTTTTATAAGAAAACAATTCATGGACTGTCTTCCACACCCAAAAACTTTGTCTGTATGGTATTCTTCAGTGAATGGTGCACCAGGTTTCACAAGTGAGGCATTCGATGTGTTAAAAGCAAAGGCTGAAGAACGTAAAATTGTGTGTTCTTTAGTGTTCGATGAAGTTGCTATTAAACGCTGCATTGAATATGATGGGCAACAATATTATGGATATGCTGATATGGGTAGTATAATCGAAGTAAATGAAAATGAAGAGGCCAAAGAAGCTTTAGTTTTCATGCTGGTTGCTATAAATGGCTCTTGGAAAATCCCCGTGGGTTACTTTTTAAGCCATTCTTTAAATAGTGAGCAAAAATTAGGTTTACTAAAACAGTGTTTATTTTTAGTAAAAAGTGTAGGAATTGAAATTAGCAATATTACATTTGATGGTTGTGCGACAAATTTGTCAATGGCATCTGCATTAGGTTGCTCATTTAGCCCTTCTAATTTGAAAACAAACTTTGGTGAAGAGAATATACTTCTTTTACTTGATCCTTCACACATGATGAAATTAATACGTAACACATTTGGTGACAAAAGAAGAATAGTCGATGGAGAGAATAATGTTATTGATTTTAAATACTTAGAACTTCTAAATGAACTGCAAGAAAATGAAGGGCTGCACCTTGCAAACAAACTACGTAGAAGACATATAAATTTTTTTAAACAAAAAATGAAAGTTGCTCTAGCTACACAGTTATTAAGCAGGTCTGTCTCTGAAGCTTTGACGTTTTGTCGAGATATTTTACAGCTTGATCAGTTTAAGAACTGTGGAGCAACGGCTACCTTGATTTTAAATATTAATGACGCTTTTGACATATTAGCATGTTTGCGAAAACCTTTTCTTATAAAGTTTTCCTTATGCTTACAATTATAATTTATAATTATAGTTATAAGTATAAATTGTAACAGTTATGCTGACGGCTTAGAACCTTACATTGACAAGCAGAACTGACTTTCTGTCACGCAAATTGATTCATTTTGCCCATGAATAATTTAGAAATTTTGGCTACTTTTGGCAATACAGAAGATGTACAGAACTACTTAGTGCATCAGTTAATACAAAAAGAGTTAACAGAAAAGCGTTATTCATATACGTGTGTTAAATTCAACATGAATAGCATTCCGCCAGAAAACTTTCGTTTTCTTTTTCGATTTGAAAAAGAACATATAATTAAATTACATCAAGCTTTGCAAATGCCTGCAAAATGGGTTACACCAGATGGTCATGTCATTGAAGGTTTATTATTATCTACAATCGAGAAGAAATTCCGTATTTTTAAACACTCTTCATTTATAGGTCTTGCAGGATTATGTCTCGTTTTAAGACGATTTTCTTACCCAAACAGACTAAAAGGATTGCAAAATGAATTTGGATTACATTTTTCGTCAATCAGTAAAATTTTAAAGTTTGTTGTTACTTTTATATTCAAGAAATGGGCCAAGTTATTATTAAATTTTGATAAAAACATATGGTTAACGCAAGGTTTTCTCGCAGAGGTGGCTGCCTTCGTACATAAGAAAGGTGCTCCTTTAAGAAATTGCATTGGGTTTATCGATGGTACTGCCCGGGCAATTTGTAGACCATCAAAATTTCAAAAAGAAGTTTACAGCGGACATAAAAGAATACATTGTCTGAAATTTCAATCAATCACCGTTCCAAACGGTATCATTTTACATTTAAGTCCTCCGTATTCTGGCAGACGACATGACTCTTTTATCCTTAAAAATTCAAAAATCTTAGAGCAAATGAAGCTCCATTGCCCACAGTTTTGTTTATACGGTGACGAAGGGTATCCATTAGTGCAACAATTAATAAGACCATTTTCTAATCATAATTTAACAGAGCAGCAACAAATGTTTAATACCAAAATGTCCAAAATACGCCAATGCGTAGAATGGAGTTTTGGTAAAATAACAACGCAATTTGCGTTTGTTGATTTTAAAAAAAATCAAAAACTTTTTCTGCAACCAATAGGTCAGTATTATATTGTGGCTGCATTACTAACGAATGCGCATACATGTTTTTATGGAAGCACAACTTCTCGATACTTCGATATAGAATCACTAGATATTATGGAATATTTTCAATAATTTCTTTTTAATCAAACAATTACCTTTAATTAATATGTTATTATTAAATAAACATTTAAAAGCTGTAATTATTTCAAAAATTATGTCAGATTTTTATTATTTAAATTTTGTGTTAAAATGTTTTCCAAAAATCTGTTTAAAATTGCATTTTTTTGTCTTTCTATTTTACGGCCCTCTTCCTCCTCTTGCCATTTTTTCTGTTCGAACTCAAGTCTAGCTTTTTTGAATTCCAACTCTTCTATTTGAATTTTCATATTATCTTGATGTTGCTTTTCTTTAAATCTTAATTGTTCTTGTAGTAGCTGACTTTCCCGTTTCATTTTTTCAATTAAATATGAAAAACTTGTTCCATCTTTAGTTCCATTTCTCGTCTTTCGTGCTGCCGCTGTATAAACCCTGCTAGATTCTTGGTTGAACCCTTCACGACCCCCACGCTCACCATCAATATCAGTGTCATTAAAATCGTCAACAGTGTGAAAAAATATTTCATTGTCCACGTCAGTGGCTTCTGTTTCTAATATTTGTTCACTATTACAAGTTTCAATAGGATTGTCCAAACTTTGCAGAGCAGCTTGGCGAATTGCTTTTGCAGGCATAACCTCGTCGAATTTTTGGCCACTGCATCTTTTTTTACCCCGTTCATTTTTTTTATTTTCTATGTCCATTTGTGCCACATCTTCATATTGCGACCAGACAGTCAGAAGTTTTCTAACAGCGTCGCCCCACTCAGTCTGTATCCGTTCTTTCCCACTTTCTGTAGCTTCGTCGGCATCAAATTTTCTAAATTTTATTACTTGTTCCAACATATGATCTTTTAATAATTTGAAGCTACAGTTCTGAAAGCGCTCTCTTTCGTCTTCACTTACGACTGCATGAAGTTTTTTCCACACATCTTCTTCGTTTGTAAATTCAGTCTCGCAAAGAAGGTCGAATAATGCATTCAAACATTTTATACGTTCCCTCTCTGAGAATCGAAATCGTTTCTTTTTCAGTTGCGACATAACTAATTAAAGTTCTAAATGACACTGACTGACATTGTAGAAAAATTCTACTATTGTCAATATAAGAAGTAACGATTGTGAGTGTTATAATTATAAGACATAGTTATAAGGATAAGTGTAAGCATAAGAAAAAATTTATAAGAAAATGTTTTGCGCAAACACGCTATTGAATTCGCGCAGAATAAAGGAATTTGGTTACAAGCAAGCATTAAATAAGTATAATATTAATCAGGTAAAAACGTTTGTGAATTGCTTTACTTCGTATATATCCAAATTGAGATTTTTTAACAAAGATTTAATTATTCACTCGCCCCGTAAAACAGGTTTTATAGGTTTTGTAGCTGGTTTACATGCAGTATTAAATATTTATGAACAATATGTAGTGGGTGATGGAGGAACGTCAATTTTACAGTATCTGCCCACCTATAAATGCAGTCAAGATCATTTGGAAAATTTTTTCTTCCAAATTAGAAATTTAGGGGGCTGCAATAATAACCCTACTACTCGTTAGTTTAAATCTGCATATAAAAAATTATTAATACACGCAGAAATAAATCACAGTGGTTTTGGAAACTGTGTACCCTTAGAGCAAGTAAATATTTTGACATGTTCGTCTCGAATTAAAAAACTCGAAAATATTATTAATTCTGATCAATTGATATTAACGAGTGACGTACAAGTTACTCAGGAAAGTGACGTTAATTTTGAACATAATTATTTCTTTACGCAGGAATCTTTAACAAATTTTTGTGAGGAAGTTGTGATTTACATTGCTGGATTTGTTGCTTTTAAATTAGCCAAATCTTTGAAATGTGAAATATGTATATCATGCCTTTTTGGTATAAAAGAGAACTTATTAGGAAGTTTTGTTGATTTCAAATCAAAGGGGGGATTGAGCTATCCTAGTGACGATGTGATTGCCATTTGCGTACAAAGTGAAAAAACTTACAGAACACATGAGCGAGTACATACCAAACTTAGTAAATGCAAAATTGTAATTGACATCATTGAAAATTTAAACTGTGAGAAATTGCTTCATAGAAATCACCCCCATACATCTTTTTTGTTGAAAGAAATAATTAATATTTATTTGAATTTGCGTATAAAATACAGTTGTAAAAGTAAGTCTTATTTAGTAGATTCTGATAGGCAAAGATATACTAAGTTGATTCATTTTAAAGGGCAATAAAGTTACAAAATGTGGTTTATTTAAAAAAAAAATGTAAACAACATGTTAAGTTTTATTATATGGAGAAAATCTAAAACATATTTGATTGCGTTGACGTTTTACTTTGTTTCTTCTTATATATATATTTTTTATTCTTATACTATTTTTCAGAAAAGTATCAAACCTTTAGTTGAAACGAACTCATCTTTGTAGTAATCCTGTATTCTTTTTATTTAAATTGTATGTATTTCCTTTAAGTGAATTTATCTTTATTTTGTAATATTGTATTCTTTTAATACCCTATAAAAACATATATGTTATTTATGTTATTATTATCTAGTACATATTTGTAAATTAATATTAATTATTATACAAATTATAAAGTACAGTTCTCTTACTGCCTTTTAATAAAATTATTTTAAGACCCACCGCTAACCCGAAAATGACTGGCATTGAGGCAACATTTCTATGATTACTGGTACTAAGACCAAGTAATGATATGCATTGATTGGATTAATAAAAAAAAAATCGAGCTTCTAGAATTACAACATATACAAATTCGTCTGTTATTCTTTAACCTCACCCTATCCCCAAAACCTTAGCGTAACTACCAGTCATTTATAATTTTATATAATGATTTTATTATTCTTGGCTAATGTTTTTTCTTTATAATATTATCTCCTTAAATGTTATTCCAAAGATCTCGCAACAATTATGCAGCAAAAATTAAAACTTTGATGTGAATTTGGGTTTTTTGTTGATTATAATTATACAAAATAAATTTCTATGAGTAAAATTCAAATTTTAGATATTCTAAAAAAAATATTTGCATTGAATATAATTTTGAGTAGTGGGACCCCTTATGAATACTATTAAGATACGCCACTGAAGCGGCAGCCATATTGAAGCACCTTTTATTGCTTTCACGCATTTTGGCGCGGGATCACTTATTTGAACTCTCACTCCCTCCATTATATTCCTTCCTCCATGTGCTATTAACAGACTGCCTCGGTATTTGCTGAGCGCATGCGGTTTAGGAGGTAAATCTTGACAGACTGCCAATTTCCCCAGTATTTTTTTAAGTCAAATTATATTATTATCAGTGATGTACTTCATTGTTTTCAGTGTTTCAATTACTTTTGGATTTTTTTTTCTATTTTATTTCTACAAATTTGCTTTTTTGTGCTTACACTGAAAACTGATTTTAATTAATTTACTTTGAATTGATTTAATCTAGTTTTTTTATGAGTCATACAATGAGAACATAATCCAAATCACATAAATTGCACTAACGAGAAAATTTAATGAATAGGGCAAATTTCACAAATTAAGCGTTTTTACAATATATTTCTGAGAGTGTGGTGTCCCACTTACTTACTTTAATTTAAATTTTTCTGTCTCTGGTTGACTTATTTCGCAATTGTTTTTACCTCTCCAGAACAGAGGCATAAATGATTTGTGTATCCTCTATGGGTTTTATTTAGGAGCGCTGTTTCAACCTTGGGGTTGTGAGTTGTGGGCTCCAAGGTTGAAAAAGTACCGCTAAATAAAACACAAAATGTATGGTGGACACAAAATGTTTTATTCCTCCACTGACAAAAAAAGCTGCGACTAAGTTGCGCAGGTTGGAGACCTTCTTAGTGCTCAGCTAGAAAAAAAAATCCAGACTTTGAATGAAATCAAATTAAACGTTCTGAATCAATGCAAATATTTGAACATCACAAATTTAATAAAAACAAAGGAAAATCTGAAGTAAAGAAACTGGATGCAAATACACAAATTATTACAGACGTGTGACGGCAAATTTAAATTGTGGCAGTCAATAAGAGTACAAAACTTTAATAGTGGCACCAGAGTGCTATAAGAGTGTGACGATCGAACAATATCAATTTCATGCTAGAACACAGCAGAATTACCCATAGGGGGGTTGTAGCGCGAGCGGAGTTTGGGGCTCCTGGTCGTGGCTATTCTCCCCCCACGACGGTGATTCTATTCTATCAGCAAGCACTGCCGCCCAGCACCCCTCTATCATGAAGAAACGTGTCGCGCTACCCAGGCCGTTACGATCGTAAACTCGTGGTTGGAAATCACGGCTATAAATAAGCTGACAGCGTCACGCTATCCCGACCGTTCCGCTGACTTCTATTCTAGACCTGCATTCTTTGTGCCAGCTCAACAAGAAACCGCACACTTCGCTTCCGCTACCTGTTTCTGTGTTATCTAACCTCAATTCCATCTAAATGTTCAATTCTTATAACTGATATTAAACCACAACTGAACAAGTGTTAAAGTTTTCAAAAGAGCAATAAACAACAATTAAACTCGCCATACACTCTCGTGAAATTTGAAACAACAAAGAATTCTTATTTGAGATTAAGATCGAAAATCAGACAAGTTATATGATGGAAATATTAATCAACAAAATATTTGCGTGGTCAAAAAAAAACTAGCAAAGATTTATAAAACAACAAAAAAAAAACAATCTTGCGTGAAGTAAAACTTGTGTAGACAAAAAAATACGTGAGGTTAGAAATTGCAGAACATGAAAATTTACGTTCAGTTTAAATTATACAGCAAAGAAAATTACTGAGGCTAAAATTGTGAGATAGAGAAAAATTGTATGAGATGAAAAATTGAAAGCTAACAAAAATATATGAGGTTAATATTTTATGTCCATTCGAGTTATTGGTTAATTTTAAATAGTGAAGTTATTCAGCTGCATTGTGGGCCATCGTTTTAGATTCCCCTAAATAAACACATAAACAAAAAACATAGCAGACAATTTGGAGGTCCAAAATGGCGTCAAAAATATGTGATACCAAAAATGTGATCAATCCTGTGGCGCTGTGCAAATAATGGTCTAAATCAAAAGAACAAAATGCACGTGCCACATGACCCACAATGTTGTTAATTTGTTCAACGAGATTTTACAGTTCAAACGTGCTCGGTTTGAAAACACTCTTTCAACATGGCCGCTGCCAAAACAAAGAATTTACCTGATGTTAAATTATGCCACAGTTTATCAACGATTCAAACAAAGAATTTACACTATATTAAATTATGCCACACTCTATCAACGATTCAAACGAAGAGTTTACATTATGTTAAATTATGCCATTATCCAAGTGATTAGTTACTTAAAACCATTAGCTTTGAGAGTTTAAATCGTGGACTGTCTCCAGCTTATCCCAAAACAAAACACATGATAAATAAACAAACACAAAATGCATCCGGCATGTCTCGATGATGTGATGATGATAACGATGATAACTGCCTAAAGGGAAAAATTTAATCCCTCCGTACCTCAGTGCACGATTTTATGAATTCCACCGCACATTGCACGGTCCTTTTCCCAAAGTGGGACCACGTGAGGTTAATCTAACTGCCGTAAATGAACTATTAGCAATCTTGTGTGAGGAGTTAAGAAAACTTATAATGTAACACTCAAGTATAAGAATCCAGAAACCTTATTCACAATTTGGTAAACAAAGAATGAATAATGACAAAGTGAATTTCATGAAATCTCCTAGCAAGTACTTTTATCTGAACAAACTTATGACTGTTAAATTGTGTTAGAACCAGTTAACGAATAAAATCCTAACCTGAAGTGTGAATTTACAAACAACAAATCAAATTTACACCACGTGTTGGCGTCGGTTGAAAATTGGCATATTTCCGCTTCGAAAAACCTCAAAAATTAGCTACGCATGTTAGGGAAACTGTGGCATCGCAATCGGTGCGATTAATTGTCGTTAAACAAAGGGTTCCTTCCCTTTTTTCTAACTACCAAACCAACTAAACTTAACCTAGTTAACTTACCACGTGGTTGCATTCATCTCACTCTACAACCCGAGCATCTTCTACCAACCCTCTAACTAAAATTCCCTAGCAGAACTACCCACTACTAGAAAAGAACTAAACGTACACATGGTTGCCTACGTTTAACGAATTTTTTTTCAAATTCAAATTATTCAAATGCAATTTCACCACTTTGCATTTGAACGCATTTTAAAATTTTGTCCACATGTCAGATTTTGGCGAGATGTTTGGGTTATCACAAATCAGTATGACATTTATGTTGTTTCTTAATCGAATGACACTAGAGTATCTTACATTTGTATTTACATTGTTTTCATAGCTCGGTTATTATACCGGGTGTCTGGAAAATGGCGGATTAACTCTCCGCTACGCTCTTAACAATCAACTGGCGAGTCTGGGAAAAATAGTAAAAAAATCCTTCTCACATTTTGGGTCAGTTATAATGATTTTAAAATTGCTTCTTTTGCTACGTTTAACAACTAAACCACTCATTCATTATCGGAATAACTAGTAGTAAAACTTTTAGTGTACATTGTTTATTTTTCTCGCCCATGATCATGTTTAATTACCATTTCAGTTAGAATGCACAAAGATATGCCTGTGTTGTTTTTGTAATAATTTGATAAATTTCCATTTGACAACAATGTTTGACTGATATAAAGCGAAGGTGGATTTCAGTCAGCATCGTTACTAGGAAACCAGAAAGTAAGCCGGAGGTATTCGCGCATTAGGTGTGTACAATGTTGCCAATTTTACTTTTATAAAATCACGTTTTCTTCGTTATCTGCATTATAAAGAATTTTTTTATTATTTTTTTGGGACTCCCGAAACCCCCGTATAAGTATAACGTACTGAAGAGTTAATCCGCTATTTTCCAGACAGCCGGTATAGGTACTGAAAAATTTTGAACTCAAAAAAAAAAAGGGAAAATATCAAAAAATCAGTAATAATTTTTATTGAGACGCACGCAAAAAGCGAAAGAAAATAAGGAGAATGCAAAATCTGTGGATTAAGTGAAAGCATAAAGTGCATTTTGTAGGACAGAAAAAAGCAAAGCAGAAAAAATGTAGAACCGAAATTTTGTTCAAATGTACAGAAGGCTACAAAGTTAGTAGTTAACAGGAAAATTCATTCGTTGGATATTGTTGAAGTACTACCACAACCAACGTCATAAACAGAAAAAAAAGTATCCTTCATTCACTTAACATATGTATACCTAGTAAAATTTTTGTGATTTAAAGGGCTTCAGTCAAACTGGCTATTGTAAGCTGCGACAAACAAATCTTACAATACAATACAGTACAACAGCCAGTTTGACTTATAAGGGTGGTTTGGTTTAAGCCATTTAAGTCATAAAACTTTACTAAGTATATGCCAAGTGATTTAAGTATTGTGATAACCCAAACTTCCCGCCTTAAAATTTGACCTTGAAACAGTTTGAAAGGCCCGCGAAAAATTCAAAAATTCAAAGTTTGGCCTTGGCTGTGATCGTCTAACAAATGAGAACCTACGTTGTGTGTTTTTTTTTGTTTTGAAAAATGGCGGGAAGAAGTTCTTTCATACAAGTGCATACACTGTCGAGAGCGCAAGAAATAATTAACAGAAATTGTTTTGGAGGGGGGGAAACGGCACCACCCTCACAGGGGGAAATACGCTGCGAAGATTTACCCCTCAGCGCAAAAACCCCCTTGGTTTTATTCCCGGACGACATTTTATTACATTTCAAACACCTTAAGATATGTGAAAGAAAAACACTCGCGAATTGACAGACCTACACATATGAAAACCGAACAAACACAAGACCTACACATATGTAAATTGGATGGCAGAACCCGAATCATTATGAGAGTGTGGCGATCGAACAAAATATAGAACAAAATATATCAATTTCATTTACGAGCACAGCAAAATACCCAGAGGAGGCGTTGTAGCGCAAGTAGAGGTTGGGACTCCTGATCGTCACTGTTCTCCCCCACGACGGTGATTCTATCTACACCAACGCCTGCTCACACGCATCTCTCCATTACGAACGTGCCCTGCGAAACGAGGCGGTTACGATCGCAGATCCGTAGTGGGGTCCCGGCTATCACGAAACCGGCAGCGTTAAAAACCCGCGATCGCCCCCTGAAGCTATACAACACCCGCGGACTTGTGCAGGTGACGCGATTAATCCCGTCAGTTTGAGAAGGAGTCGCGCGCCCCACGTACACTACGAGTTATGTGTTATTTACCTTCAATTTTATTTAAATATTCAATCTCTATGACTCTAATATTAAATTACAACCGAACAAGTGTTAAAGTTTCAACAAAGAGCAATACACAACATTTAAATTCGCCACACACTCTTACGAAAATTCAACAACAAATAATTCTTACTTGAGATCAAATTTGGACATCAGATAATTTGCAGGACAGAGACATTCATCAACAAAATATTTACATAAGCAAAACTTAGCAAAGATTTATAAAACAAAGATCTGGTGTGAAATAAGCTTGTACAAATTAAATATCATGTTAGGTCAAAACTGCAGAGCATGGAAATTTACGTGCAATTCAAATTATACAGCAAAGAAAATTACTGAAGCTAAAATTGTGAGACAAAGACAAATTGCATGAGGTGAAAGATTGTAAAGTTAACAGATTTACATGTGATTAATATTAATTCGTGTCCAGTCAAGTTATTAGTTAAAATTCAAACGTGAAATTATTTAGCTGCATTGTGGGCCATTATTACACATACATTTCCCCAAACAAAACACATAAACAAACATGGCAGACAATCTGCAGTTGCAAAATGGCGTTGGACGAATTCGTCATTCCAAATAATAGGCGTCGAAAATATGCGATGCAAAAATACGATGAATCCTGTGGCGTTGTATAAACGATGTGCTAAATCCAAAGAATAAAGGCACGTCCCCCCATGACCCACAATGTTGTTATTTTGTTCAATAGATTCAGGTAAAACATGTGCTCGATTAAAAGAAACAAATGGACGCTTCAAAATGGCCGCTGCCTGAACAAAGAACGGTGAGAATAACAACTCGTTTGCCGCCATCCAAAATACAGATTTCACAAATATAGCTAAATAAAGCATGGCCCGAACTAGAAATCACTTCCTGTAAAGCCCTACTGCGATGGATTTTAAATGAAAGATAAAAAAACGAGATTAGTGGAAAAACAAGCGCACGCGTCGCTGCGTCACGAGGTCAGAAGTATCGTCGGGGCTTGAAACTCGCCGCCAAACAGGTGTTCAAAACATACCTCTCCAAAGATGCGAAGATTTCGACACGGCTTACCGCCAAAAGGAACGCAAAAACCTCGTCGTAAGAACGATGAGAAATCAGGAACACCCAATGGCTCAACGGGGCTGCTAGATTTTCCAATGGAACAGATCAACACTGGAAAAACAAAACACAACAGCAAAAGGCACAGAATAATTCACAATTAAAAATACAACCTGTTGCTCGAAGCGCTCGAAAAGAAGTCGACCGTTCTCTCCAAGCGATCAAAAGGAAGTGACCGTTTTTCAAGACAATACCACCCTCGCTTTGCGCATCTCTCTTTCTTTGGGGTGGTTGGTTGCCAACCTCTTCTTCTTGTCAACCGTTTCTTGTGCGGGCGAAATTCATTTGAAATTTAAAAATTCGAATTGGATCCTTACAGTATAGACCCCAATGTTTGTTGGAAATTCTCATTCTTTCGGTTTTAGGGTTTTAGTAGTTTTATATTAACATTTTTATACAGGAAATCAAAAGTGAAAGTACAAGATGACGCGATTTATATATATTTCCCGTATGCTCTAGTGATACATTTTTGATTTATTTTTCGATGCGTTTATTTTTAGGTTTTGTCTAAATCCGTTCCACAAAATACGTGATTTATCGCGTGATCAGAAATGACTGAATCTGTTGACAAGTTTGGATTTTTAGTTGAAATTGGTAGCATGTTTTCTATAATTTCCGGATGTCAGCTGTCAACATTGACAGATTGTTGACTTTTTAATTTACAAAATGTATCCAAAACATAACCTAAATTTATCGCTTGTCACGATTGACATATCTGTGACGCAATTCTTCCGTTATGCCAACATAAACGCAAGAAAAGTTTACATTTTTGTTTAAAAAGTACTGCCAACACCCTCAGTCATTTCTGATCACACGGTACATCCATTATTCAGGCATAATTATTTAATTTAATTGTGATCTGTCTAAAGGACTGGATGGTTTTCCCTAAGTTGTTATCTATCTTTAATAAGTTCTCAGTCGAGATTTTACAATAGTAGGGAGAAAGGATGTTTAAATTGAATTAGTAGAGGCATTTTGAACTCCATCGTCATTTTCGTTCTACGGCGAACTTGTTTTTTCGCAATGTTAGTTTTTTTTGCCGTCACATTGCTGTAATAACGTTTGTCTGCCAGAACAGAAAACAGCAAAGCAGAAAGAGTGTAGAACCGAATTTTTGCGTGGTCCTGGTTATCACAGTACCAAAGATAAGGAAGAAGTAACGATAAATTTATTCTGGAAAAACGAGCGAGCCGCGCTTTCTCCGGTACATTTTTCTTTCAAGGTAAGTTATTTCTACAATGTACAATAAATGATTTTAAAATATATATAATTTGATTTACGTAATTTGTTAAACTGGTGGTAAAAAGCCATACAAAATTAATCCCAGTCTACATTCGCTTCAGGTGTTTGTGGTAAGAGCGCACGCGTACGAGCGTTTTGTGGCGCATGTTCGTACAAAAATATAGTTGGATTCATGTATCTTTTTACACACGTGACCAAAAGCTAACGTCCGAACTAATAACTGCTACTTTGTAGTAATTAGTCAAAAAGATGACAATGTTCATAACGTCAACATGACACAAATATGTAGGCTCAGGCAAGTCTTTTGGTTTCGGTGCTTTCCGATTGGGTCGTGATTTTGCCGGACTGGGAAGGACGCCGAGTCTTTCTTTTCGCGTTTTAATCTTCGAAATTGTTCGGCGAGTAACGCCTAGAGCATCTGCAACTCGCTAAAAATTTGAGCGAAATTATTAACCATGAACCTTCAAGTGGTTTTTACTTACTTACTCGTTCTGTACCATTTAATGAGATTAAAGGACCACCGTTTTCCTTCTCAAGAGCAAAATACTCTATAAAGTTGGACACGATGTCCTGGGCACTGGAACTCAAACGTTTGCCCGTCATGTTGTAGACCAAACACGAACAAGAAATAAGATAACAAATCATAAAAAATAGGACAACGAAACAAGAATCCTAACAACCAACGAACCTTACGAAGAACTGAATAGAACACTTGAATAGAACAACGAAAAACTGTGATTAACCACTCTGAGTAAAACCAAAAATGACACTAACGTTTGATGAAAAATCGATGAATTATTATCAGTCACTAGATTGACTACATCAGTGCCTGTCGCACTATGTGGACGCATTTATTACGTATTTTATCTTTTTCTAATTCAAGGGACTTTGTGGAAGAGAATAACTGACGTAGAGCGTAATTTGGCCTAATTTCGATAGACATACTATTTGCCTGGCTCTTCGTTCTTGTAATCCTTAAAACAAAGATTCTTATGGTAGGTGCTGTCTGAGCTTGTATGATACTTCGGTCACGTGTGTCAAAAGATACATGAATCCAACTATAGTAATCTGTCTGTAGAACACTGGAAATCATGGAGGAAGGAATATAATGGAGGGAGTGCGCCGTATCTCGGCAATGTAAATTCTTGGCACCAGTGCAAGCACCTTTTATTACTCTTTTCAATTAGCGCGCCCTTCACCGCGCATGCTTACTTTAATAATTTCATCAGCCAGCACTGACCAGTGTCGTACGATTCTGTTTTTGTCATTTTCGCTTTTAACCTCGTGTTTAGTGTGAACGTTTTGTTTTGAATTTGCGATAAGCGTTTCATGTTTATTTAAAAACTTAAAATGGTTAGTTGCAAATTGTGTAAAGTTACGAGTGGCTCCAGGTCAACAATTGGTAGAGAAAAAATAACGTTTCACAGGTGTGTCGTATTTTTTCGTTTAATATTTGCTTAAGAGGGACTAATGAATATTTTTGAATTGCTTTTAGGTGTCCCCAGAAACCTGAATTAAAGAAACTGTGGACAGACTTCCTTTATCTTCACCTAGAAAATTCTGTGTCTGTGAACAACTTTTTCCTGTGTTCATTTCATTTTGAAGAAAAGTGTTTTGATAGAACATCAGCCCAGAAAGTAGTTTTAAGACCACATTCAGTACCAACTATTTCTTATACTTATGAAGAAAGGGTATTAAATAAACTCACATGCTGCATGATATAACAATTAATACATATATTTATTTTAGATTACCAATGTAGTGACCTTTAGAGGCAATGAAACGCATCACACAGAAGTTTGTGACGCACCTTCGGTAGAGCCTCAACAGAATATAGAAGATGAATTGTCTAATAAAGTTTTTGAAATTACAAAGAAACTTGAAAATTTAACAACAAAAACATGTGCAAACGTTTTACTGAAACAACAAATTAACAACCTGAAGACATTAGTGTCACAACAACAATGCACTATTAAAACGTTAAAACGCAGAACCTCAAAACAGCAACGCAAAATTTGTAATCTGAAAGATGTTGTTTCAAGTTTAAGGAAGAAAATCAACTATTATGAAAACAACAGTGTGGATGTTAATAAATTTCAGGAAAATACAGAACTGTTGAGCAGAATGTGGGCTAAAATTAACAACAAACCATTGCCAAATCAATATGGGCCAGAAATAAGAAAATTTGCCGTTACAACACATTTCTACTCCCCAAAGGCTTTTTCTTTTATAAGAAAACAATTCATGGACTGTCTTCCACACCCAAAAACTTTGTCTGTATGGTATTCTTCAGTGAATGGTGCACCAGGTTTCACAAGTGAGGCATTCGATGTGTTAAAAGCAAAGGCTGAAGAACGTAAAATTGTGTGTTCTTTAGTGTTCGATGAAGTTGCTATTAAACGCTGCATTGAATATGATGGGCAACAATATTATGGATATGCTGATATGGGTAGTATAATCGAAGTAAATGAAAATGAAGAGGCCAAAGAAGCTTTAGTTTTCATGCTGGTTGCTATAAATGGCTCTTGGAAAATCCCCGTGGGTTACTTTTTAAGCCATTCTTTAAATAGTGAGCAAAAATTAGGTTTACTAAAACAGTGTTTATTTTTAGTAAAAAGTGTAGGAATTGAAATTAGCAATATTACATTTGATGGTTGTGCGACAAATTTGTCAATGGCATCTGCATTAGGTTGCTCATTTAGCCCTTCTAATTTGAAAACAAACTTTGGTGAAGAGAATATACTTCTTTTACTTGATCCTTCACACATGATGAAATTAATACGTAACACATTTGGTGACAAAAGAAGAATAGTCGATGGAGAGAATAATGTTATTGATTTTAAATACTTAGAACTTCTAAATGAACTGCAAGAAAATGAAGGGCTGCACCTTGCAAACAAACTACGTAGAAGACATATAAATTTTTTTAAACAAAAAATGAAAGTTGCTCTAGCTACACAGTTATTAAGCAGGTCTGTCTCTGAAGCTTTGACGTTTTGTCGAGATATTTTACAGCTTGATCAGTTTAAGAACTGTGGAGCAACGGCTACCTTGATTTTAAATATTAATGACGCTTTTGACATATTAGCATGTTTGCGAAAACCTTTTCTTATAAAGTTTTCCTTATGCTTACAATTATAATTTATAATTATAGTTATAAGTATAAATTGTAACAGTTATGCTGACGGCTTAGAACCTTACATTGACAAGCAGAACTGACTTTCTGTCACGCAAATTGATTCATTTTGCCCATGAATAATTTAGAAATTTTGGCTACTTTTGGCAATACAGAAGATGTACAGAACTACTTAGTGCATCAGTTAATACAAAAAGAGTTAACAGAAAAGCGTTATTCATATACGTGTGTTAAATTCAACATGAATAGCATTCCGCCAGAAAACTTTCGTTTTCTTTTTCGATTTGAAAAAGAACATATAATTAAATTACATCAAGCTTTGCAAATGCCTGCAAAATGGGTTACACCAGATGGTCATGTCATTGAAGGTTTATTATTATCTACAATCGAGAAGAAATTCCGTATTTTTAAACACTCTTCATTTATAGGTCTTGCAGGATTATGTCTCGTTTTAAGACGATTTTCTTACCCAAACAGACTAAAAGGATTGCAAAATGAATTTGGATTACATTTTTCGTCAATCAGTAAAATTTTAAAGTTTGTTGTTACTTTTATATTCAAGAAATGGGCCAAGTTATTATTAAATTTTGATAAAAACATATGGTTAACGCAAGGTTTTCTCGCAGAGGTGGCTGCCTTCGTACATAAGAAAGGTGCTCCTTTAAGAAATTGCATTGGGTTTATCGATGGTACTGCCCGGGCAATTTGTAGACCATCAAAATTTCAAAAAGAAGTTTACAGCGGACATAAAAGAATACATTGTCTGAAATTTCAATCAATCACCGTTCCAAACGGTATCATTTTACATTTAAGTCCTCCGTATTCTGGCAGACGACATGACTCTTTTATCCTTAAAAATTCAAAAATCTTAGAGCAAATGAAGCTCCATTGCCCACAGTTTTGTTTATACGGTGACGAAGGGTATCCATTAGTGCAACAATTAATAAGACCATTTTCTAATCATAATTTAACAGAGCAGCAACAAATGTTTAATACCAAAATGTCCAAAATACGCCAATGCGTAGAATGGAGTTTTGGTAAAATAACAACGCAATTTGCGTTTGTTGATTTTAAAAAAAATCAAAAACTTTTTCTGCAACCAATAGGTCAGTATTATATTGTGGCTGCATTACTAACGAATGCGCATACATGTTTTTATGGAAGCACAACTTCTCGATACTTCGATATAGAATCACTAGATATTATGGAATATTTTCAATAATTTCTTTTTAATCAAACAATTACCTTTAATTAATATGTTATTATTAAATAAACATTTAAAAGCTGTAATTATTTCAAAAATTATGTCAGATTTTTATTATTTAAATTTTGTGTTAAAATGTTTTCCAAAAATCTGTTTAAAATTGCATTTTTTTGTCTTTCTATTTTACGGCCCTCTTCCTCCTCTTGCCATTTTTTCTGTTCGAACTCAAGTCTAGCTTTTTTGAATTCCAACTCTTCTATTTGAATTTTCATATTATCTTGATGTTGCTTTTCTTTAAATCTTAATTGTTCTTGTAGTAGCTGACTTTCCCGTTTCATTTTTTCAATTAAATATGAAAAACTTGTTCCATCTTTAGTTCCATTTCTCGTCTTTCGTGCTGCCGCTGTATAAACCCTGCTAGATTCTTGGTTGAACCCTTCACGACCCCCACGCTCACCATCAATATCAGTGTCATTAAAATCGTCAACAGTGTGAAAAAATATTTCATTGTCCACGTCAGTGGCTTCTGTTTCTAATATTTGTTCACTATTACAAGTTTCAATAGGATTGTCCAAACTTTGCAGAGCAGCTTGGCGAATTGCTTTTGCAGGCATAACCTCGTCGAATTTTTGGCCACTGCATCTTTTTTTACCCCGTTCATTTTTTTTATTTTCTATGTCCATTTGTGCCACATCTTCATATTGCGACCAGACAGTCAGAAGTTTTCTAACAGCGTCGCCCCACTCAGTCTGTATCCGTTCTTTCCCACTTTCTGTAGCTTCGTCGGCATCAAATTTTCTAAATTTTATTACTTGTTCCAACATATGATCTTTTAATAATTTGAAGCTACAGTTCTGAAAGCGCTCTCTTTCGTCTTCACTTACGACTGCATGAAGTTTTTTCCACACATCTTCTTCGTTTGTAAATTCAGTCTCGCAAAGAAGGTCGAATAATGCATTCAAACATTTTATACGTTCCCTCTCTGAGAATCGAAATCGTTTCTTTTTCAGTTGCGACATAACTAATTAAAGTTCTAAATGACACTGACTGACATTGTAGAAAAATTCTACTATTGTCAATATAAGAAGTAACGATTGTGAGTGTTATAATTATAAGACATAGTTATAAGGATAAGTGTAAGCATAAGAAAAAATTTATAAGAAAATGTTTTGCGCAAACACGCTATTGAATTCGCGCAGAATAAAGGAATTTGGTTACAAGCAAGCATTAAATAAGTATAATATTAATCAGGTAAAAACGTTTGTGAATTGCTTTACTTCGTATATATCCAAATTGAGATTTTTTAACAAAGATTTAATTATTCACTCGCCCCGTAAAACAGGTTTTATAGGTTTTGTAGCTGGTTTACATGCAGTATTAAATATTTATGAACAATATGTAGTGGGTGATGGAGGAACGTCAATTTTACAGTATCTGCCCACCTATAAATGCAGTCAAGATCATTTGGAAAATTTTTTCTTCCAAATTAGAAATTTAGGGGGCTGCAATAATAACCCTACTACTCGTTAGTTTAAATCTGCATATAAAAAATTATTAATACACGCAGAAATAAATCACAGTGGTTTTGGAAACTGTGTACCCTTAGAGCAAGTAAATATTTTGACATGTTCGTCTCGAATTAAAAAACTCGAAAATATTATTAATTCTGATCAATTGATATTAACGAGTGACGTACAAGTTACTCAGGAAAGTGACGTTAATTTTGAACATAATTATTTCTTTACGCAGGAATCTTTAACAAATTTTTGTGAGGAAGTTGTGATTTACATTGCTGGATTTGTTGCTTTTAAATTAGCCAAATCTTTGAAATGTGAAATATGTATATCATGCCTTTTTGGTATAAAAGAGAACTTATTAGGAAGTTTTGTTGATTTCAAATCAAAGGGGGGATTGAGCTATCCTAGTGACGATGTGATTGCCATTTGCGTACAAAGTGAAAAAACTTACAGAACACATGAGCGAGTACATACCAAACTTAGTAAATGCAAAATTGTAATTGACATCATTGAAAATTTAAACTGTGAGAAATTGCTTCATAGAAATCACCCCCATACATCTTTTTTGTTGAAAGAAATAATTAATATTTATTTGAATTTGCGTATAAAATACAGTTGTAAAAGTAAGTCTTATTTAGTAGATTCTGATAGGCAAAGATATACTAAGTTGATTCATTTTAAAGGGCAATAAAGTTACAAAATGTGGTTTATTTAAAAAAAAAATGTAAACAACATGTTAAGTTTTATTATATGGAGAAAATCTAAAACATATTTGATTGCGTTGACGTTTTACTTTGTTTCTTCTTATATATATATTTTTTATTCTTATACTATTTTTCAGAAAAGTATCAAACCTTTAGTTGAAACGAACTCATCTTTGTAGTAATCCTGTATTCTTTTTATTTAAATTGTATGTATTTCCTTTAAGTGAATTTATCTTTATTTTGTAATATTGTATTCTTTTAATACCCTATAAAAACATATATGTTATTTATGTTATTATTATCTAGTACATATTTGTAAATTAATATTAATTATTATACAAATTATAAAGTACAGTTCTCTTACTGCCTTTTAATAAAATTATTTTAAGACCCACCGCTAACCCGAAAATGACTGGCATTGAGGCAACATTTCTATGATTACTGGTACTAAGACCAAGTAATGATATGCATTGATTGGATTAATAAAAAAAAAATCGAGCTTCTAGAATTACAACATATACAAATTCGTCTGTTATTCTTTAACCTCACCCTATCCCCAAAACCTTAGCGTAACTACCAGTCATTTATAATTTTATATAATGATTTTATTATTCTTGGCTAATGTTTTTTCTTTATAATATTATCTCCTTAAATGTTATTCCAAAGATCTCGCAACAATTATGCAGCAAAAATTAAAACTTTGATGTGAATTTGGGTTTTTTGTTGATTATAATTATACAAAATAAATTTCTATGAGTAAAATTCAAATTTTAGATATTCTAAAAAAAATATTTGCATTGAATATAATTTTGAGTAGTGGGACCCCTTATGAATACTATTAAGATACGCCACTGAAGCGGCAGCCATATTGAAGCACCTTTTATTGCTTTCACGCATTTTGGCGCGGGATCACTTATTTGAACTCTCACTCCCTCCATTATATTCCTTCCTCCATGCTGGAAATTGATACAATGGCGCTTGCGCGCTCATTTCAAAAAATTGTAAACATGGGGTTGTTTGGGGTGCCCCGCCCTTCTCGTCAAAACAAATAATTTCCGATGAATAAACATCATAATGGGTGACGTTTCCGGTTTTTGTGATAAAATCGGCGACAACTTATCCGAACTGGGAAAATGGTAACATTTAAGGGTGAATACCCTCATAATACAACCTTTGTTTGTAGGTGCGTCTGGCAGAACATAATTCTCGGCCAGTTCTTGTCAATTCTGCTGTGCGCAATAAACACGTTGGCTCATTACATAAACTCTGGCTCTTCTGGGGTGCTACCGACGGGCCAATCTTTCCCTCATTACATGTTCTTGTGCGCCATTTACACGAGTTGGCTTGCGTTTCGGAGGGGAGAGAAAGGTCTCATTTCTATTATCAAAGCTAGAGGTTGGCGGTATCTTTTGCTTTGTTTAATAGATGTGCAAGCTAACACCTTAATGAGTACTGCTCACCAGTTCACAACTCTAACAAGTATACAGGTTGGGGGCTTGCTTAATTTAGACGATTTTGTTTTAACTGAGGTCGCTTTCAGCTGCTCGGTTGTGTCGCCATCCCTGTAGCGTTGGCCTTAAGCTGTCTGGTGCTTGGTGTTCGTTACCGCATGGTGCATATTATCGCTGTATCTGTGTGTCTCATGGGGGTGGGGTGCCTTGTCTGGGCAAACATCGAAGACACTAAGATCGACGGTACACAACCCTTGCTTCTTTTAAGTCACTTAAGGGCTGCTACAGCAAATTTACACAAATATTACGCTTCTTCTTATCATTAAAAGATCGATTGGGTGTAAGTTTGCGGTCTCAGCGCTAGATAGTAATTTGATAAACGAAAACACCAACTAAAGTTACAGTTTGACATTTTTTGATACTAGTTGCACTTAAAACGATTAATTATAATTATTGTATTATATTGTAAATAATAGGTATGTCATATATCCATCTAGCAGAAAGTGCGTATAACGCTAAAAATCTTATACCTACGTACAGGTAAAACCTTTTGTTTGGTGGTATTTTGTAGAGGAGGTTTATAGAAGTACTAAGTTATAATGGGGTTAAATTCTAAAAGGGTGTTATTCAATTAAAAGAAAAATTTCAGGCGAAGTTTGATGAAACAAAATTCACCAAATTCCTCATCTCTTGTATAATATTAAATATGGCACATCATGGGTTCGTGTAACGTATTTTTGTGTTAATAAAATTACTCAATTGCGCTGCAATAATTATACCTTCAGGAGAACACTTACGTCACAGCAGAGTCCTTTGCACCTTTGAAGACATTTTGTAACACTAAACTGAACCTTTCTTTTCAGGTAAAAATCAATTAGTTGGAGATATGTTGTGTTTGGGTGGGGCTGTTCTTTTTGCAATTGTGACTGTACTTCAAGAACTGTCTGTAAAAAATACTGACATTGTGGAATACTTAGGACTGTTGGGATTATTTGGGAGTATTCTCAGCGGCGTACAAATGTTGGTACTTTCTACTAATTATATCACACACTACGATTACATTTTGTTACAGGGTGATTTTAGAAAAACAAACATTAATTACGTCTACATGGCGAAGCTCAAGTGCACTACTTTCGTCATTTTCCGCGTGTCAATTCATGTTTTGCACTTTTTCCTCGGTGTTTTTAATAAATATGGGAACAACAGCCTTACACTTATCCTTACTTTCAGGGAATTTTTATACACTAATTGTAGGAATTCTACTTTTTAATTATAAGGTTGGTATATACGTTTCTGTTTCTTTCCTAATATCGTACGTTTGTAGTTCCATGCCTTGTACTTTTTATCTTACACACTATCAATGACCGGTGTTTACATCTACGCCATCAAGCAAACACCCGCTGCATTACAAAGTATGCCTTCTAATCACACGACGCAACTCAATAATTCAACAAGGTATGTAATCGAAAAGTGTACTTTTTCCTAAAATACTACTTTTCAGATCCGAGTGTCAATTGAGAGAGCATATGATTACCGATAGCCCGCAGCGTACAACCGAGATTCTCTCAGCATTTGGGACGTTAAACAGTAACGACACTTTTCCCTTAAGCCACAGTACAAATACCACATTCACGTCTTTTTATGGCAGTCATGATGTCTTGAATACCCAAACCACCAGTGCATAAAAACCGAGATTTAGTACTATGGCGCTGCTACACACACTTTGTTAAATTTTAAAACAAAAGACATCCTTTATACATCTGCAGCGACAAGAAAGTATTCTACAATACGTTAAAAAGTAACTGTCACATAACGCAAAAGGACTGTATTGTTTCAGCGATAAGTGATATTCAGAAGATGTTTCTCTGGAATAATATGGAGGAGAATGCCGCCAATATTTGAGGTGGGATTTAGTGACAAAGGTGAAAATAAATGTTTATAAAAAAATATGTGGGCACATTAATGATTAAATGCATGATAAAAATTGGTGTCACTAAAATACTCTGCAATTACGCAGACTTCACTCACTGCCGATCTTCCGCACTCTTTTCACTAAATCCAACGTTCGTAAACGACTGTTCAATACGAATTAAAATCGTACTTTTGTATATTTATATAACTAGTTTCGTTGTATATTAGACTAGAACATGATAATCATTTGTGAATGTAAGCACAACGTGACTTTTAATAAAAGTTTTTATTTACTTGTTCACTATTGTAAATCAATTTATACAATAATTCTAATAAGGAATCTAACTAACCTTAACCTATTCACTTCCGCTTTTCGCTGGCGAAGACGCCCTGGACCCTCTTTCACTTCCCGACTTATCTGGAGATGCGGAACGGCTCCTACTTCTGGAAGCACTCTTCCTAGGCGAAGGACTCTTCCTGGGTGAACCACTTCCAGATCTACTGCGGGATCTAGATTTAGATCTCGAAGGCGACCTTGATCTCGATCCAGATTTTGACCGACTTCTCGACCTAGATCTGGAGCGAGATTTGGATCGCGATCGTGACTTAGACCTCGATCGTGATTTAGACCTCGATCGTGACTTGGACCGCGATCCGCTTTTAGATCTAGATCTACTTTTCGACCTGGAGCCACTTCGCGAGCGACTTCTTGATTTAGATTTTGATCTACTTCTAGATCTCGATCTGGATCCACTTTTCGATCTTGAGCTGCTTCGCGATCTTGAACGAGAACCGCTTTTGGATCTGGACCTGGACCTGGACCCGCTTTTGGATCTAGAACGTGATCGTGAACCGCTTCTCGATCTGGATCCGCTTTTAGACCTTGATCTCGAACGAGATCTGCTGCCAGATTTCGATCTAGATCTGGATCGGGAGCGACTTTCTGATCCTGATGAAATTTTTCTTTTGCGTCCACGACCACCTGCTTCGCTTTCATCGCCGCTGGCAATTTTAAGTTTGCCATCATCACTATCATCCTCGCTTGTAGAAATCGTGGCTTTGGAGACAATTCTACTTTTCTGTTTGGCACTGAGACCTTCATCTTTTGGTTTGCCGCGTCGTTCTTTAAGCTTCTTCTTGCTACGTTTATTCTTAGGTCTATCACTGTCTGAGTCAGACTGACCGCCCTTCTCTCTCCTCTTTCTCCCGCTTCCACGTTTTCGTTTGCGGTCTCTGCTTCGTTGTCTCTTCCGACCGCGATCTTTTTTTTCTCTCGGTTCGCCGCCTTCTTGATTTTCGCGATCGCTTCCTGAATCGCTGATGTACTGATCTTTGCGACCGCGTCCTTTGCCTTTGGATTTTTCGCTTGGAATTTCCATGAACAGAAGAGCGTTCTTGGTTTTTTCTTTGTATTCTTGACGTTTCTGAAGCAACTGTTCCTTCGTCAGGCGCTTTTCCTCTTCGACTTTCTTCTGTTCTTCGAGCTGACGCATTTTGAAGGCCGTTCTTTCGTCTTCTTGTTTTCTTCTTAGTTGACGTTCTTCTTCGTCAACGCGTCGTGCTCTTGCCACGTGATACTGTGCTTGTGACAGTAAATCTTTACATTGACGAGCTTCCATTGCTGCTAAAGTAACGTCGTAACGCATTTTATCACCGAATTCCGCAAGATAAGTAAAATACCTGGTGAGGACATACCAAAGTGATAATCTACGGTTAGAAATATGAAATACCTACTTTAATGATAAGCCGAGTTCATGGACAGCCTGAAGAACAGTTTGCAATGTAGATTTCTCATCTTTCAAGATAAAAGTTGCCAATCTTTGTAAAACCAAAGCGATATTATAAAGCAACACTGTATCATGAGGTGCAACGCGACGAGCTTTCAACAAAACCATTTTGGCTTCTTTTAATTTAGAAGCTTTATAATATGCTCTGGCCAAATATTGCAACACTTCCACATTATTATATTTGAAAAATTTCCTCAAGCAATTTTCGTACTAAAAGCAAAATTATGTTATGGTTTATTTAAAAAACGGAATAAAATTACCATTTGTATCGCGCTGACGAACTGTTTTTGCTCGACATAGATATGCGCAATGTTTAACCATACATCGCAAAAGTCGGCAGTCGCTTCTCGGACTTGGGCAAAAATGTCACGAGCTTCGTTGACGGCGCCTTTGTGAGCTAAAACAGCACCGATTCCATTAGCGGCCCAAATATTTTTGGGGTCAATTTTCAAAACTTGTTTGAACATGGACAAAGCTCTTTCTTGGTGCCGTTTTTCCCTTTCTTTATCCTTAGTAGGCTGATGTAAAGTCTGCAGCCACACATTTCCCAAGGCTATCAGAGAATAGGAATCTTGACTCGTTGCTGGATTCTGAAACACACCGCATTTGATTTTTGTCTTCATCTATACATCAGTCACCAACCTTTAATATCCTTTCATATTTCTTCTGACCTGGTCCCCACTCAGCTTTCGCTAAATGAAGGTTACCAAGAAGGGACCAAGCATCTGGATGCTCTGTGTTAAACCTCAAAGCTTCCTTAAACCAATCAGAAGCTTCATAAATGTGACCTTTATCGCGAGCCATACAACCCAATCTCAAATAACAATCTACATAATTCGGGTGTTCTTTTAAAATATCTTTGTACAATTTTTCAGACTTATCAAACAAACATAAAGCTTCATTCAGTCTAGCTAAGTTATAGGTTATAGTTACTGAAATAGAGTTGTAGTACTGCGGATCATGTTCTGCTTCTGATCTAGCCCTAGATAATGCTTCTTCAAGATTCTTTTTTGCTTCTTCTAAATTGTTTAGTCTGTAATGTAACGCTCCCACGTTGTTTAAAATTTCAGTAGGAATATCAGCTTGCACATCTTTGTTTAAAATTTGTATGGCTGTACCATATGCATTAAGTGAGCCTTGAAGATCAGACTGTTCCAAAATTTGGGCCAATTCGATCCACGCTTCGATATCATCAGGAAACTGTTCAGTAACTTTTTTCAGATGGTTTTTCGCTATATCCCTTTTTGATTGAGATGTTGAGTTTGCATACAAAGATCCCAAAATCTTCATTGTTTCATAATTACCTGGTTGGGCTTTTAGAACCTTTTCAAAACACTGCGCAGCCTGGATTTTTCATAATTTAGTATGAAAGTAATGCGAGATTATAAATATTTACGTTTTCAGCGTCACCTCTATAGATGTACATTTGTCCTAAACCAAAATGTGGTAAAACAAAGGCAGTGGGGGCAAACTGTGTGGCTTGATAGTAGTATTGAAAAGCTTGGTCATAATCTCCCTGAACGTGAAAAGCACGAGCTAACTGGTAACAACTTTCAGCTCTCATTGCTTCATTTTCGGTATTATGGAAAGCGTGCAGTGCTAAATGTTGTACTTTACTATAATCCTTAAAATGAAGAAAATTAATAATTGACGATTTAAATTAAATTAGAGTAAACAATAACGTACTTTTTTAAAGAAGAAATGGTTTGCTAAGTGGTTTAGAACCATAGGATTAGAAGAATCAATAGTATAAGCTTTGGATAACATCTGAACCCCGCTGCGGATTGAGTCCGGTTGTTGCAGATTTAATTTTAATATAGCTAGACCAACAAGAGCTCCTACACACTGTGGATCTAGTTGTAAAGCCCTCTCAAATGCCAGTCTCGCCTTTTCTTGGTTGTTTAGTTTCATAAAACAATGACCCATCCCTTAATAAAAATGTGAGTAAAAAATAGTAACAATATTAATAAAGCGTATACCAAGACGAACAGCCGCTGGGCAGTTGGGATTTGTTCTTAACGCTTTTTTGTAAAAAGCTAGAGCACCACGGAAGTCCTTTTTGTTGTAAGCAATACACGCTTTTCCTAATAAAGATGGAATGTTGTTTGGCGACTGATTTAGCACAAAATTGAATTGGGCATCTGCTTGTTCCATTTTATCGCCTTCCAATAGGCAAAAATAGGCGCGGCCCAATAAATGGTTCTGTAAAAATATTATATATAGTGTGTTCACAAGATTTTACAAGGAATTTCTTTCAATCAAAGTGAATGTTTTCTTTAAGTGGTGTCTTTTGCTTTAGTCATATGGTATCAAATGAATACAGAAATTATAATTTTTAACAATTAATTTTATATGCTTATTTTAAAAGTACAACATTGGGCAAAAGCCTTAGGTTGTAAAAATTTAAAAATTTATTGATGACGTCAGAACATTGAAAGACTTAAGACATAGAGTTAATTTAAAAAATATCCTTGGCGTCATAACTTTGATAATGGAATCAAATTTATTCTGTAGGTGTAGTCCTTGTAAAAAACAATGCCTTATCTGAGCGTTTTTGTCACACTGCATTCCTATTTTTTTATCAATTTTGTTCAACATATATGAATACATTGTACTCTGCCACTACAAATTTATTTACCTGGTCATACATAATAATTTTATCTGCAGTTGTGTACAACAACGTTGCTTTAGTGAAGAGCTCTCGTTTCTTGTCTTTATTTTTTTCACGATTGGCTTCTTGAACATAATAAGCTGCGAGCATATCAAGCGCTCGCATCTGATCCTTTTCATAGTCGCGATAGTCCACATTGGCGTCCGTTCTGGAGGCTTCGAGGATCTTAATGAAATCTTCAATTTTACCTTGTTTGTAATATTCCAGCTGTTGAGAGATTTAGACATTATATAAGTATAAAACACTGTACGAATATATACCGCAAGGTTAACCCAAATGGATAGCTGGGTGTTTTCCTGTCGTAAAATGCCCAAGACTTCATCGCCATCAGGTAGCTGGTCAGAATCAAGTTCTATAACCTAAAATTGGGCGTCATTTTGGTCGTACAATATGCTTTCACTTACCTCGTCCGTGTCCCGGAGAGGAATTTCGATTGTCGTCGTCATTTTACCGATTTGTAAAATCTTTGAGTGTGATTAAAAATTATATAAACCACATTTTAAAAATAATCATTCACTGGGAATAATTTGAGTGCCACAAACAGCCACAAGCCACAACAAAACATACATCAAATGTCAGTACATTTTCGCCATCTAGCGACAAATTGTCGAGGTACCAAACGAGATCTGCATCAGGCGCGAAAGGAATGAAATTTAAAAAGAGTGTATTCAAATTTAGTAAATATTATTGTCACTACTATTAATTTTTATTACTGACTTATTACTTAGTAGATAAAAGAATGAAAACAAATACCGTTCACAATAAGTTAAATTTTTATTTTGGGACTACTTGGTAAGGTTCATGTCAATTTTATGTACATTCTGTGTTTTATTTTTTGCTCATCTGAGATGCATCGCTAGTCAGTGCAAACAACAAATATTTCAGATCTTATTAAAGCACGGGACGATTCAAATACAAATTGTGCAATACAAACGATATCTCATGGGAAACTTCCGCGAACGTAACTATATTTCGAGAACAGATTGAAATACTAAAATTGTACATATAAACGCCACTGTTTTCTGCTTGAAACTGGGAACGTTAATTTGATACACCCATCCTGCATTTTTATATTATATTTTTACTTTCCGAGCGTAAGCTGTAATTGAGTCCATCCGGCGAGTCACTACTTTCATGTTTTCTCGACGTTTTATGGCCCCTAGAGCATGATAAAATAAGTCCCACCTGTTCATATATCTGCTGTTTGTCAGTCTGTCATCTGTGTCGAGTTTTTATTAGTCTTTATTTAATAAATTTATTACGGATAGATTTTAGATGGTAAGTAACATTTTTAATTCCCGAACGTAAGCGAAGGAAGTATTGTAATATAGTCCACCGGACGAATTGCCACTTTTATGTTTTCTCGACGTTTCATGACCGCAACAGTACGAAAAAAGTAGTCTCCCGTTTCCGTCTATCTGTCTGTCTCCATTTTTGTTAGACACGTGACATTCTTTCGATAAATAAACATTTGAGCTTCAGATTGCTATTACATACTGTTGAAGGACCAGGGGTGTTATTTATGTCTCTGGTTTTTACTTTACAGCGGTTATCACAAAACGAAAATCGTAAAATCAAATTTTATAATTTTTTAAAGAATTGGATTTGTGGGATTTTACTTATAGCTTTAGACGAATTTTTTATTGATCAAATTAAGAACCTGATTTTTTAGATTTGTTTACACAGGGTGACAAAAAAATTTATGAATCAGTCAATTTATTTTCTTCTTTTGCAACAATTGCAAAACTGAATACTTTGAAATCTTGCAGATGTTTTAAAGTTATTGTAAGCATGATAAATTGTTAAAAAAATATATCTGTTTATTCCCCTCAAAAAATTGATGACGTCATCATAAAATTTTGCCGAATAAAAATATGATCGATTTTGGCAAATAACATACCCTCTAAGAAAACAGACGGTGGGTGGGCGGGGCCAGTGCCTGCTACGATAAAACTGATTTTAGCAAATGACATACATCGGGCGAGGCTAGTAGCTTCTAAGCTAAAACTGATTTTAGCAGGTATTAGCTCCGCCCACCCGCCCTTTCTTTTCTTAGAGGGTATATTATTTGCCAAAATCGATGATATTTTAGCAGGTAATCTCGCTACTGCTAAACCGATTGTTATAAAATTTTATAGGCACAAAATAATTCATAGTAGATAAGTGTTATTTGAATTTTATAAAATAACATACTTCTATAGGTGTGATTTATGAGTTCGTCTTCATTTTTTACCCAAGACATTCAGATTTAAGAACAAAATCAGAATTGTATAGCAATATTTTACAATTTAATTTTGAAACTACAAAGCTGATGCTCTGAAATATTGCAAACGTTTTAAGTTTATCGTAAGCGCGGTAAACTCTTAATCAAAATATTTAGTAACTGATGGCTGTAAGATTGGAAGGATTACATTTTTTTTCGGATATCAATTTGAAACTGGGCTGGTGTCTTATTATTAATTTCTAGCATCAATTAAATATAATGGAATGGGTTACATTTTATGATTAAATATTTACTTAACTATATTTTTAAACAGAACGGAGAGGTTTATTTTGGTTAGGGTTGGACTATCTTCACAATTATTTTAAAGTACCTATATCTACATTTTCAGAATTATCACTTACGTAGTTCTGAATATTATCGATTATTTGTTATCAGCAATACTGTCGTCAGACGACAAACATTCCCAGACGATAAAGATTTCAATTTTTTTCTCGTACATATCCCAAAATTTTTTAGAAACCCAGAATTACTCAAATCACTTTAGATTTTTGTTGTTATCCAATTGAAACATGCCTTAAGTAATTGATCCACATATATGATCTACAAGATAATGAATGAACAGTTGATTTATAAATTTTTTATCTTTAAAAATAAATCGTTATTATCCTGAGAAAAATGTTGAATATCTTGTGTTTTTTGAACAGCGTCAATTTAAATCAACGTTCTGTAAAATTCTTGTGAGAAATTATTCACAACAAACTCGACTGTTCCCACATTTTATCAAATATCGACTTTTAGTATCTCGTCAGAATGATCGTTATGCATTACCTAATGGATATTTTATTTGCACAAGCTTGGGACAGAAAGCTGTTTTTTAATTGATTTCCATCGCCGTGCTCGTAAGATTATATGACGATATTTTTATTGTTAGCAACATATAATTTTAATTCATCTGTTAGAAGTATGTTGTTTTTTTATGTTTTCTCTTTTTTTTCGTGGCATTTAAGTTACATATTGAAATCTTGCCTTGAATGTGTACAGTTGTATCTAATATTACCTGTCGTGTAACCAGTTGGGAAACTGTTGCATAATAAAAGGGTTATAATAATAATAACCGGCATTCAGGCAAGATGCGTACTAAGACCAAATAATGATACCTATGAATTGATGACATTCCTGACAAGGTGAAACTCCTTTCTTCCTGCTATTATTCTCAAATCTCACCCCATTCCTAAGAGCCTAGCATGACTAACGATCATTTATCCACACATCATCTGAAAAGTAACCTATTTGGTTAGCACAAGTAGGAAATTTTGTTTTGATATGTTTAAGATAATTTACCTACTTTTTTTTAGGAATATCAATGTAAATGAGAATGAATCATTATTATTATTGTTTTCTCATGATGCCAATGGAAAACCTGCCCTCTTGTGTTCTACGAGCTCTGAAATGTCAAGAAAATACAAAATCTTGTGAAGTTGTGAACTGTGAAATTATTATGGTATTACATATTACATATAGTTATTACAAGATTTTCACATCAAATAAGTACATTCTTGACCTCAAAAATATTGCATCATAAGAGCGGAAAAAACTAGTCTATTCTCTACATATTAGAGAATAGAGTTAATTGATTAACTTCAAGATATTGAATTTTAAAGCAAAAATGAAAAAATATGAAAAAGTGTAGACAATATATCACATATACACAAAAATAAGAACTGACTCTAATTGGTGTAAAGAAAAACCAGAAACTGTTATCTATGGAGCTGGCAATAGTGTTGAATATTAACATAATTTCAGTAGTGTCTTTAGTTAACTCCTGTGGAGGTGTAGTCGTGTCACATACATAATTCTGTTTTTGTCATGTTTGTGCACTTGGTCAGGGTAGTTTCACTTCAAGAGATAGATCAAAGCAGTGTATGCTATGTGCGTTGTTGCACACTTTATTACATCACAGTGCACTTCCTTAAAAAACGTAAATAAAGTAAATAGATTCAATCTTTGTAAAAGATTCACAGAGATATCTTTCAATAATAAAGTTTCTAAAATTTTGTTGAAACTTTAATGTACAAAGTTCGCTTATTGTCCAGGTTCGACGTGTAAAATCAGTTCTGCTAAACTCGAAGATCTGAAACTAACAACGAGTCCAAAATCATTAAAGATGTATTTAGTTGGTGATATCGACTTATTGTGTCAAAAGTTGCAGCTAAAATTATTAATAAGTTTAAATTTAGAAATCAGTTTCGAATCTTTTACGTTTCAAAGAAAGAATCCAAAGCACACCCACACATTTTTGTTTTTTACAATCAGACCTGTAAAAATATTCGAGGGATGAGATATGAAAGTGGTCAGAAGTGAGAACCAAGCCTTCAAAGTCTCCTTGGTAACTGGAAAAATAAAATAGAGCTCAATGTAGCCGCGCTTAATTAATTAAATTAATCGATTAATCAGTTAATTAATTTAATGGACTGTAAAGATTGTAATCGAAAATACTTATGTCTTGGTAAACAAAGAAATCGTGCAGTTGAAAGGGATGACAATTTATGAAATTGGTTAATCTTCTACCGAACAGGAATTCTAGATATTTCGGTTCGTTGAGAAAGAAACAAAATTTGCGAAAACAAGACAAGTCTTGTTTTTTGTTCTAATATTATTTTTTTATACAAAGGCTGAAGATGGAACTATTGTGAAAAACGTTTCCCTATTAAAAAAAGAGTAGAGCATCAATAACAGCAGATAGCAGTTCGACTTTAATTTGAGACGTTCAAATAGTCATTTATTATGTAACAATAGTATCTGTACTTAAAATACAGGGTGATTATTTTATCTGTTCACGCCTGGATAAGTCCGAATAGGCAACACATTTTATTTTCCATGAACGACTTCGTCTTAATTTTTTTAAAAATAATAAATAACGTGTAGATGGCAATGATTGTGCCAAAATTATGACAAATTAATTCTAACAGTCAAAGTATTTTCAACTTTTGCTAATAGGGCTTTTGAATTCCAAGAAAATCGATATGCTTTTAACTTTGGGAAAGTGTGCTGGAAATTTCGATGCTGCCGTTCGTCTACATGTCAAGCGATACAATTGCTTCAAACCAAGCATTCAGAAGACTAGAACAAAAAAGTTGACATAGGAAGTTGATCAATTTAAGAAAACTAAAGTTAGACGTCCTACAGTAACAACGTCAGGAAATGAAGCTGCCCTGATTGAAATTATACATAGGAGATAATCTTCACATGAGTCAACGGCAGACGCAGAGACAAATGCAGATTAGTCAGAGTTCGGTTTTTAACATCCTGAGGGCAAACCAATTTCACCCATGCCATTTCAGCCCTTCCAATTCAAAATGAAGATCATTTGTCCAGAGAGTATCATGGTGTCGTACAGATATTCATATAATACCCAAGATTCTAATTAGACTACGTAGAAATTTTGAACGCAATTAGCGCTGTTTATTTATTTTATTTATATTCGTTTAAGGATTGAATAAATTACGTTCTATTTTCTTTAAATTTTGCCATTATTAGTTGTTTGACGTCTTTGTTGTCATTATGGCGTAATGTGATTTTGGCGTAGTTGCATTTACTATTATGATTCCTAATTAAAAAAAAAAAATATAGATTGATCAGAGTTGCTAATAATATGTATAATGTGTTCGCTACACGAAAGTATTCAGACGTGAACAGATAAAATATTCACCCTGTATTTTCTTACTTTAAGGTCAATTTCATTGAGTAATTTCATACGTATCACTGAAAATAAAGATGTTAAAAATTAGATTAGGGATGTGAAGTTTGTGTACATTATTGATCTTGACAAAAAAAATAAAATGCGAATAAAAGATTGTCAGGTTTGCATTCTATAAGTTTTGGCAAAAATATCAGTTCAAGACACTTTTAGGTTATTGTTCTGGGTTAAATTAAAGAAATAAATAAATAAATAATCTGAACAACAAAATATGTATGTGAATTATAAAGTTTATTATTAAAAATCACATAAATAAGCTAACAATATCAATGCAACAAATTTCAAATACATTTTGAAAGCAAAAGCACCGTAGTTTTAAGTTTGAATTTTTGAATAAAAAATAGCTCGCTAGAAAATGATGTCCAAGCTTTCGGAAACACCCTGTATACGCATATTATTTTTAATATGACACCTTCAAGTTCTTAAATAACAATAGGGTTTAGTTATTCTAAAAGATTTAAACATGATGTATTTAGCAAAATTTCAATATGACCCCATGAGATTGTTGTTGGGCATAAAATTTTAGTTAGCGTTTAACCATCTACAGGATGGTAGTAGTACCTAAAAATTCTACCGCAATCGGTGCAGTAGTTTTGGAGACTACGTGTTTAATAAAGCAGCCAAGTTAGACGGACCGACGGAAACGGGACACCATTTGCGTATTGTACAAGCCAACGTTGAGCTTGAGCTTACGTTCAGGAAGTAAAAAATGTGCGTAATCAAAAAAAGTGCTTTGAAATACTGATTAAATTTTCTAATTTTGTGCATTGACAGGTTTAAAATTTTTACATAAAACTACACGAAATGTAGAAAATACCGGTCTTCAGACAACACAAAAGAATTAGGTAAAAATTAAGTACTGTTCAATATAAAAAAATTGCTCATTAATAGTTATTAATATGATACTTATTTAAAATTAATGAAACATCGGGGTATTGAAATAGAACCATTACAGCGAAATAATGCGATTTTTAACTGACCAAAATTTGTCTAATTATCCTCATCAATAATTTGATGACGTCATCTCAAAATTGTGCTTGGTAAACGCCAATAAAATTATGTACCCCAAACTTCCCCACGAAAAATATAAATTATTTATAATAACATTTTATACTAGTATAATAGCAACTCGAGCGCAACGGTGAAATGGCAGTTGTACCTAATTGTGTGGAACTTACTTTAATAAACAAAATTTTGCAAAATCAGATTTTACAATTTTTTGAGAAAGCTGAATTTGTTGAAGCGAGGGAAATCCTGTCTAAATAATCTTAAATCAATTTTACTTTCCGAGCGTAAACCAAGGAAGTATAGTAATCGAGTCCATCGGCCGAATTGAAACTTTCATATTTTCTCGACGTGTCATGACCTCTAGAGTACGAAAAAGTGGTCTCCCGTTTCCCCCTGTCTGTCTGGCGTCTGTATCCATTTCGATTGGACACGTACGTAATCTCCGAAATTACCTGACCGATTATTGTCAAATTTTGTGTGTATATTAGGAATATCATATAGATAGTTAAACGTTAACTAAAATTTAGATAATCATCCCCGCCACCAATGGAATGACGTGATCTCCAAAATTTATATTAGTAAACAAGATACTCCTGCACTTGTGGTGTGTGCATTAACTTTGAAGTTGCAAAATCGAATGCTCCGAAATCTTGTAAATGTATTGAGGTTATCGTAATATTCGTAATCATGGTAAATCGTTAAGCAAAATTTATTCGTTTATCGCCTCCCAAAAGATTGATGACGTCATCTCAAAATTTTGCCGAATAAATCCTCTCTGAAATATGCAAAATATTATGACTGCATATTTGTGGTTTATCAACGCGCTGATAGTGTTTAGAATTACTTATACCGGGTGACTTAAAAAATTATTAAAGAGTCAATGTATTTTATTGATTAAATCAGGAACTGCCTGAATCGAATGCTCATAGAAATTAGTGAATGAGTCAATTTATTTTATTGATTAAATCGGGAACGGCTCAATCCAATTTTCTTGAAAATTTGGGAATACAAAACTGTTATCATTAGTATTAGACTGCACCTACCCAAAGTGACATACGTGTCTTTACAAAAATGTTGATGACGTCATCTCAAAATTTTGTTAAGGGAAAACTCATTTGAAACCTACGTTCAGCAAGCTTCTTTACATTTATTTTAACCATTTGTTCTATTAGAAAAAAATCGCATAATCAAATTTTATATTTTTTCTAAAAAGTTGAATTTGTTTTATTATAGCTCAAGGCCGAGGGAAGTTCTGTCGAAATAACCTTCGCCTAATTTTGTTACGTTTGCACTCATGTGTTTCTGATTCGGTTAGCTGAGTTCCCACTGATTCAAAACAGCTTTTTTAGTATGCATTTGTTATTACATACATAGTTTGTAAACAAAAAAAGTACACTTTATAAAATTTTCAGTTCTCTCTTAATATATTCATGTTTGTTTATTCTTGTTCATGTAAATTTCTCTTTTTTAACTATGTTCTCATACATAGAGAACTCATCAAGAACTTTAATATTTTCTTTGCTAAGTAGCTAACTTCAAGTTGAAAATGTATTGGGGCTCCATTTGCAAATGAGTGAGTACACGTTTATTGTGTATATAGAGTACGTAGTGGTAGTGCGAACTTTATAAATGAGTTTCGTGCTGACCGAATGCGTAGCGTATTCAGATAAGGGATTTAGGTACCCGTACTCGGAGCTAATGCATTTTTAAATTTAGTACAGCAATTGGATATAGATAAAGGGGGGTGATCTTCTATCAACGTCATGTGTCTGCGCTTAGGGTCCACTATGCAATAAAAAATATAAATCAAGAGATAATTCTTCACACTCATATCCCTGAATTCAATTGTAGAGCCGTGATAACGCTCTTCCATTGTTAACACTAATTTTTCAAACTATCCATTTTAACATTTTTTCTTATTTTTACGTCTACAGACTAATTAAATTTGAGCCAGGGGTTGTTTTTAAAATTGTTTATTTACGTTGCAAAATCGTAAATTTTCATTTAATTGGCTTGTTGTCGGTATCTACCATTATCCGTATTTTGCTGCAGTAAATTCTCAATAGTGAGATTAAAGAGCGTGACCTATGAGACCACTCCAAGTATATTTAAAATTTAAATTGAATTGTTTTGTCTGTTCCATTGGAAGAACACCAGTACACACGCACACACACGGAGATAAATCATTTCATGGCTCTACGAATTGGATTTTTTCCCTATTATTTACATATTGTGTTAGATGCGTCGGTATATGCGATGAAGCGGGAATAATACGAGAGGGGAGAACGTCGGCGGCGTCGTGCTATAGGGTGAGCGTCCCCACTTGCAGCGTCGTCGGTACAGTTCGCGCCGAACACGCGTTCTTTAAACTTCCAATTCTCCGATATCAAGAGGTGCTTAATTATTCGCCGCTTTGCGTCCTTTGGAATTATCTGATAAGGCGGGCTTGTCGGCAAATACTTTGCGGGTTTTATGGCATAGTGTGGTGGCACTTTCGTGGGCAAGTTTCGACAGACTGACATAAATGTGGGCCTCTGGCGAATATTATTCAGGTGAGTTAAAAGTGTTATAAAAATTGGCACATTACCATTTTACAACTTATCGCGTAAAGGGTGCGTTTGATAACAAGTTTTATTTGTCCGTGTACAACTTATTAACTTTATTTCGATATTTAATAGAGCTTCGTAAGCTGTTTGTGCTGTAAACTGTCATCTGTTTTTCTTTCAAACAAAATTAACTCAATAAAGATTGGAGCGCCAGAAATTCGAAGAAATTTATTCTTTCTGTGTAGATGTGTTGAAAATGACCTATTTTTGACTGTTTCATTTTACGACGCTGTTTTATTTCAGCGTACGAAGAAAATTGTTTGCTAATACTATCGAAAATTTCACTAGTATGTTATTATTGAATTTGTCTCACAATTATAAATACTACACTGTTCAACTGGTTTCCAATAAAGTAGCAAAATTTACGTGCCGATAAAGTTTGCTAAAAAGTTTAAAAGTTTTTGCATGAAATGTACATTTAACACTACTGACAACACGGTAAAAGAGCTTCGCACTCATAATGCGCCTCTGAGATCTTGTGTATTAAACAACAGTCGGCTTACTGGAGGAGATATCTGTAAACTCTGAAAATCAAGTTTATCGAGAGTTCAATACTGTTAAACAGTGCGAGATGGGAGAATGTTGTGCTTACACATTACGTTAAATTAAAAAAGATACATATGTAGAACTTTATACAAAACACCACCAAAAATATATAATTTGTCATTCAAATTAAAAAAAAAAATCAACACAACAAATGATGCACAACAAATTTACTTTAACTCCACTTACTATAGTAATCAAAATAATGCAAGGTTTTTTTAATTTCAAGCAGGTCAGATGAACTGTTTCCGAGGTAATCGATAAAATATTTCGGTTCATTCAATCTCTTGAAAGTTGAGTATCTTTTTTTTTAAATAAATTTATCAGTTCTTTATTGAAATCAGATTTAATGTTTTCATAAAATGAAGTTTCTAAAATATAACGGGAAATTTAATTATAAATATTCTGTACACGAAGATTTAAAAATAGATATATTAGAGTAATTCTCTCTTATTAATTGTCATTTCTATGATTTTTAAATTTCAGAATAATTGTTCGCAGTTTTGAAGATTATTCATTTAAAAAAAAAATTGCAAAATAAATCAACAGCGGGAAGTCTGCATTTTCGTGTTCTACGAACTGGGCAAGTAGATGAAAATATTAAATTAGACATTGGTCAAAATAATCTTTCTGCAATATTTCTTTAAGTAAAATGTTTGTGGATGACGACAAGCGAAATTGTTTATAATTTTTTGACATGTCGTCTTTGACACACGACTTTACTATTAAAAATATGATCACCAAACGCTTATCGCTTCTGAAACATAATCAGTTCCACAACTCAATGCACATTTTTCAGTATATCTTAATCCTAAAACACACGCTCCACCTCCTCTGAAGGCATATTATTTACTGAATTTTTTTGGGATGACCCATTAACTTTCTTGAGGCTTTTGGTGGTGAATAAATAAAATTTAATCAACTTAACCTGTATACGCAAAGTTAAAAACTGAGGTGAATTATTAAACTACAAAGCAGCAGTGTCATGCTGGACCTTTTATATTAGATTTCCTTAATAAAATTTGAGTTGACATCATCAAGACAATAAAGGGAATGGATAGACAAATTTTAGTCAGGGTTTATTATGTTCTGGCACATAAAATAAAAAAAAAAAAAATTCTGTTTAATACATTTTCAAATCAGGAAACGACAATATGGGACATTCCTCAAATGTGAGTTTACAAGTAAACGACATTGCCTGGTACACAAAATTTTGACCTCTAGTATATTTAGTGTTGGTGGGAATGATTTTAAAGCTTTGTGAAGTAAATAGATGTAAGAGAAACTGTCTAGAGACGTAATACTATTTTTTATCGTTTATTTATTTTTTTTATTTATTATCAATTTTTCTCTCGATAACTTTTACATAAATTGTCTATTTTCTTCATATGTATATATGGAGATGTCATAGAACCTACATATTAGCTATATCAGATAGCAAGGTGTGCACTTTACTTTTCTATAATATATTCTATAGAGTAGCAGAAACACTTATTTTGACACATTAAAAGTATAAAAGAAAAATTCTCTGCGTGTTCCAAAATAAATAAATGTATTATTTTGAGTTTTACGTATAAAAAACATTCATCTTGTTTAGTCTCATTCCAAGTTTCAGTTTGTTTTCATTTTTTCCGACATCTTATATATCTCGCTTGTAAAAATTCTCTTTTTATTCTTTCTCGATCAAGTTTTTTAACTTGACTTTTTATATTTTTCTACCATTTCGCATTTTTATCATTTTGTTCTGGTTTCTTCTACTTAATTTAACTAATAAAGTGATAGTGTTTGTCTTGTTAAAAAAATCAAATGTATTTATCCATCCCAGTTTACACAGCAATGCGAAGTGGGTGAAGTACATAACTGAAATTGCGTTATTTTGTATCAGCATGTAATACAGTATCAAGGAAAGAGGAATATTTTACCAGTTAGGGACATGAAGAAGTAAAATAATTTAAATAAATTAAAAAAAAATAGATGACTGTTTCAACTTTTAAATAAAATGATAATACAGTAAAATGTTGACAAGAAAATAAAACTGAGGTTAACGAGACTCTGGTGTAGAAGAATCGTTAATTTGGAGCTTTAGGAACAAAAAAGTCAACTTGCAGATTGTAGGACTATTGCTACTGATATTAAGTAACTAATGTATGTTTCAGACGATATATTAGCTATATTAATCCGTTGCCTACTCACGATTTTTCTCTACCATATTTTATGAAGTATGAATATAGTAAACTACAACACTTTGAACCCAATATGCGTGTAATTTATTTGTCTATTTTGCGCTTTTTCGACCTATCTGATAAGGTGAACTCGTTGGAAAAAACTTCGTTATGTTTATAATAGCGTGTAGTGGGACTTTCGTGTACAACTGAGGCAGAAGTTGGTAAAATTGTTCAGGTGACATAACTACTTATACCAAATTAACAATTAAGCTGTTTAAGTGTGTATATTTGATATTAACTGTTTAAACTGTACACTGTATATTTTACTTACAAAATTTATCACATGGTATTTGAATTATAGCTTTCATTGACAGTGTTGAAAAGTCAAAACAACGTGGATTCGGTTAGTTTAATTTATTAATGATTATGAACTCACATCTGACAAATTGTGGAACCAGGACAAAAGTTCAGCAATTCCCTACTCAACTTCATATCTCAACTAGTAGGATATCCGCAACATTTTAGTAACCGTAACGGCTGTTCACATAAATTGTATTTTTTTTTACTTTATGGTATATGAGTCAATTCAAGTGAACTGGACCACTTAATGTTTGTTTTTTTATTGACCACACGCGATTATCCATTTTAAGAGTAAATTTAATATTCTTTTCCGGAAATCAAAAATCTATGTTTTTAACGTGACTGTTAAAAAATCTACACGATATAATTTAGATACAGAGTTAAATGTGAATGCAAATAATAATTTATAGAAAATGAAAATGAAGAAACGAAATTTAAATTACTGACCATATTTTTTACTACATAATAAAGCAGTAAATTAAAGTGAGTTTTATTGGTCGTTGTACAGTTTAGTTCACAACGCAAACTTATTCCGATATTTTAGCATTTAGTGAAGACTTGTAAGTTGCTTATTTTGTAAATTCTTTTATCGGTCTGTCTTTCTCAAAGTTCAGAGCTTAAGCTTCTAAAGTTGTAAGAATTTTATTGCAACGAGATAGATGCGTTGAAAATGCTATATTTTTTATACCATATGGTAATTACAGTTCCCATTCAATTAGTAGTTTCACATACAAATATTGTTTAATAGAGATGTACCGACTGTAGGTCTGGCGGACTAACCGACTAGCCGATTGTTCGGCCAGTAAAAACCGACTAGTCGGCCGACTGTTCGGCTTTGCTAAAACCGGTTTATAAATGTGACAGTGTGTTTTTTTTTTCTATTTCTCTGACTACCATAAATTTTTGTTTTATTTTAATAAAAGGAATAACTAAAGTTCCTTTGTTTTCCAAAACATGTGTTAAATTTGTTTGGATAATTTTAACATTTAATTTTTTTTAGTAACTCAGTACAAAAATAAAGAATAACACAATTTAGGGCCAGTTTATACAATATTTTACGTAACTGAGATTAAGTTGATCGCGCATTTAACAAGGCCATTAGCGACGTCTCATTGGCGTAGAGTCAGTCACATGGTACTTTAACGCGGGGTTAAAAATTAAATCGCAATTAAATATTTAATTGAGGTTCTGTAAACCGAGTTTAATTGTTTTATATACTATTTTAATTTTAATAAAAAAAAGCCGACCGATCGGCTGTTTAGCCGACCAGTCGCCGACTGCAGCCGACGATGAAAAACGGCCGAATAGTCGGCTTATCCGACCGGTCGGCCACTAGTCGGTACATCCCTATTGTTTAACAATTAATATGAGATGCGTAATTTTACATTAATTTAAAATTGATGCCAACATGTTATTAATCAAGTTTTAATACATTTGCAGTTACTGCAACTGTCAGATAAAACACACTTGCTAAAATTTATGTATTAAGTTTTAAATTTTTGTGACACGTTTTCCGAAACGTCCGAAAAAAGTGTCCTAAACGACTAAAATTTTATAAAAATAAAAAATCTGGCCACTAAAAACGAATGAGCAATAAAAACCTCGATTACAGGCAGGCATGGATTTTTGAAAGTTTGTCGTTTATCGTTGTATTGTCAACTCAAACTTGCAAACTGACGGTAATCTGACGAAAGACGAAAAATCTGTCAAAGACAAATCTTCAAAATTCCATGGCTGCTTCTGATCGCGTTTTTTATTGTTTTGTCGGTCGGACTTATTTGTAAAGAAACAATTGACAGAAACAACAAAGATGAATTAAATATAATCTTATTATAATATTTTTCATAGACAGTTTGAAAAAAATGTGTATGAAAATAA